AGTATGTAGTCAGGTGGTGCAGCTATTCCGGGAGGGAAGGAAAGATATTTGTAAGGTAACATTCATGCCAGAATATTGACCTCAATGATTGTCTGAAGGAAGCTATGGGAGTGAACCCCCTGTGATGTACACGCTCTAGACGTTGGTGCAGAGGTTATGTACCTTTGATGTGCCAGTGTCAGGAGAGAGGCCAGGGGCGGCCACGGGAGGCTAGGAGAGGCCAGGAGAAGCCAGGAGAGATCCAGCAGGGGAGCCCAGGAGAAGATAGGAGAGGTCATGCAGTAGAGGAGTGGTAAAAATACTGAGGAATGAGGTTGATATGCAGTCATCAGTGATGTTCACTGTCAGTAGTGGGCCTCACAGTCATCAATGTTCACAATCATCAAGCGAATGGCAAGAATGTTATTAATGATTAACAATCAAATTTGGAGTAGCAAACAAAACTCAACACTCGCAGCTCTACACAGGCCGCAGCAGCGTAAGCAAACTGTTTTCATTTACCATTTATGGTGCTTACACACGGCACTAGACATGAGGTGCGAGGCTGAAGCAGCGCTTCCGTAACTGTCTGGATGACCCAATGTTAACATGGTACCCTCCTCTCTGACCTGAAGGTGTGGCTAGGGAGGGTATTGACTGCCGGCTACACCATGGTGGTGGGTATTGATTGCCGGCCACATCATTGTGGTGGGTATTGACTGCCGGCCACATCATTGTGGTGGGTATTGACTGCCGGCCACATCATTGTGGTGGGTATTGACTGCCGGCCACATCATTGTGGTGGGTATTGACTGCCGGCTACACCATCAAAACTAATATGAATGTTAACTCTAAGACCTTGTACCATTCCTTGAAGTGGTCAATACACAGCTGAAAAGAAGGCAGCGTCTCATATCAGATAATGTTTCTTGCTAGTGGAGAGTCACGTCGATTCTGAGTTATTAGATACATTTTCTGTGAAAAGAAATTATTGAATTACTGAGAAAATCTCGCCTCGCCCGGCACCGTCAGGCTAGGCTTCACAAGCCGCTCATCACACCAACAAATACTCAAAGCTATTTACACTTATTAGATAATATTGATAATCAACTCAAAACATCGATTACAAGTATTTTGAATATTTGAGATCACGTTAATTTGAGGTTCCTTACTTCGAGGTTCCTTGTCTTGAGGTTATTTTACCTTGAGGTTCCTTATATTACTTTAAGGTTCCTTACCTAAATGTTATTTTACATTGAGGTTACCTTACCCCTAACTTACCTTACTTTGAGGTAACCTTACATTGAACTTATATTACTTCAGAATAACACTAGCCTATCAATATTCAACCAAAATGTCAGATCACTTAATAAACATTTTTATAAAATAAATGCACCACTAGAAGCACTAAGTACTAAACTCTCATTATCTTAATAAAAACATGGCTAAGTAAAGACCATACCAAATTATGCAATTTAGACAATTTTTAGGGGGCAGTACAGTTAATTATTATGAAGACAACTTCACATACTCAACGCAATTTGTGAGCCAGGTATTATTTAATCGTTCATTTTAATATTAATATTTAATTGTAAGGCCATCAAGAAACACGAATATGTAAAAAAATAGGAGTGGCCTAGCTACAAAAGAACTAGTTAAAAGATAATCATCAACGCTCACCAGTATAGTAAGAAGAGCTAAAATCCATCAATGTTATAATCCAAATCATCAATGTATAATCCATCAATGTTTGCATCACACCTTGTATGTGTGTACTTTACCTGAATAAACATTTGAATTTGAATTCGAAAATTTCCTATTATGAGGATAGATTCAAAAGAGCAAAAGAAAACATGAAAAGCACATGGAAAACCATCTCTAGCATCGTAGGATCTAAACAACAATCACATAAACAGATGAAACTCTCCAAAGATGGTTACACACTTGCAACAGACTTAGAAATGACAACTAAATTTAATAGCTTCCTTTCACCAGTTGGTGCTAATCTTGCAAAAAAAATCCTAGAGACCCAAACACATGTTACTACATATTTCACAAGCAGCTATCCTAATTCTCTACTCCTTTTACCAATCAGCCCGACAGACATTATAGTCATAATTTACTCACTTAAACCCAAAGCTAGGAACATGAAATAGTGGACCTTTGTGAAATACCATCTATGGTATATAGTGCTGCCCCCTGCTCTTGCACTTCCTATAGCTCTGCTATTCAACAAATCTCTAATGTCATACATTTCCTGATATCATTAATAAAAACAAGATTAACGCCGGTTCATAAAGGAGGCAAGACAGCTGACATACACAATTACAAACCAATATCGATCCTACCGATCTTATCCAAAATATGGGAAAAAATATTTACAAACAGCTTTACTCTTTCCATGTAAAGTTCAGCATATTGAACCCTTGCCAGTTTTGCTTCCGATCCCCAAAAAGAGTACTAATGATGCCATTATTAGGTTGCTTGATATAGTAAACACAGCCCTTGACAAAAATGAGTTCCCAATTGGCCTGTTCATTGACCTGAGATAGGCCTTTGATAGTGTAAACCATAACTACCTCTTTCATAAACTTCACCACTGTGGAATTCGGGGCCCTTGCTCTAAACAATATTCGATCATATCTTAATAACAGACACCAATATGTAGCCATCAGTGAGATAACCTCCCCACCCCCCTCTACCATGAAACGTAGGAGTGCCAGAAGGCAGTATCCTAGCATCTCTCCTATTTGTTATATAGCAATTATATTAAAAGTAATATAATTCCTCCAAATTCTCAGAGATTTCAGTACAGGTATTTATATGTACCTGTTAATTCCACATTCCAAGAAGTTCTATACTAATACTATATGCGCTTATGACAATTAATATTTCTTCCCAGGGGTACAGGATCTGAATTATTCAAATTCAAGTACGTTTATTGAGACAATAAAATACATCTCGAAGGGATAGAGTAGCTTAGGCTATTTCTGCCCCCTTCTGGATTGTACCTGGATCAGTTAGGTTAGCCGGATGGTGGTGGTGTAGCTGGTGGTGGTGTAGCTGGTGGTGGTGTGGCTGGTGGTGGTGTGGCTGGTGGTGTGGTGGGTGGTGGTGTGTGCTGGTGGTGGTGTAGCTGGTGGTGGTGTAGGTGGTGGTGGTGTTGGTGGTGGTGTAGCTGGTGGTGGTGTAGCTGGTGGTGGTGTGGCTGGTGGTGGTGTAGCTGGTGGTGGTGTAGCTGGTGGTGGTGTAGCTGGTGGTGGTGTAGCTGGTGGTGGTGTAGCTGGTGGTGGTGTGGCTGGTGGTGGTGTAGCTGGTGGTGGTGTGGCTCTTGGTGGTGTGGTTGGTGGTGGTGTGGCTGGTGGTGGTGTAGCTGGTGGTGGTGTAGCTGGTGGTGGTGTGGCTGGTGGTGGTGTGGCTGGTGGTGGTGTGGCTGGTGGTGGTGTAGCTGGTGGTGTGGTGTGGTGTGGCTGTGGCTGGTGGTATGGCTGGTGGTGGTGTGGCTGGTGGTGGTGTAGCTGGTGGTGGTGTAGCTGGTGGTGGTGTGGCTCTTGGTGGTGTGGTTGGTGGTGGTGTGGCTGGTGGTGGTGTGGCTGGTGGTGGTGTGGCTCTTGGTGGTGTGGTTGGTGGTGGTGTGGCTGGTGGTGGTGTAGCTGGTGGTGGTGTGGCTGGTGGTGGCGGGTTCCTGGACCAGGAGCCACATCACCACCTCTGGACGTGGTGTAGGTGGTGTGGTGTCCTCTTAGGTGGTCAGGTGTACCTCCTGCCCTTGATAACATTGGTGTACGTGGTAGTGTGTAGGTGGTGTGATGTAGGGTGGCGTGGTGTAGGTGGTGGTGGTGTGTGTTGGGTGGTGTGGTGTGGTGGTGGTGTGTAGGTGGTGTGGTGTAGGTGGTGGGGTGTAGGTGGTGTGATGTAGGTGGTGTGGTGTGGTGTAGGTGGTGTGGTGTAGGTGGTGTGGTGTAGGTGGTGTGGTGTGGTGGTGTGGTGTAGGTGGTGTGGTGTAGGTGGTGTGGTGTAGGTGGTGTGGTGTGATGTAGGTGGTGTGGTGTAGTGTGGTGGTGTGGTGTAGGTGGTGGGGTGTAGGTGGTGTGGTGTAGGTGGTGTGGTGTAGGTGGTGTGGTGTAGGTGGTGGTGTATGTGGGTGGTGGTGGTGTGGTGGACCAGGTGTAGGTGGTGTGGTGTAGGTGGTGTGGTGTACTTGGTGTGGTGTAGGTGGTGTGGTGTAGGTGGTATGATGTAGGTGGTGCGGTGTAGGTGGTGTAGTGGTGTGGTGTGGCGTAGGTGGTGTGATGTAGGTGGTGTGGTGTAGGTGGTGTGGTGTAGGTGGTGTGATGTAGGTGGTGTGGTGTGGTGTAGGTGGGGGTGGTGTAAGTGGTGTGGTGTAGGTGGTGTGATGTAGGTGGTGTGATGTAGGTGGTGTGATGTAGGTGGTATGGTGTAGGTGGTGTGGTGTAGGTGGTGTGGTGTAGGTGGTGTGGTGTAGGTGGTGTGGTGTAGGTGGTGTGGTGTAGGTGGTGTGGTGTAGGTGGTGTGGTGTAGGTGGTGTGGTTTAGGTGGTGTGGTGTAGGTGGTGTGGTGTAGGTGGTGTGGTGTAGGTGGTGGTGTAGGTGGTGTGGTGTATGAGTGCATGAGTCAGGTGACGTGATCCAGCCGTTTATCCTCCGCTTGACTCACAAGATTTCAGTGAGTCGTCAGTGATGATAACACTCTTATTACCCGTGTACCGCTCTTGCCCCATCAGACTGTGGTGGGTTGTAGGTGGTCACGTTCACCTGACCTGTGGTGGGTTGTAGGTGGTCACGTTCACCTGACCTGTGGTGGGTTGTAGGTGGTCATGTTCACCTGACCTGTGGTGGGTTGTAGGTGGTCATGTTCACCTGTCCTGTGGTGGGTGTTTAGTAGTCAATGATGGTGGTGGTACTACCACTATAAGACACTGGTCATAACACTATCAGAGAGGATGTTGGCGTCACTATCAGGCCGCGTGTTGGTATCTGTCACTATCAGTGATGGCACTCAGACGCTGGCTTAGTGGAAGACGTGTTCAGTGCTGATCTGCTTCCCTGTGAGGACACCTTTCACTGCTGGTGAGGCTTCTCTCAACCACCACTACCTCTACAGGCAGCCATCTTCCGCCTACCACACATTTATAATAATTCAAGATGTTTGACGTGTTCGGTGATCTGAAAAAGCAGATCACAACATCCGGGTAAGTCAACAGGTGATCGTGAACACAATCTGAGTCACTGAAATACCACACAATCTGCCTCCACCCTCACAGTCAATTTGTTTCCAGTTTACTTTTCCAACCATACATCCACACGAATTCAATCCACCATCTCTCACTCATTTGGTTCTGACGTCAAACTTACAAATATTGGCTTCATGAGGTTGTTACAAGGGCATTCACGTGGGAATGAAATAATATTGGTGTGCAATATAGCGTGTAATCCCGTGCTGGTGTGACCCCCCAGGCTGACCAAGCCCCGGGTGTCGTCACTGGCGTTCTTCGCGGCCAAGGCCTGCATGTTCATCACCCTGATGGCTTGCGTCCTGGTCACGGCCAAGAACTACATCGGCGACAACATCAACTGCATCACGGGCCATGAGAAGCAGGAGCACAAGGCCATAGAGACCTACTGTTTCATCGCCTCTACCTTCACCCTCGTCGACCTCAATGCCGCCGTGAGCACGTCACTAAAGATAAATTTGCCTTAGTTTTACCTCACCTTACTGTGACGGGCACCACATGGGTCTGCGTCAGCTGTGACGGGCACCACATGGGTCTGTGTCAGCTGTGACGGGCACCACATGGGTCTGCGTCAGCTGTGACGGGCACCACATGGGTCTGTGTCAGCTGTGACGGCCACCACATGGGTCTGCGTCAGCTATGACGGCCACCACATGGGTCTGTGTCAGCTGTGACGGGCACCACATGGGTCTGTGTCAGCTGTGACGGACACCACATGGGTCTGTGTCAGCTGTGACGGACACCACATGGGTCTGTGTCAGCTGTGACGGCCACCACATGGGTCTGTGTCAGCTGTGACGGACACCACATGGGTCTGTGTCAGCTGTGACGGCCACCACATGGGTCTGTGTCAGCTGTGACGGCCACCACATGGGTCTGTGTCAGCTGTGACGGACACCACATGGGTCTGTGTCAGCTGTGACGGACACCACATGGGTCTGTGTCAGCTGTGACGGCCACCACATGGGTCTGTGTCAGCTGTGACGGACACCACATGGGTCTGTGTCAGCTGTGACGGACACCACATGGGTCTGTGTCAGCTGTGACGAACACCACATGGGTCTGTGTCAGCTGTGACGGGCACCACATGGATCTGTGTCAGCTGTGACGGGCACCACATGGGTCTGTGTCAGCTGTGACGGACACCACATGGGTCTGTGTCAGTTGTGACGGACACCACATGGGTCTGTGTCAGCTGTGACGGCCACCACATGGGTCTTGATTAATCCAGGGGATGTTAAAGAGTGGTGCGTGTATTTACATGTTGATACTGTAACTGTTGCAGAGATCAACATCCCTCTAACGTAACCTGTCTTTACGTTTGTTAGTTGTTTTAGATTTACCTACTCAGAACGAAATGTCCATTTAGCACGGGTTATAGCGAGCCCGTAACTGCCTTTACATATTTCTCTTCTTAACCAATGTAATTATTTGTTAACTTATTGCTATACATCTATCCAGTCAACACTATACCACCGCTGGCAACAGCCCTGATGGCCATGAAACTGACTCTCCCGCCTACTTGCAGACGGCCGCCCACCCTGGAGTAGGACCCTTGCAGGTGGGCAAGACCATCGACGGCGTGAAGGAAGATGCCGACCTGCGGCGTCACGCCTACTACCAGTGGGTGCCCATGGTGCTCGTGCTCCAGGCCGTCATCTACTACTTCCCTCTTTGGCTCTGGGACAAGATCGACAAGGGTTTCTTCGAGGCCGCCCTTTGTCAACTCGACAAAGTTCACATCAGCGACGTCACTAAGAACGTAAGTAACATTCAAAATTCAAATTCAAATGTTTATTCAGGTAAAGTACATACATACAAGGTGTGATACAAACATTGATGGATTTATAGATAGAGCTAGTACATACAATGCCTAAAGCCACTATTACGCAAAGCGTTTCGGGCAGAAATCGCATTAACATTGCATGGTTAAACTCGTCCAACTGCAGCCATCTGTGGGATACACGTATCATTTATTTAAAACAACCAATAATACGATCATTCAATTCATCTTTAAATTTTGTGAGAGTACAATATATTTGAGAAATATATAATGCAGTCTTACTATGCTCCTGCCAGTAAGCGGTCCCACTTCTTCGGCACAGATTGAGAGCTCTGCTCGCTATTTTGCCAGCTCTCTCACCACGCACAGGAGCTACGGCGTGTCCTTCCTGTTGTGCGAGTGTCTGGTGTTCGGTGTGGCTGTGGGGAACCTTTTCTTCACCAACACTTTCTTGGGCGGAGAGTTCTTCAAGTTTGGTGCAGCAGCTATCAAGTACCTGGGTCACGACGCCACTGACCCCACCAACCCACTCAACGAGATATTCCCCAAGGTGAGCACCATATATATATAGTAACACTAATATTATATATATATATATATATATATATATATATATATATATATATATATATATATATATATATATATATATATATATATATATATACATATATAAAAACTCACACCCCAGAAGTGACTCGAACCCATACTCCCACAACTGGTATGTACAGGGACGCCTTAATCCGCTTGACCATCACGACCGGACAAAAGGAAGTGATAGCCGAGGCTATATGAACCACTTCCCCGCCGGCACTCGGATGGTAATCTTGGGCATAGCATTTTATCAAATCACCTCATTCTTTGGGGCACACGTGAGGAACACAAATGCAAACAAGCCTGAATGGTCCCCAGGACTATATACAACTGAAAACTCACACCCCAGAAGTGACTCGAACCCATACTCCCACAACTGGTATGTACAGGGACGCCTTAATCCGCTTGACCATCACGACCGGACAAAAGGAAGTGATAGCCGAGGCTATATGAACCACTTCCCCGCCGGCACTCGGATGGTAATCTTGGGCATAGCATTTTATCAAATCACCTCATTCTTTGGGGCACACGTGAGGAACACAAATGCAAACAAGCCTGAATGGTCCCCAGGACTATATACAACTGAAAACTCACACCCCAGAAGTGACTCGAACCCATACTCCCACAACTGGTATGTACAGGGACGCCTTAATCCGCTTGACCATCACGACCGGACAAAAGGAAGTGATAGCCGAGGCTATATGAACCACTTCCCCGCCGGCACTCGGATGGTAATCTTGGGCATAGCATTTTATCAAATCACCTCATTCTTTGGGGCACACGTGAGGAACACACGTGAGGAAGTGGTTCATATAGCCTCGGCTATCACTTCCTTTTGTCCGGTCGTGATGGTCAAGCGGATTAAGGCGTCCCTGTACATACCAGTTGTGGGAGTATGGGTTCGAGTCACTTCTGGGGTGTGAGTTTTCAGTTGTATATAGTCCTGGGGACCATTCAGGCTTGTTTGCATTTGTGTTCCTCACGTGTGCCCCAAAGAATGAGGTGATTTGATAAAATGCTATGCCCAAGATTACCATCCGAGTGCCGGCGGGGAAGTGGTTCATATAGCCTCGGCTATCACTTCCTTTTGTCCGGTCGTGATGGTCAAGCGGATTAAGGCGTCCCTGTACATACCAGTTGTGGGAGTATGGGTTCGAGTCACTTCTGGGGTGTGAGTTTTCAGTTGTATATAGTCCTGGGGACCATTCAGGCTTGTTTGCATATATACATATATATATATATATATATATATATATATGACAATGTCAGACCACGGAGGAAAATCAAACATATATATATATATATATATATATATATATATATATATATATATATATATATATATATATATATATATATAATGTTAATGTAATATTCATGGCTTAATATACCTGATTTAATATGACTATTACGCACCTCTCACCTATCTCCAACCCCCCCCCACCCCCACAGGTGGCTAAATGCACATGGCACAAGTTTGGGCCATCTGGCACCATCCAGACCGAGGACTCCATGTGTGTCCTGCCTCTCAACATTGTCAACGAGAAGACTTACATCGTCCTTTGGCTGGTGTATATCATTACTGCCTCCATCACCGGCATCGTCCTCGCTCTCCACCTTCTCCTCTTCTTCTTGTGAGTAGCCCTCCTTCTCCTTTTGTGAGTATCTCACCCCTCCTCTTGTGAGTATCCCTCCTCCTCCTCTTGTGAGTAGCCCTCCTCCTCTTGTCAGTAGCCCTCTCCTTGTGAGCAGCCCTATTCCTCCTCCTCTTGTGAGTAACTCTACTCCTCCTCTTGTCAGTAGCCCTACTTCTTATCTTGTGAGTAGCCCTCCTCCACTTGTGAGTAGCTCTCCCCTCCTCTTCTTAGAGAGCTGTGGTCTATGTCAATGAATCCCTCACTAGAAAAAGTCAGGAACTTTCCTACAAGTTGTGACAGGCTCGTCCTAGCAATGTATTGAACGCCTTGCATGTGAACTCATGGTCACCATACGAGAAACACCTATCTCTGATATCCCAAGAGTGAGACTCAGCCAGAGCATAAATGCTATGCAAATCAAGGATCCCAAATTGTGGAAAGATCTCCCGAATGTAATTAAAAGCTATACATCTCCCAACCAGTTTAAAAGAGAGACTAAGACATATTTACATAATATCATGTCACTAATATCATATAATTAATACATGTAACTTATTTCACTCACCTTTTCCCTTGTAATAAGTTATTTTTGTGTTACTCTTTTCTTAAATTTTTATTTACTAAGACTTATGTCCTTTCTTCATTAAGTGTCATTTAAGTCTTACATTTCTTTAATAATTGTTCATTCATGTTGTTTATGATCCTTGTTTATTTTTGTGCTGGCCTTATTAACTTAAATTATACAATATTACTCTGTTCTATTTTGTTCCAGTTGCATTTTAAATTACACCTTAGTTTTTCCACTCTGTCATTAATGCAAATAAACTGCTGTAGTGTTGCTACAACTACTGACTCCATAATGTGATTCATTATGGTGATTCATTATCATTCACTTCATTAATGTGATAGCCTATGCCTGTCATCATTTAGTATCACCTTTTCATTTTATTAATTTGTTATCTTTCTTGAACTTTCACATTTTTGTTAGATTCCTTCTCTTTTAGTATTTGGTGTTTACCCTCTCACCTTTAATAATTTTTTTTTTTAATTATTTCAACTTTTGCCCGAAACGCTTTGCGTAATAGTGGCTTCGTTAGTATGTGTAACTCCTGTCCCCACAATTGTACATACTCTTATGTTCTATGTACACACACATTCCTTTTAATACAAATTTGAATTTTCTTGTGAGTAGCTCTCCCTCCACCTCTTCCTTTTGAGTAGCCCTCCTCCTCCTCTTGTGAGTAGTCCACCACCTCCTCTTTTTGTGAGTAATTCCCTTCCTCTTGTAAAACAGTCCTTATATTCCACTTACACTAAGAATATAAGAATACAGGAACCGGCAGAAGGCCTGTTAGCCCATATGAGGCAGTTCTTATTCATACCCAAGTTAACTCATGCACATGTATGTCTAGCCTGAGCTTGAAACAATCCAGTGATGCCTTGTCTATTATGTTAGATGCTAATCAGTTCCGTAAATCTACAGCTCTACTCCCAAACCAGTATTTACCCAGGTCTCTTCTGAATCTATAATCTAATTTGTGTCAATATATTTAGCATCTGGTTAATATTGTCCTTGCTTTACCCTTTAAACCAATTGAGAAAAAATCAATCATGACCTCCTTTTCTGTTTGATTTTCTTGCGAATACATATCTAACTTACTAAATCTCTTCAAAAAGGAAACTTCATAATTCCATAAATTAGATTAGCTTTGACATTCTTTTCTAAATTTGCTGAAGAATTTATGTCCATGGTGACTAAAACTAAACTACTTAATCAATATTAAGTTCGGTATACTTGCCGGCCTCAGCGCCAGCATCAGGAACACCGTCCTCGTTCACATGGCCCACAAGCAGAAGACCAAGCTGGACCTGCAGAACGTCCTCATCAAGTGTAACTATGGTGACTGGTTCCTCATGTACCACTTCAAGAGGAATATGGCATACTTCAGTGACTGGATCAGCAAGGTGCGGGAGGAACTCCACAAGTAGACCACAGCAGATCATTTTTGGGTGCTGCTCACCTCATGATGTACTGATAATAACAAAACTAGTGCCAGGCACGTTTATGACAGTGATAACCTTGATCATTGTGCCGAGATCCTCACACTGCAGTGTTGTTCGTCTTCCCAGAGATCCCTGTCATAAGAACCTGTTACCCTGGCTACAGGTGCTCCTATTACCCTGGCATAAATCACTATATGATTACTGTGTCATCAGCAGATGACAGAATCATATACTTACACAAGATTTATGTGTAAGCCTATGTTATGAATTGTCAGTTAATTGTTTTAATATATTCAGTATTAGTGTGTATATTTATTATTATAAATAAATGCACATTATATATATATATATATATATATATATATATATATATATATATATATATATATATATATATATATATATATATATATATATATATATATATATATATATATTGGTGTATACTGGCAGCAGGTTTTCTTTCAAACATGTTTCATTGAATATGACCGCATATTCTGTATTTATTATTTTCTGGTTTAGGTTTTTCTGTTTAGATAGGAGATGCCTCGTATGGGCCAATACGCCTTCTGCAGCCCCTATGTTTATCCCTTATGTATCCCCCCATGTTTTTCACCTTCATTGTATTATCACCTGACCTAATGCGGGTATAAAATCAACTAGTATTGTAAGATCTGTTCACTTGAGAATGAACCATGGAGGTTCGAAACGTCGTGCAAATTATACAAATAAGTGTAATACACTCTATAGTAAACCACTTCTTTTCTTCACCTTAAAAGTACGAAAATGAGTTTTGGAGAACTCCTATTCCAATTAAGCCCTGATGCTAAGAAAATAGTTAGAGGGATAGAAGCCCTAAACCAGAAAATAATAAATACAGAATATGCGGTCATATTCAATGAAACATATATATATATATATATATATATATATATATATATATATATATATATATATATATATATATATATATATATAATTATAAAATGCCTAATGCCATATAAAATTAATTATATTATAAAATATAATATCAATATATATATATATATATATGTCGTACCTAATAGCCAGAACGCACTTCTCAGCCTACTATTCAAGGCCCGATTTGCCTAATAAGCCAAGTTTCATGAATTAATGTTTTTTCGTCTACCTAACCTACCTAACCTAACCTAACCTAGCTTTTTTTGGCTACCTAACCTAACCTTACCTATAAATATAGGTTAGGTTAGGTTAGGTAGGGTTGGTTAGGTTCGGTCATATATCTACGTTAATTTTAACTCCAATAAAAAAAATTGACCTCATACATAGAGAAAAGGGTTGCTTTATCATTTCATAAGAAAAAAAATATAGTAAATATATTAATTCAGGAAAACTTGGCTTATTAGGCAAATCGGGCCTTGAATAGTAGGCTGAGAAGTGAGTTCTGGCTACTAGGTACGACATATATATATATATATATATATATATATATATATATATATATATATATATATATATATATATATATATGACAGACTCAGACCACGGAGGAAGAATTCAAACAGGAATTTCCTTAAGTACTTTCGTATATTAATACATCTTCAGAAGGAATCATTGAATGAAGGAATTTCTAGAAAAAGGATATTTCTAGAATTTCCTTCCTATAGAAGGAATAACTTCTATATAAAGTTGTGAGGATATCACATCTGGTGCAAATGTGGGGACCCATAGCCTCGGAGAAGAAAATAAGGAGTATTCAGAGAAGACAGTGTGGATTCTCACTGAACACTAATATTTTCTTCTCCTACCACCTCCATTCTTTTGTGTGTGTATATATATATATATATATATATATATATATATATATATATATATATATATATATATATATATATATATATATATGTAAACTTACACAGTATAATTAATTTGTAATAAATGTATACAACTTATCTGCTCATCGTATAATTTCACGACCCTAATATCAATACTGTTCCCGGTCAATATTCATTATTTTATATGGCCTGAAAGGTGATAAGTAATTATCAAATAAGGTGTCAAGCCTGTGTTAAAGAACGTAAAAGTTCCTTGATATTATTCAAGATGTCAGTGAGAGCAAAAGGACACAAGGTGAGTGACGGGAAAGACACCAGATTAAATAAGGATTTTATTGAAGAACAAATCACTCAATCATTGAAAGATAAAATATTCAATATCCCTGAAAATCAAGACACTGTACTGGGAGGTGCGGGAATGTTAGAGAGCCAGTTCTGATGGTTAGGTACAATTAAGTGCCCACCAGTTTACTGTGTGGCCAGTACATAACCTAGCCAGTTACTTCCTGTTTAGAAGGCATGAAAAAAAGCCAGATATGTCACATTTCATAGTACTGTACTTAATTTGACATTCTTAATAATTATCAATCTTGCCATAAGTTGCAGATTGCATTGTGAATGACAGGATAGAAATCCGAGTAAGGAGTTCGTTTCTGGGAGATGGGACAGGCAACAACAGCCTCTTAGGGGGAGGGGGCATCCACGAGGTCATTAGAGAGCGCTAATCTGGCCGGGAACCAGCACAATCTGACGGTCTTATGACAGTCAAATTGACATGTCTTCCCTTGCTAGGTTAATGATGAACCTAGAAGGGGAAGACATGTTTCATTAATTTGTCATTATTGTTTTATATATTGCAGCTCAGATGTTTGTTGATGAGAAGACAGCCTGGTCATGTCTGTGCTTCGCGTCCTCCACCTCCCATCCCCTGAATATCAGCCGGCATATTTAATTAATGACTCTTAGCTGCGACTCCGCAGAGTTACAGCCCCGCTCCTGTGCCAGGTAAATCCACTACGGGCTCACCATAGCCCGTGCTACTTGGAACTTTTTGTTCCGAGTAGCTGAAGCTAAAACAACAACAGCTGCGACTGTATTGGCCTTCTCTTCCCTCGTGTGATCTTTGTGTTGGTGACACAATATCTCACAAGCCTCAACCCTGCGGCTCCTTTACCAATATCAGGTAATAACAAGCGTGTAAATAACGTTTACATATGCTTTATTAACTCAAAATAATTAAAAGTACATTTGAGTTAACTTATGACAAAATTAACAATTTACAATAACTTCGGAATCATGCTATGGCGTATAGTAATTTTAAAATATTAGTTTACAAATTGTTTACTTGAATTCAAAATTAATTGAATCAGACCTCAATACAAGGGGCTTCTACTGTAATTTGCATAAGGCAATATATGAACATTTGCAATATGTATACAAATATATGCAACTTATTAAATTATTGCAATCAGTATGACTAATGTTAAGCTACCTCTGTGTATTAATGTATTCATTATTTCCTCAAAATAATCCTACCTCCTAGACATTCTTTCTTCACAATAATAAAATAACTAGAGAAAGCAATCAATAAGCAACAAGATATCAAATATATACATTAGTCTCTCTTCTGCAGAATATTGACAGAAGGACTTATTAACATGATCAGCTACGGGTGTATGGCAGACGTGACCATTGTCATTGGTCACCAGGCGGTGTTTTCGGTGTGGTAACAATTTAATTCTTTCACTAGATTTAAAAAAAAATCAAAATAGTTCCTTATTTTGGAGTTTTGGCCTGATCTGTGGTGATCGTAGCCCCCAGCAGGCGATCGTGGATCATAGTCGTGTTTCCGCAAGGGTTGGATGTTAATCATACCTTGATTCCTGGTAAGATTTTATTCTGTGGGTAAAGTTCAACAAATTCAGTCATTTTGTTTCTTATGATTTTTTCATCGATACTCTTTAGCAGAAGCTGGTAAAAAATAAGTCTTGATGTCTGAATAAAATATACTATTACTCAGCTGTTATCTAGACAACATAACCAAATTCATCAAAGTTACACCATGCAATTTCACATCTTAGTACGAAGTGATTACCCAAAGTCCTTTGAGAAGGACTCGCTGCGGTCTCCTAGTCTCTCCTTAGCACTGCTTCTATAATTTGGGGGACATTGCATGTCTGGGTGAAGCAACGACATTATTCAGGAAGTGTTTCACAAGAGGTGCTACTCTTTCCGGGTGCGTCAGGTGGACGTGGTGAGCTCCGTCCACACAACTGTATTGGAACAGTCGAGAACTGCTAGAGTACCCGTCTAAAACTTTCCTATACACTGGCTCAAGCAACGAGTTGCAAATACCATTAGAAGCTCGCAACAAAAGTACAGGACATGTGATTCTAGTTACAACAAAATGCCAGTTGTCCATACCGTATAGCATAGTAAAGCGGGCATATACTTTACTGTCATGGCGCCATCTGTACTCATCACCAATACGGATTGCTGACCGTGGCAGTAGTATCTCGGCTGCAGCCTCATCAATGTTCTCTTCCTCGTTATTTGGTCCAGATTTTCGTGCATTGACGAGGCGCTGTAAAGCCTCCTTCTTGGTGTACAGAGGCCTAACCTTCTCATTTGCCTCTGCTTTAGTGACTATATTTACCTCGGCTCGCCAAGTGGTAATGCGATCCTGGTTGTGACGAGGGATTATATAGTCGAGCTGGATAAGTGCAATTATATCCTCTGGGAACATAGCTGTATAGTAGTTAGCTATAAGAGCGCCCATGCTGTGAGCTAAAAATACGAACTTGTACCACCCAAGTTTCTTGGCTACTAACCGAATATTGATAAGGTCCGTCAAGGCACTATAATGCATACCTGGAGGCAGGTGATCTGACAGACCATGGCCTGGTAAGTCTATAGCTAGCAACTCCACTCCTGAGGGCAGCAGCGGCGCCAGTGTGTCAAAGGTGTTAGCATTATCCAGCCATCCATGAAGACAAAATATCTTGAGGCCGTCACCGCTGGCACTTCCACCCACCACACAAGTCTTGCCCCGCACGACGCCCCAACCTACCTCGACGGTCACCTCCCTCCATCTTAATCCAGCCTCTCTCATGTTTGCTTCTTATCTGCAGAAGGAAAAAAATTGAAAACATATTTCTCAATGTTATGCTTTCTCCACTGTTTAAGATTACTCAAGTGCACAATATGTGTGAGGAGCAAATTATTAACACAAATGCATGAGGCTATGAAATATAAAACATATGGGCAATTTATTTGTATGGGAGAGTTTTGGCAATGTGGAGCTAGCAGTAAAGGAGTAGCTGCCGTTGGGGAATCAGAGTAGATGGTTCTCATTGTCAGGGGCAGAAAGCCTGTTAGGCTTGATGAGGTACTCCTAAGCCAATGATTAATGACATTTTCCAGTTGGCAACCCACCAATGGTTCTAACTGAAAGGAAACGTGCCCAAACATTTGTCATACCGCAGGAATCGAGCTTGGCGACTTTTCGGTTGTGAACCGATTATGCCGATCACTGTGCAACTGGACTTAAAAAGTTAGTGAGGCTAAAAACCGGTGAATCGGGCAAGACCTTGGTACCCAGCGAGCGTCCCATACCCGAGGAGGGCATTTCAATATACAGTATCACTATTAAATATTTGTTTACAAAACATACACAATTTGTGGAATGAATAATTATGATGGCATATGATTAAAGATGCCTAAATAGCAATTAGGTGGTATAGCAACGATGAGGACCATCATACATATATATTGACGTACATGGCAATTAGAAAGTAGAAATCGGTACTATTGGGTTTGGACAAACCGGAAAAGTTTTAGTACTGATGTTGCAAAGGAAACTTATCTAACCTTCCTAGGCCTAATACACGCTATATGAGGCCTAATATAGTACATATATGTGCTATAGGCCTAGGAATATTTTAAGTTTGAATTTTAGCTTTATTTTTTCGGACTATGAAGTGAATAGTACCAAATTCTATCTAATTAATGTCACTAATGTCAATAAGTGACAATAATGTCACTCACCTAGACATCAATTTTAAGGCACTTTGTCGACAGTTCGTGAGGGTGGCACCAGTCACTGCCTCTTGTGAGGGTGGCACCAGTCACTGCCACTTGTGAGGGTGGCACCTGTCACTGCCACTTGTGAGGGTGGCACCAGTCACTGCCACTTGTGAGGGTGGCACCAGTCACTGCCACTTGTGAGGGTGGCACCAGTCACTGCCACTTGTGAGGGTGGCACCAGTCACTGCCACTTGTGAGGGTGGCACCTGCCACTGCCTCTTGTGAGGGTGGCACCAGTCACTGCCACTTGTGAGGGTGGCACCAGTCACTGCCACTTGTGAGGGTGGCACCAGTCACTGCCACTTGTGAGGGTGGCACCAGTCACTGCCACTTGTGAGGGTGGCACCAGTCACTGCCACTTGTGAGGGTGGCACCAGTCACTGCCACTTGTGAGGGTGGGACCAGTCACTGTCACTTGTGAGGGTGGCACCTGTCACTTGTGAGGGTGGCACCAGTCACTGCCACTTGTGAGGGTGGCACCAGTCACTGCCACTTGTGAGGGTGGCACCAGTCACTGCCACTTGTGAGGGTGGCACCAGTCACTGCCACTTGTGAGGGTGGCACCAGTCACTGCCACTTGTGAGGGTGGCACCAGTCACTGCCACTTGTGAGGGTGGCACCAGTCACTTGTGAGGGTGGCACCAGTCACTGCCACTTGTGAGGGTGGCACCAGTCACTGCCACTTGTGAGGGTGGCACCAGTCACTGCCACTTGTGAGGGTGGCACCAGTCACTGAGGGTGGCGCCAGTTACTGCTAGTAAGGGTAGCTCCAGTCACTATCAATTGTGTGGATGTTTCCAATCACAGTTGTGACGGCAGCACCAGTCACTGCCAGTTATGGTGGTGGCCCCAGTCACTGTAAATTATGAAGATAGCAACAGTCACTAGCAGTAATGAATATTAAGACAGGTTATATGTATCAACCACCACGAGTGCTGATGGGTTGTGACAGGTGTGAGTGGAGGAAGACTGTAATGGTTGTCAGACAGTGCCGAGGAGTAAGTGACAGTCCAGTAACAACTCTGCTCACCGTGACAAGTGTTGCACTTTGATCTATGAGGAGACTCGCGTCACCACTACTGCCACATCATCCTTGCTCCAACACCTTCCCTCTTCCTATCATTCTCCCAACCTGGCTTAACTTTAATAACTACTTAAGAAATTGTATTAACATTGGGGGAACAAGTTGCTTGCTTAAACATTTGTAAATAATTAAAGTAATGGGCCACAATTTACAGCATTGTGTTAAGTAGCATCTGATCCAAGATGCGGGAACGTGGCCAGGGGACTGTGGCCCTTATGACAAGATAGATGGAGAGGCCACACTACCATCTGCCAGGTGTGTGGCCCTTGTGGCGGGAGGCTGGAGAGGCCACACTACCATCTGCCAGATGTGTGGCTCTTGTGGTAGGAGGCTGGAGAGGGCCATACTACCATCTGCCAGGTGTGTGGCCCTTGTGGTGGGAGGCTGGAGAGGCCACACTACCATCTGCCAGGTGTGTGGCCCTTGTGGTGGGAGGCTGGAGAGGCCACACTACCATCTGCCAGGTGTGTGGCCCTTGTGGTGGGAGGCTAGAGAGGCCACACTACCATCTGCCAGGTGTGTGGCCCTTGTGGTGGGAGGCTGGAGAGGCCACACTACCATCTGCCAGGTGTGTGGCCCTTGTGGTGGGAGGCTGGAGAGGCCACACTACCATCTGCCAGGTGTGTGGCCCTTGTGGTGGGAGGCTGGAGAGGCCACACTACCATCTGTCAGGTGTGTGGCCCTTGTGGTGGGAGGCTGGAGAGGCCACACTACCATCTGCCAGGTGTGTGGCCCTTGTGGTGGGAAGCTGGAGAGGCCACACTACCATCTGCCAGATGTGTGGCCCTTGTGGTGGGAAGCTGGAGAGGCCACACTACCATCTGCCAGGTGTGTGGCCCTTGTGGTGGGAGGCTGGAGAGGCCACACTACCATCTGCCAGGTGTGTGGCCCTTGTGGTGGGAAGCTGGAGAGGCCACACTACCATCTGCCAGGTGTGTGGCCCTTGTGGTGGGAAGCTGGAGAGGCCACACTACCATCTGCCAGGTGTGTGGCCAGGGGACTGTGGCCCTTGTGGCGGAAGGCTGGAGGGATAATGTTCTTAGTGCAAGATTTATTTGATTGATGCCACCATCAGCGTTAGTTTACTGTGCACTTCATACTCATTATGAGCGGTAGTTTACTGTGCACTCCGTACTCATTCCGAGCAATAGTTTACTGTGCATCCTATACTCACTATGTGAGTGGCAGTTTACTGTATATCCCCATACTCACCCTGTGAGTGGTAGTTTACTGTATATCTCATACACATCCCGTGAGTGGTAGTTTATTGTATATCCCATACACATCCCATGAGTGGTAGTTTATTGTGTAATGATACTCATCCTGTGAGTGGTAGTCTGTGCACACGATACTCATCCCAACCAGTTAACCTAATGAAGGGAATCGTCCCTTCACCTTCTTGTGTGTGGTTTGGTCAACTCCTAATAGCACATTGCATTTTGATGTATAGTTTACCTAAGGCCAAAATTCGCAAAATTGATGTTAGTTAACTTATTATGCACCCCATACCCATCCTGTGGGCGGTAGTGGAAAGGGTTACAGAGGCACACAATGTTCTGAGGGATTGAACCCCACAATTCAGTTAGCTATGTTACAGTCTTGATGAGCTAGTTAAAAAAAATAATGTATATTGTTACATCAATAATTGGTTCGAGACCGACTACAAGTAGTCTCTAAATTAAGCAACTGACATATATGGTGATGATGATGTTATAGATTCAGCTACTCGGAACAAGTTCCAAGTAGCACGGGCTATGGTGAGCCCGTAGTGGACTTACCTGACACAGGAGCGGTGCTGTGTCAGCTAGTGTCACAATTTATGTTTATCCTGCACCCAGCCCCCCATCCAGTGGGCAGAGATGGAGAGGTTACAATCACCCACATTTAAATTTGAATTAAATCACCTACATTTGAATTAAATTTACTACCTACAGTTAGCAAACTGGGTATATTTAACTAAAATTTCTGGTAGTAGATAATTTTGAATGAAATACAATATTTACACATTTCTTAAACATTTGTTATAGATATGTCTTTGAATTAACATGTAGTTTTGCACTCCATCACACAGTGACGGAAGGTGTGCGAATAATTTTGTTGACATAGTTTACATTTGGTCATGTCTAAAAACTGATGTACAAAAAATGGTAGTGGCTTGTGAAATTTACATAATGTTCTGTTTTCTGTTTGTGGGTCCTTTTGTTGGTTAGGTACGGGCACTTTAGTACACGAGTTTAGTGATTTTGGGAATGCTCAGGAAGACAGGCTGCTCATACTGTGATGGTCGTTTACTGTGTACTCCATACTAAGCTGTGAGTGGTAGTTTATTGTGCACCCCATACTTATCCTGTGAGTGGTAGTTTATTGTGTACCAAAATCAAATGCAACCTGTGAGCAGTAGCTTTCTGTGCACCTCATTAAAGATATTTATTGCATTATTCATGCAATACTATAAAGGTGTTGCTTTAATCTAATCATACTCTACGTCCACTTTGTGCCAACTCTTGCCCCGAGTAGAATTTTGCATATGAGTGGAACCCCTCCCTTATTGCTAAATCATATTTGGTGCTACCTTCATTTGTCCAACAACTCCCTGCTCCTACATCAGCAAATATTTGTAGTGAATATTTTCACTAATGTATAATGAAGTGTATAGTAAGAATTGCATACAGGTATAATGAAGATCATGGAGGCCTATCATTAATATTTTCACTAACCAGGAACCAGGAACCTGGAAGGACCCAGGTGGTTAAGGAAGGTCAGCTGCTGTGCTTCACATGGGTACCTCTACTAGATGGAAATAAAACAGGCAGGCAATATACATGTGTAGGCTTTTCCTTTGGGGGTTTTAACCCGAAGAAAAATACCGTACCTAGAGGAAACAAAACATCAGATATATAAACAGCAGCAAAATTCATAAAAATAAACAAGGTTTCTATAAATTTTATGGATATATTTCTGACTATTACAGTATATACATTTTAGCACAATACAATAGTTTTGATTACATAGTGTATAGGTCATATAAACTAACAAGAGGATTATAGGTAGGTGGAAGTTGTATTTTCATTAATATTCATACAACTTATTCTTGAATAGATCAATGCCTAAAATTATATTTTCTTTACTAAAAAATATCCTTACATGTATTCAACATGTTAAACTATATTTACTAGTGAGAAGTACTGTCAAGGAATTTATAAAATCAAATTATGTTAGTAGCCTACCAGTTGTAGATATGTCAGGGACCTCAGTATATATTTACACTACTGTACCCTAGCCTGTCACTTATTAGATGAAGGTACCACAACCACACACATACTAGTTACATGCTTCTCAATATCTAAACCGGCTGTAAGGCATTTGCCATTTACCGGTAGGTATTTCTGAAGACTGTACTGTACTGTGATGTGTAATGTGGTGTGCAAGATCATCTCAATCTAGTAATCCCAGTACAATATTGAACAGTTTAGAGGATATTAATTCAGACTACATCTTCAAAAGATCAAACGTATCACAAACAAGGAGCAACAGTTTTAAGCTCAACAAGCCACAATATAGGACAGAAACCAAAAGACATTTTACACCCATGGAACTGCTTACTGTATCTCCCCAAGTCGTTAATGCCAAAACACTGCTGCCATTTAAGATCCAAATATACAAAATCATCAGGGCAAATAGGGGTCCATTGACAAGCCACTGGCTTCCTGTCTTCATTGAGACCACTAGAGAGATAGCAGCCCTTGGGTAAATTCAAGTAAAGAAATTTTCCTTGTTTGCTTCGAAGGATATTTATAATTTTGCATGTATCTGGCCTAGGGTACACTTGGCCACTTTTTCAATAAAGGCTGACACATCTGGTGCTACCCGCTCTGGATGAGTTAAGTGCACATGATGTGACCCTTCCACAACAGTAATATCAAACCACTTTGCATTTTTGGTGTACACATTTAATTCTTTTTGGTAATATGTTTTAGGTAGGAAACAAACACCATCTGTGGCTCGAACCACCAAAACTGGGCATTTGATTGAAGATATGGCATGTAGCCAGTTATCATTGGTAAACACAGATAGAAAATTTGGTCGAGCCTTTGGGTCATGGGTCCAGATATATCCTCCATCAACCTGACGTGCAGATCTGGGAAGAAGTACATATGCTGCATCTTGATCAATATGAGAGTCTCCACCTTCCCAGAACACACGTGCAGCCACCATGCGATCTATTGCTTCACTTTCAGTAAACACTATTGGATCCCTTTGCTCTTGCTCAGCTTTAAAAATGTTGTGTGCATCATTACGCCAGCTTTCTATTTTTGAAGCAATATGACCTGGCTTAATAAAATCTAGATTAATGAGTGCCACTACATATTCAGGAAAGAGGGCAGTAAAATAATTTGACACAGCTGAACCCATACTGTGTCCCATTAAAATAAATTTCTTCCATCCTAATTTCCAAATTGCTGTCCGAAGATTAAATGCATACGTAAAGGGATCATAACGAGCGCCAAGGGGCAGATGGTCAGATAAGCCATGTCCTGGCAAGTCCAGAACCAACATTTCTATCCCAGATGGTAAGAGGGGTACAAGTGTGTCAAAGGTATTAGCATTGTCAAGCCATCCATGCACACCTAAAATCTTTGTACTATCCTTATCGTCAAAATTTCCAACAATACACGTTTTGCCACGAAGCTTTCCCCAGCCCACATCAAGAGAGATATCGTGCCACAGTACCTCTTTCCCTGCCATCTTCATTCACCACGCAATAACCTGCAGGAGGAAAAGCAACATATTGCACTTATTACAAAGTACAGTACTGTATGTACCTGAATTAGGCATACATAGTAATACTGTATTTAAATTCACATTGTCTGCTACAGTGCTCCAATTCTTTGACTACATTTTATTTCAATATCCAGTGGAAGTGATATTTGTTCTCAAATTGGTTAAAGTTATATGATTTTTATTTTCCCTAAAAAGAACCCAACAGACTGAATGGATTCATGAACTATAAGGCAATCACTAGCAGAGGTAACTAAAAACTGGTACGCCAAGTCACGACCTTTTAATCCCCTTGAACGTACCTGTGCAGGGTTACTGAGCGGCTACCTGGTGACATCATTGACCATTAGCGATGTCTGTGCAGGGTCAGCGGGGTAACGAAAAATGCACGACTCAATGACAGGCAGTTGAGGATGGGAGCGACGCGTCAGCGGGGTAACGAAAAAATCATGACTCAATGACCGGCAGTCAAAGTGTCACAGAAAAAAATCACGACTCAATGACCGGCAGTCAAAGTTTCACGGAAAAAAATCACGACTCAGTGACTGGCAGTCAGCGTGTCACGGAAAAAAATCACGACTCAATGACCGGCAGTCAAAGTGTCACGGAAAAAAATCACGACTTAATGATCGACAGTTGGGGATGGGAGCGACGCGTCAGCAGGGTAACGAAAATCACACGACTCAATGACCGGCATTGGGAAAAAGTAAAATTGCCGGTCATTGTGTCATATACCACTACTACTTGCACATCAAGATCTGGAATAATGTAGAGTTAATTTAATTACAGCATATACTGTAAAATTCTAAATTAGGAGTGCCACCATCTGATATTTAAAAGTTTAAATTTTACACAAGAGTGTCCTTGCAATGTTGATATCAATACCCAGTGGTGGAAAATGCTTGCAAAGTAGCTTCATAAACAAGTCATTGGGTGTGAGCAAGGTTTTAAAAAGTGCTCAATGAAATGGAATATCCTTTTTCTGATGAAGTCCTCAGTCATTTCCCAAGCTACCGATGTAACCCTCAGCATCTCGCCAAGTTACTGGTGGAGCCCTTATTAGCATCCTAATGCAGAGCCCTCAGTAGCTCCTCAAGCTACTGGTGGAGCCTCTCAGTAGCTCCCCATGATACTGGTGGAGCCCTCATAACTCCCCAAGCCACTGGTGGAGCTCTCAAAGCTCAACAAGCTACTGGTGGAGCTTTCAGTAGCTTCCAAAGCTAAGTGCTAATCTAGCCATGCCTTATGAAGATGCTGCACTGTGGAAACAACCTAAAGTGCATGACTAACTTCTGACCAGACAACCCAGGCATTAATGGCTATTAGTTTCAGTAGATGTAGTGTACATTAACTTCTCTAAAGCTTTTATTTATTTATTTATATACAAGAAGGTACATTGGGATTATGAGGATACATAGCATAGTAATTACATTCTTGTAAAGCCACTAGTACGCGCAGCGTTTCGGGCAGAATTTTTGATAAGGTACCTTATAAAAGACTGGCAAAGAAATAACAATCACATGGAAACATGGAATAAGCAGGAAAATACTAGAATGGATAAAACAATGGTTAAAAAAGCAAAGGGATGCCCTAAATGGAAAAGAATCTGACTGGAAAATGTTGCGAGAGGAGTATTGTACTGGAAAAATCTTGGGATCAACTTTTTTTTTTTATGAAAGCCAACAACATAGATGAGAATACTGTACTATATTATAAACTGCATCATCAAATTTGCAGATACTGTAATACAAAGATCTAAGGTAAAGTGGGAAGCAAAAAGGATAATGAAGCCTTGCAAAGGGTTTACATGAACTCCACAATGGTCAGAACACTGGCAAATGCTTTTAAATATTAAAAAATGCAAGAACTTTCATGTAGGGTATAACAATATAAATTATGACTATCATATCAACAACACAATATACAGCAGATTGATAAAAGAAAGGACCTAGGAGTTATGATCACCCAGTCACTGAAAGTTGTTCAATAAGTGCAGACTGACTGCAATTTGCAGTCTCCGTGGTGTAGTGGTAAGACACTCGCCTGGCGTTCCGCGAGCGCTATGTCATGGGTTCGTATCCTGACCGGGGAGGATTTACTGGGCGCAATTCCTTAACTGTAGCCTCTGTTTAACGCAACAGTAAAATGTGTACTTGGATGAAAAAACGATTCTTCGCGGCAGGGGATCGTATTCCAGGGACCATAGGATTAAGGACTTGCCCGAAACGCTACGCGTACTAGTGGCTGTACAAGAATGTAACAACTCTTGTATATATCTCAAAAAAAAAAAAAAAAAGTGAGAGTTGTGGTAACAGAATCTCCTACCCACTGAAGCCATAAATACCAAAACAACACTTCAGTACAGTAAACAAATTCAGACGGAAAATATCCTCAGGAATAATGTGGGAACCTTTGACAAGCCACTGGCTTCCTGTCCCAGATGAGGCCATTAGAGATGGTGGCTCTCAGGTAAATATAATTGAGTGACCCCAAATTCCATAAAACTTGGCTAAGTAATGACTATACCCAACTCTACAATTTAGCTGGTTATAAAGCCATTCATAACTGCAGGCCTAATAAAAAAGGTGGTGGCACAGCAATATATTACAAAGATACCTTCATTTGCAATAGTGTTATTAGTGATAGAGACGACTATTGTGAATATACCTTTGCCAAGTTCTCCAGTAAATCCCTTAAATCCTCCCTGACTATCGGTGCCATCTATAGATTTCCTAATACCAACATAGCTTCATTCTCAGACAACGTAAGGAATCTTATCATAAATAACAATCTCAACAAAAATCACATCAATCTGGGAGGTGATTTCAATATTGACCTGGGTCTTCAAAACAACCCTCAAGTTGACTATTTCCGTAATAGCATGCACTCCTGTATGCTAATCCCCACAATCACCAAGCCCACCCGAGTCACTCAAACATCTGCCACTACCTTGGATCACCTATGGACTAATATAACAGCTCCCTTTACATCTGGGGTAATTTATGACAGAACAACTGACCACTATCCTACCTTCCTCATAGCAAACATGGACACAACACCACCAGAAACCAAGAAACTCTCATTCAGGCTACACAGTCAATCAGCTTTAGGCAATCTCTCTAATGCACTTCACAATATTAACTGGGAATCTGAATTTAATAATACACAGGATATAAACTCATTAACTAACCTCTTTCTCTCCAAAACTCTAAGCCTCTACAACACTCACTGTCCCCTCCTTTCCAAACAAGTAACTGATAAAAAAAAAAATAACCTGTGGCTCACAAGTGGCATAATTAAATCAATCAACAAAAAACATGAATATGAAAAGAAATTTAGGAGTGGCCTAGTTACAAAGGAAGTAGTTAAAAGGTACTCATCAGTGCTTACCAGTATCATAAGAAAAGCTAAACTTTCATATTATGAGACTAGATTCAAAGAAGCAAAAGGCAACATGAAAAACACATGGAATACCATCTCTAATATCCTAGGAACTAAATAACACTCCCACAACCAGATAACACTCTCTAAGGATGGCCTTACACCATCATCTGACCTAGAAATGGCGAATGAATTTAATAGCTTCTTTTCATCGATTGGTGCTAACCTTGCAAGTAAAATCCCACAGGCTCAGACACATATCAACACATATCTCTCGGGCAGCTATCCAAACTCTCTTCTCCTTTCACCAGTCAGCCCGACAGATGTTGTGTCCATCATACACTCACTAAAAACCAAAGCTGGGAACATCAGTGAAATCCCATCCATTGTATACAAGAGCGCCTCCCATGCCCTTGCGCCACCTATAGCTCTGCTGTTCAACAAATCCCTTGAGTGTCATACCTTCCCTGATATCCTTAAAAAAGCAAGAGTAACGCCAGTTCATAAAGGAGGTAATCCGGCAGACATAAACAACTATAGACCAATATCAAACCTACCCATACTATCAAAAATATTTGAAAAAATTATCTACAAACAGCTCTACTCCTATCTCGTAAAGTTTGACATTCTTAGCCCCTGTCAGTTTGGCTTCCACTCCCAAAAGAGTAGCAACGATGCAATTATTAGTCTCCTTGATATAATTTACTCAGCCCTTGACAAAAATGAGTTTCCGATTGGACTCTTCATTGACCTGAGAAAGGCCTTTGATACTGTTAATCACGATTACCTCTTATGTAAACTCCATCATTATGGAATCCGAGGCCATGCACTGGACTATATCCAATCCTACCTTAGTAATAGACACCAATGTGTAGCCATCAATAATATAACCTCTCCCACTCTACCAATAACCGTTGGAGTGCCACAGGGCAGCATCTTGGGACCTCTTCTATTTCTTATATACATCAATGATCTGCCTAATGTCTCTAACATTCTGAAACCTATTTTGTTCGCTGATGATACTACCCTCATCTACTCCAACCCCAACCCACATACACTAAATAATGTTGTTAATAATGAACTAAAAAAAGTCCACTTATGGATGTCAACCAACAAACTAACACTTAACATAGAAAAGACCTACTACATCTTATTTGGAAGCAAATCTACAAATGCAATTCAGCTTCAGATAGACAATGTAAACATTAGCAATAAAAATGATGGAAAGTTTCTTGGCCTATTCCTAGACAAGAGACTCAACTTCAGTACTCACATACAACACATAACTAAGAAAGTCTCTAAAACAGTTGGTATACTCTCCAAAATCAGATATTATGTACCTAACTCTGCTCTCATCTCTCTATATTATGCATTAATCTATCCCTATCTCAACTATGGTATCTGTGAATGGGGTTCAACCGCTGCAAACCACCTCAAGTCCATCATCACCCAGCAAAAATCTGCTATCAGAATAATATCAAATTCTGCTTTCAGGCAACACTCAGCCCCCTTGTTTAACTCCCTAAATATACTAAACATAATCTCACTCCATAAATTTTCTTGTGTCAACTACATTTACAAAACCCTGTTCTTAAATGCAAATCCTGCTCTGAAACTCTTCCTGGACAGATGTAATAGGACCCATTATCACCACACCAGAAATAAATATCTCTTTGATATCCCCAGAGTTAAACTTAATCTGTGTAAACACTCTATGCAAATAAAGGGACCCAGTTTATGGAACTCACTCCCTATTGAATTGAAAAGCTGTCCAACTTTTACATCATTCAAAATCAATACTAAAAAGTACCTAATTTCGTCTTCATAGTTTTTCACCTTTTGCCTTAAAATTGCACTGTATCTATTGCTACCCAATCTCCCAACCTGTATGTTCCCAATTTGAACATCTTTACCATTGTGATCATTGCTGTCTTCTTATATGTGCTGCCAATCTGCTATATGGTGTTTATTATTGTTTAACATCTTTACCATTGTGATCATTGCTGTCTTCTTATATGTGCTGCCAATCTGTTGTATGGTGTTTATTAATCTTGTTTATCTGTATCTATTGCTACCCAGTCTCCCAATCTTTATGTACCCAATCTGAGCATCTTTACCATTGTGATCATTGCTGTCTTATATGTGCTGTCAATCTGCTGTATGGTGTCTATTAATCTTGTTTAAATTATCAGTCAAGCTGTCAATGTAATCAATCAGAGCTTTAATATAACAATGTGCTTTAATATACTTACTAAGCTCTCTCATCTCATTTTTCTCTTGCAATGTATTTGTTATCATTTATCAATTCTGATAGAAATTACCTACTTAAAATTATCTGTTAGATTAAGGACCTGCCCGAAACGCTACGCGTACTAGTGGCTTTACAAGATTGTAAATACTGTACTATTCAATGTATTCTCACAAACCCAATGTACCTTCTTGTATATATATAAATAAATAAATAAATAAATAAATAAATAAATAAATAAATAAATAAATAAATAAATAAATAAATAAAGCTGAAGATTAAGTAGAAGGTTAATATAATTTATAGTATCAAATGTCTCTAGTCAGTTAAGAGGGCAATTAAATTTTATTTTTGTAGAACGTCTAGTAGAATATGTCAAATAAACTTAAACAGTAATGACATTTGAACTTTTGTGTTTTGAAGCTGAATTGACTGCATCAAAATTTATATGGTAGGTATAATTTGTAATATTTTTAAAGTACAGTACTGTAGTACTGTATATTTGTAGATTTGATATCCATTTAATTGTTTATGTTAAATGAATAATGATAAATATCTATATATTGTATACTAAAACAATTCTATGTGGGTTGATTTAATTTTCTAACACCCTTTTTCCATAAATATTAAATGTTTAGATTTAAATTTAGATTCGGATTTAGATTTTTTTATTCAGGTAAAGGTACATACATTGAGTTACATACATAATGTTAGATTTAAAGATAGAGATAGTACATACAATACCTAAAGCCACTAGTACGCATAGTGTTTTGGGCAAATGGTGACTACAGTATTTTTTATACATCTTATTGTACACATGCATAAATCAAATACAGTACAGTATACTGTACACTTGATAAATGATTTGAGCAGTTTCCTGAGAGATGGTGTTCTAACTGTTCTAACTTCATTCTGTCTATTAGAAGTTTAGATTCTGTAGTCAAATTCATTGTTGTCACCACCCACTGACGTTTACCTTATTTCATTATAAGGAGAGCTTATATCCATCTACAATTATGCTTTTCATGTTTTATATTCAGTATCAATACCTTAAGAAGAAAATATTTACCTGAATTTACCTGAGGACCACTAACACTAGTGGCCTTGACGAGGATATGTCGCCAGCAGCTTGTCAAAGGTCCCATTTGCCCTGATGATCTTTCCAGGTTAGATTTTAAAATTTAACAGAGTTTTGGCATTTAAGGCTTAGGCAGGTAGCGGTTCCATGGGTTTATAACCCTGTGAGTAAAAAAGCACCTCCTGTTCTCAATCCTACATTGTGGCTTGTTGAGCTTGAAACCGTTGCTCCTTGTTTGTGTTACATCTGACCTTTTAAAAAAATTGTCTGAATCAACATCCATAAAATTGTTCAGTATTTTAGTCTTCTCATATTTTTCATTTGTTCTTTATTTAGGTAATTCAAAGAAGTTTTGGGTAATTCTATGGACCAGTATACTGTACATTAGAATAAGAAGCCAGTGGCTAGTTTTAGCTAAAAGTACATTTAGATCCAGTTCCTAAAAAAATTACTGCTTGTGAATCTGAATGCCTATTCCCCCAACACATACTAGATTTTTTTTTTTTTTTTTTTGCAGGGATATTCTTGCGCGGGCCCTAAGCCTCTGGCTGGCCACCTAAGTGTTGCTTGTTTGTTTTACTTGGGCGGAGTATGAGTATTTATGACTCGTATGGTCGCTTCAGTAAGATTTTGCCATATGTGTTTACATACTATATGGACATGAGGCCCAAAATGAACTAGAAAATCTAACTAACCATGAACTGTAGGTGGTTGTACACAGGTTTTAGGTCAAGTTGTTCCCATTTTTAACTTGTGCCTAACATAAAATAGTCATCCTAGCTTAATACAGCACTGTATATATATATATATATCCTAACCTAATCTAACTTAATATGATCATATAACCTCACTTAATTAACCATTAGTAAGTTTACAAAATATTATTCCTGGCATCTTGGAGAGTTAGTCTAGTTCATTTATTTTGCACCCCATACCCATCTTGTGGGCAGTAGTGGAAAGGGTTACAGAGGCAAATAATCGGCTTAGGGACTGAACCCCACAATTCATTTACTAGGGAAGTTACAGTCTTGATGAGCTAGTTACAAAACTCAATGCACATCATCACATCAACAATGGGCTCAAGACCGTCCACATGTACCGTTTCTAAATTAAGCATCTGACATGTAGAGAGCTAGTGACACAATTGATATGTTTATCCTGCACACTGCCCCCCATCCAGTGGGAAGCAATCACTTAGTTACTACTTACAGTTAGCAAATTGGGGATATTTAGCCAAGATTTCGGGTAGCAGATCATAGAATTTATGAATCGTGTGAATGATGAATACTTTCCTAACCAAAGGACTGTAGGTACATAGAATACAAATCCATATGGATATGGTTAAATAGTACAAAGGCATTTTGACCACATTTTTAATTGTCAAAACCATATATAAATAGGTTAGATTAGGTTGTGTTAATCTCAATTTGGGCTGTTAGACTGGGTAAAGTTAGGTAGGTTTTAAAATTAAATCCATTGGCAAATCATCTTGTGTACGATGTGACATGTATTCAGTCCATAGGTCAATGTGGTGCTGAGAGATGGAGAGACCAATAGACTACTGTACTAGCTGAATACAGGAGAAAAATTATTTACTGGTGGATTTATAGATTGTACTTAGCTTACCAATGAATCCTCCGCTGTTCATGTATAATTTGTATGTACACTTGTATAACTAAAATATTATTATTATTATTCTATTATGCTTGTACAATTACATAGAGCCAGTTATAACAGTAGATGACTCATATACAAACTTTAACAACCCATGATATATATTAAAAATTTTAGCAGTCCCAGTGACACAGTGGTGCTCTGCCCGGCGCTCTGGGCTGGGTTCGTATCCTGGCCAGGGAAGGATTGACTGGGCCCTAATCCTTAACTGTGGCCTCTGTTCAGCCAGCAGTGAATGGATACCTGGTTGTTGAACAATTTGGCGGGTCGTATTCCAGGAAAAAATTTGGATTAAGGATCTGCCCGAAACCCTATGCATAGTAGTGGCTTTACAAGAATGCAAGAACTCTTGTATACAGTATATAAATACACACACAAAAAAATTGTAAAGTAGGTTCATTTTGCAGATGAGATCACAACCATTACAACTGAGTGAGGACTGAGCCAAAACTCTGTTAAATTTTAAAATCCAACTGGAAAAGATCATCAGGGCAAATGGGTGGGGTCTTTGAAACCCATTTGCGCCGGCTTCCTGTTCTTGTCAAGGCCACTAATGTTAGTGGCCCTCAGGTAAATTTAGGTAAAAAGTGGTACCCTACTCAGGTAAAAGATTTGGGTAATTCTACGGACCACCTCTCTGTTAACGGCCGGCAAAAGGGTCATGAAGAGAAAGTGCCAAGCAAAACTATGATATAGTATTTACCTATTGATCGACATTTGTACAAGTGCCACACTATAAACGTTAACTTTCCATGCAGGCATAGAGGTCAGTTATGATAAACGTACCAGAGCGACGTTGTGTGTATGGTGTGAAGATGGTAGAACTTTCCATGTAATGACTGATCCAGCTGTAATGTGGCCCGGGCCGCCTAATACAGACCTGTAAGCAGCACTTTTTAATATGGTTCCTAAGAATGACCCAAAACACTGCTTATAACGTCCTAGAATTACGTAAATAATGACAAAATAAATGTTACTACATATTATTGATAAGGTACCGGTGCTGTAGCTGCCCCTAATCCAACAACATAAACATAATATACCTGAAGAACACAAACACAAGTGGCCTCGACGAGGACAGGAAGCCGGTGGCTTGTCGAAGGGCAATAATAATAATAATAATAATAATATCTAAACCTTTCACATATAATAATAATATTTAAGCTATTTTTTGTATTAACAAGCTTAGGTATACACAGCAATGTGCTGCTATCTTATATGAAAGATTACACAATGTAGATAAAAAACTAGCTGTAAGTTCATCTAATATTCCTAATGAAATCAGATAACATTTGTGAATTGAAGAGAATTAGAAAATTATTGACAATATTTACGTGATATTGAGAACTGCAAATTTTGCAAATGTACAACAGTAAGTAATAATAAATTGGTGACCTAAGTTTGTTAAAAAAAGTTGTGTAAAACGTGAATAACATAAACATTAAATGAAAATAGACCATGATAATGGATTGTGGAGTCAAGACACCAAATTATAACGAGTTTATATAATTTAGAGCCACAGTGTGTACCTACACTTACGTCGCACGAGCTCTAGCTCATGGTCCCCACCCTTCCATCACCCCCAACATGTTTGGCCACTATTTACTTATAAAAGGAACTTATTTTCCAGAACAATTAAGTTTTTCACGTTCTGCAGTCATTACAAATATTTAAGTAAGAAAATATGTTTTATGAATTCTTTATTGTTGGTAATTCTATACAGTTTAAAAGTCAGTGTTGGGTAACTCCCGGAGCGATCGGCGGCCTTCAGACTAGCGTGAGGCAGTTGTCATAACTCAACACCACCATCACCATCCTCTAATACCAGGTACTGGTACTCGCCGGCTCCGGCCACGCCACCGTCTCACCCAACTCTTACTCTACACTACACACGCACCACTCTTGCGGGTTTCTCATTATTCTTCTGGGGCCGCCGTGGCGACACTTGGCCTCCGGGCACACGGGAAGGTCTGCGCCGCTCTCATCACCTAGTTGTACTTGTAGGGGTGGAGCTTCAGCTCTTTGGTCCCGCCTCACAACTGGTGTACAGATTACTGAGCCTATTGGGCCTATCAGCTCTACATTTACCGTATCATATCTACCGGTATTGGGTCCCGGTAGATATCCTCAATACTACTAAGAATAAACAATATCCAAATTGTAACAAAGTTGATGGTAAATTCCTTGGTGTCCTCATTGATAACGAGCTGAATTTCCAGGGTCACATTCTAAATATTGCAAAAAAAGTTTTTAAAACTGTTGGTATTCTTTCTAAGATCAGATATTATGTACCTCGCCCTGCCCTGGTGACACTCTTATTACTCTCATCTATCCTTATGGTATTTGTGCTTGGGGTTCTACTACTCAAAATCATCTACGTCCTCTAATTTCTCAACACAAAGCTGCTATTAGAACAATATCTAACTCTGGCCCCAGACAGGACTTTGTACCTTAAATCTTTTAATATGTTAGATATTAAATCGCTGTACATCCTCTCATGTGTACTTCATATATTTAAAACTCTGAACTGTAATGTCAATCCTGAACTTTAAACTTCTTAGAAGGTTCTAACAGAACCCATGGGCACCACACCAGAAACAAATACCTATTTGATATTCCATGAGTACGACTTAACCAAACTAGAAATACTCTACAAATCAAAGGACCCAAAATGTGGAATGACCTTCCTAATCATGTCAAAGACTGTACTTCTCTCAACCAGTTGAAGAGGAAAACTAAGTTCTACCTAATAAACTCCATGTAACCCCCCTAAATGTCAATCCATGTCTTGCTATTTTCAAACAATACTGTTTGTTGACCATGTTGTATAATTGCTGATTTCTGATTTCTGCCATGTCACCCCCCCCTTCCCTTTTTTTTCTCGGCTTGGTGCCTTTTTTGATAATTACTTACTTTTCCTTTTTATTCACAATTTGTACTTTAATCTCAATTAGTATTAAGTTTTAGTCTTAAGTGTTTTTCCCCACGCCTTACCCAAAACGCTGTGCGTATTAATGGCTTTAGGTATTGTATGTACTGTATTAGCTCTATCTATAAAGTCAACATTGTTTGTAACTCATCTTCTATGTATGTACTTTTACCTGAATAAAGATTTTGATTTTGATTTTGATTACTGGTACCAACCCCCATGCTCAGCCACCTCTTGGGTGGCTTAATGTTTATCAACCTTACCTAAATAAACATTTATTTATTATTTATTATAATCAATCACCAGAGAGAGAGATTTTGTAGGGTTAAAAATGGGCCAAAAGTTATGCTTCTTTTCATCATTGCTGCTCTTTAAACAAACATATTCTATCCTAACCAAGTGAAAATAAAAGACTATTGTTTTATATACAGTACATTGTACTGTATGAGGCATGTGACATTGTCACTTTAACTTGGGGGACAATTTTAGCTACTACTGTACTTGAAAAATTTGGTATATTATTTATATTTTAAAGATTACTGTTTTTCGTGCTTTTTTCTTTTTTTCATGAGATACAGTAGTTATGATTTTAATTTGTATGAATACTGTATTTGATAAGATGTGTGTTGTGAGATATGTACCAGGCATAGAGGGTCCAAGATATTATTATAAAAGTCTTAGAAGTTTTGAATACCACTTGTGTTTCATTTTACAGAGTACACTTTATCAAATTCCAGTATGCCAGAGTCTCCAGTGCACATGCTTGAGAATAATGACCAACCACTACAATATTCACAAGCAGAACAATGTAACAATATCACACACTCAAGCCCTGTTGAAGATCACCAGAATAAGACAGACCAAGCCAAAAATTGGGAAGAAATAGAAATTGACATAGGATGGGGAATCTTGCGCGGAAAGGCAAGAGGCTTGGGGCCTCGGCGCATGCTAGGTATGAGCAGTATATACTTTCATAGTTTGTCAATCCGTCTACAGGTATATCTACCAATATTTATGTATATTCATCTTTCATGTATGTAAAGACCTAATATAATTACCTAATTGTAGTTACAGGATGATAGAGATGTTTATAATTAAAATTTTTTAATTTTAAACAAACAGTGGTATTGGCACACTGCCCTTTTTGCAATTTATTTGCTCTATCAGCAATATTGTTCCCCCCCCCCTCCCCTGCACAAAAAAAAAAATGTATTTGTCAAATAAGTTTCATTCATTGTTTCCATGTCTTCTTGTGGGAGCTAAAAGTTTACAAATATTTTCTTAATTAGTTTATTAATTATCTCTTTCAATCATAATCTTGTACATGTATGTGGCAATCATATTACCCCATTTTCTTCTGCCATCCAGTTATATATTTAGAGCCCTCAGCCTCTCTTCATAACACATTATCATTATTATTGAGAGCCACTTTGGCATTGTTTTTTAACCTTGTTTATTTTAGTTATGTTTCTGAGATAATGCAATTCCATCTTGAATCTCATATACTGTATGTCATAACAGTTTTAAGAACATAAGTGTGTAGTATAATATATATTTATTTATTATACCTGTACTGTACTCTTTTCTTTTTTCTGTATATTGTTCAGTACATTAAGCTTTCTTGACAGGACTTCATGGATGGCTAGATAATGCCAACACATTTGATCTCATCGCCTCATTTCTTCCTGAGGATGTAAGATTCATTTCCCTTGACTTACCTGGGCATGGTCACTCGGATCATTTCCCTCCTGCCTTTATATATGATCCAAGAGCATATATGGGTTCGGTGAAAAAGGCAATGACTACCATAGGCTGGAATAATTTTATTCTGCTTGGACACAGCATGGGAGCAGTGGTTGGAATAATGTATGCTTCAGTTTTCCCAGAGGATGTAGAAGCTTTCATCAACATTGATATAATTAAACCCTGGTCATATCCTCCTGAAAAATATGCCATGCAATATAAACAATATTTTCTTCAGTATTTTGATAATGAAAAGAAAGCTTCTCAACCTGCATTGGTATATGACAAGGAAGAACTAGTCAAGAAAACAATAGAAGGAAGTAAATCTCTTGATGACAGAGGTGCTAGAATTTTATTACAAAGAGGTGCAACAAGAGCTGAAAATGGCGACGGTTGGATTCTTACGCGTGATCTGCGAGCCAAGGTGTATTTCGTTGGATTCCTAAGCTTTGAAGCATGGTTGGAGCTTGCAAGAGCTATAACATGCCCTCTTCTTCTTATTAAGGCAAGTTTAGCATTTTAGATGCTTGCAATTATTAGCTATAGTAATTACCCAAATGTAGTTTCAGGGCGAGAGCTATGCTCATGGTTTCCCCATCTTTTTTATAGTCTTTGTCATGCGACACTTTGATACTACTGAAATAACACTATAAGAAAATATTTTATCAATCTGTATTACAATTAATGTAATTACATCAGGATCTGGGTAAATTTTGCTAAATATACATTTGTTGTTTTTGGTTATACAAGTATTTGATTATAAAATGAGAATATTTCCAACTAATTAAGGGGGCGTCAGAGGATTATAGATGAAAGTTGTTCAATGTCAACCAATATTAATTTTCTAGTTGTATATGAAAAGTGCTTAAATTGTCCCAAGTTTCAGTACTGCAGCATAAATAGAATTTTTTTTTTTTTTTTTTTTTTCCAACGTTTTTTACACATTTTCAAGTCCACACTTCAGAACACACGTTTCAGATATAATTATTCTGTGACACTTCTCTGACACATTAGCATATAATAAAGGATTTGGGGCTTTAGAATTTCCAAAACATCTTTAGTTTTCCTAATACAAATGTTCAAAGTTCCCATCCAATTTTTTTGCAAATATGGCATGTTTATTGCTATTATAAAATCAATAAATGAGCTTAGAGAAAAATGAAAGCCCCCCAATGTAGAGACATGCCCTCCACATATACTGTGTAAGTTTCATGTAAATTGAATAAAAAAGGAATCAGTTTTGTAAACGTTTGTGTCAATTGAAAAAAAACAGAAATGAATAAAGTCTAAGGTTCTAAAATCTGTGGCTGAGGTTGACATCCACCAATTTTCTCCAAAATTGGCATCCTTACAGATAGGCTTATGCACAGTCAGGTGTGTAAGTTTGATGCAAATCGCCCGAAAAAAAAAGAAAAAAAAAGAATTAAAAAAAAAAAATTTTTTTTTTTTTTTTTTTTTTCTTAAATTTTTTTTCCAATTAAACTAATTATAATATTTGTTTAATATATGCTATTGTGAGTCGTAGCTATGATTTCAGTTGACACTTTTGATTGATAATTGATTTTGACCATTTTTGCATAATTTTCACAACTACTTCAATATTTTTTTTCTCCCTTCCTATTTATGCTACGATGCTGAAACTTGGACCAGATGAAACACTTTTCATATAGAACTTGTCAAAAAAGTTTGATTGAAATCGAACGAGTTTCCATTTTTGCATTTTTGGACCCAGATGCCAACCAGACGCCCCCTTAAGTGCGATCATGTTCAGTTTCCCTTACCAATAATCCTATAGGAAAATAGTTTATCTTTATTATTCACATAATTATACTGTACAAGGATTTGCATAGTTTTGAGTGAATAAGTTTTGTTTTTTTTACTATATTTGACAATATAATTACTATATTTTAAACTTCAATTATGCTTAATTGTGCTAAATTTTCATTACCAAAAATAGTGAAGGGAAATATTATATGTAATTGTACGAGGATTTGGGTGAATGTACTTTTTTTTGTTTTTGAACATATTTTGCTATATAATGAGTATATTTACAAGCAATGGTAGATAGACTGAACAATTTAAATGCCAAAACCATCAGAAGCTTCAAAGCATCATATGACAAAGATTATCAAGAAGACAGGCCACCACGAAGGTAACTTGTCCTGTACACAAATGTGATTTAACTGTAATTCAGTCTATAATATTCTGGATGCTAGACTACAGGGGCTTTTAAAGCCATTACTCAAAACTCATAATTTGTACTTTAACACACACTTATATACTCAATCATTTCAGATTTATTTTCATTTGTTTTCAACTACTGTACTTTGCTTTGGCCCTAAATCACTGAGGAATAAGAGGAGTTTCCCTCTAATGTAATAGAACAAGTGAGGAACCCAGTTTTGTTGACCTTCAAAACTGTGTAGCATTAAAGCTCTCAGTAGTCAATATATTCTTTAATATAATCTTTGTGAATTCTTTATTTTTAGATACAAACCATACAGTATTAAAACAAATTTCCTGCAAAATTTGTAATTCCCTATTCTCATATATTCAATCATTTACTATCATTATCAAAATGAAAATTACAACATCACACTTTTTTTGTTTATTATTATTAAATTTTCATGCTTTTAAAGTAGTGTACTTTTAAAGTACTTATTAAATTTTCATGCTCTTAAAGTACTTTTAAAGTACTTATTTATTGTTTGTCCACTAAATATAAATTTTGTCATAAAATGATATGAACTTGGAATCTCTAGTTGGTAGACATACTTGCGAGTACATACAGTACTGTACTCTGCAAGACTACAAGTGTAGCCTCCTTAACCTTCATGTGTTTATGGGGATTTCTATAGGAACCTAGTGATACTTAATACTGTAGTTTATAGTGAATATTGTAAATGACCTAATAGCAGCAGCAAAAAAAAAAGCATTCATTGCAAAAGAAGTTATGCATTGTAGCACATTAATGTTATTTGTCACTTTTTATTTAAAATAAAAAATGACAAATAACATAAAAACGTTAAAATTAATAAAAATAAAACTTAGATATTACATGGTAGGTCTTATGTTTTCCATCTTCTCTGTTGTTTGATAGCTTCAGGGAGCCACCAAAAGGCTCCTCCAGAAAACCAGCATTGAATACAATAAAACTCTTCTTTCTGGTAGATCCTTCATGGTTCCCTGAAGCTCTCCTAACCCCCTACCAGGTGTGTCTGTTGCAACCCGTTCTCGCAAATTTAATAAGTCAATATTGACTTATTAAATATGTGCATAGGTGACATACTTAACATAATAGATACCCTTAAAAAGATTCATAGAAAACACCGACCTTACCTAACCTTGTTAGTATCTTAAGATAAGCATCTTATAGCTTCGTAATTACAATTATTACCTAACCTATAATAGGTATAGGTTAAGTAATAATTGTAATTACGAAGCAATAAGATGCTTATCTTAAGATACTAATAAGGTTAGGTAAGGTCGGTGTTTTCTATGAATCTTTTTAAGGGTATCTATTATGTTTAGTATATCACCTATGCACGGAGTTAATAAGTCAATATTGACTTTACGAATTTGCGAGAACGGGTTGGTCTGTTTATAATTTATCAGTTCCAGACTGGTTACTGGCTGGGGTAGAAGTCTGAGTTCCTGGGGCAGCATCCGTTACGGGTGATCATATGGGAACAATCCACAACTGGATTGCGGATTGTGGGAACAATCCACAACTCGGTACCTCTGCGAGGAGGCCAGGTTGTGGCTCTGCTTGGCTTTAAGCCACTGAGGATAGCTGAAGGGAGCCACCAAGGTTTTACCAAAAAGAAGCATTACATTCAACGCTGTTTTTTTTTTTTTTTTTTTTTTACTCTTTACAGGCAAAGGATGGTCATCATCACTATGAATTACCAGAGAAGAATGAAGCCATGTTGTCAGCATTCAAGCAAGACTGCAAGCATTATCGCTTTTATGAAATGTTGGGAAAACACCACATTCATCTTACACACCCTAAACTTGTCGCTGATCATATTTTGACATTTATTAATGAATATAAATCTATTCTTCAAACTAGTGCTAATCATATTGTGAATTAAGGTTGTGTTAATTGGTAAATACATAAGGCATTTAAGTTTAACCATGAACAAAATCTGTCAATGCTGATCTAGATTATGTAGGTTATTTATTTATTTAAACACTGATTCTCATTTATGCAGTATTATTTGCATATATTTTATATATAGTTAGATATGTTTTCAGTACCTTGACCATATTTTGTTAGTCAAAATCACAATTATATTAGTGGTGGTGAAGCCGCATCTTCCCATGGATCATAGGTCCAGCAGTGATGCTACATCTCCCCATGGATCATAAGTCCAGCAGTGATGCTACATCTTCCCATGGATCATAGGTCCAGCAGTGATGCTACATCTTCCCGTGCATCGTAGGTCCAGCAGTGATGCTACATCTTCCCATGGATCATAGGTCCAGCAGTGATGCTACATCTTCCCATGGATCATAGGTCCAGCAGTGATGCTACATCTTCCCATGGATCATAGGTCCAGCAGTGATGCTACATCTTCCCATGGATCATAGGTCCAGCAGTGATGCTACATCTTCCCATGGATCATAGGTCCAGCAGTGATGCTACATCTTCCCGTGCATCATAGGTCCAGCAGTGATGCTACATCTTCCCGTGCATCATAGGCCCAGCAGTGATGCTACATCTTCCCATGGATCATAGGTCCAGCAGTGATGCTACATCTTCCCGTGCATCATAGGCCCAGCAGTGATGCTACATCTTCCCGTGGATCATAGGTCCAGCAGTGATGTTACATCTTCCGTGCGTCATAGGTCCAGCAGTGATGCTACATCTTCCCATATATCATAGGTCTGATAGTGATGTCTCATCGTCCCTTGCATCATAGGTCTGGCAGCGATGCTACATTTGACCTGAAGAATGCTTATAACACCACCTGGAGATGCACTGTTTTATTTTCCTTCTGATATCTCTGCTGTCATGGTAATGACTTCTCTTCCCTCCCAACACCAGCTCAAGCTCACGATAACGTGTCATCCTGGGCCAACAGTCATGGCTTCACGTTCTCTACAACTAAGACTTGTGCTGTGATTTATACTCGGATGCATATCATTCGCTGTCACCAATTATATCTGTGTATAGGGATCCTTTCTGTGTAGGGATACTGCCAAACTCTTGAGGTTGATCTTTGACGCCTGTTTGTTTTGGTCACCCCTATGTAGTTCACCTCGGAGTTGAATGCTTCAAGGTTCTTACCTTACTAAGTCTTGTCCAATACGTCCTACTTATTCCTTGGCCCTTCATCGTTTTGATGCTCGGCACTATGCTAGATTACAACTCGGCTCTCGTACCTTTTGTTCATTCCTGCCCAGAGTTTGTATGTCCATACTGCCTTTGCTAACTCAGTCCCTGCAAACATCCTCACTCCTGCTTGTACCATGCTTTGACCACTGCTTCTCTGGAGGAACTTGTTCCCTCTCGCCACCTTCCCTTTCTTGCAAGGTTGGCTCATAGGCAAGATTCTCTCTCGGTTAATATTGGCACACACTCCTCTTGTGTTGTTTCTACCTTACCCCAATATAGGGGACCACTTGTAAACTTTTGCATGACCCTGATTTGCATGATGAAGGCTTATACTCTGTTTTGAAGTCTTTTCCTTGAAATATTTTTTCCTCACATTCCATTGCTCTGTTCACAGATAGGTTAAAGTCTGCCAATGGTATTGGCTACATCTGTATTCTTCCTGATCAAATGTGTGTGTGTGTTATCTTTCCCAGGAGACTAGCATCTTCATGGCAGAACTTGATGCAATTTTGTATGCTTATCAGTAGCTGGTTTTTCTGTGTCAACATTCCTTTGTCATTGTGGTTGACTTTGTGCTTTCATGGCTCTGGAGTACTGTAACTGATCTTGTGGTGATCGAAATCCAATACCGACCATTTCTTATCTCTAACAGATACGACAGTTGAATGTTGCTAGGTTTACCACCACACCAGAGTTACCTAGAATGAGCTTGCGGACAACACTATTAAAGAGGCCATTCATGCTTGCAACATTCTCCAGAAAAGGATTTTCATATTTCTATCAGTCATTCATTCTGCAACTGTTGCCCTAGTATTACAGATAACAAACTGCATGCTCTTAAGTGACCTTTCCCCTTGGCCTTCCTCCTATCATCGTAATAGATGATGGGAAATGGCTTTGGCTAGGTTGCTAATCAGTCACACCCATTTAACTCATGGACACTTGATGGAACATCCTGATCCCCACCCCACTTATGGTGGGATAGATGATGATTGTTTTACTTAACTAATATCCCTCGATAGAATCCTTGGTAAACCTAATACCTTTGATGTCGCTTGCCCTGTGTCCCTTTATTTTCGTATTGGCTTCCCAAGTGACATTTAGCGCCTTTTGAATATCCTGCAACACAGATGATTACATAGTTTTTAATTACCTGTCACTTCAGTGGTGCTATATAGCCATACCAATTTAGCCCCTGATCATTGCTTACATACCACCATTATAGTTCTATGCACAGCTGGAATATAACTAACCGGAAATCATTTTGATTTTTCATAAACCTTTGTTGGCTTGAAAATATGAACCATGTTATGAATACTGTTTAAGGATTCCCTCATGTAAAGTAGCTAAAAGACAATAGAGTTCAAAATTATGAAGTTGAGAGCACAGATCATCAGTACTGGCTTATCTCTGTATGTGCAGATAGGTTATCAATAAGCAGCCATCTTTTTTTTTTTTTTTTACAAATGGTAGTGTGCAGATAGCTTATGTCTTGTTCATGTATAGGCATTAATGAATAGCCCAGTAAGTTATATACAGTTTTCTAACATGTTATATATCATGCAAGCTACATAATATCAGAGTGGAATTAAACAAAATAGTGTAGTTCAAAATAATTTATTATGTAACGAAGAATTAGAACAAAAATTTGACATATGTAAAGCACCTTGACAATTTTTTGTTAATAGAGAAGTGTCACATACAAATACATATGAATACACACTAACACAATGCCATTTATTATCTTAAAAATAAAATAAAGTACTAAATTTTATTAGATATAATAAACTTAGGATAACCTGAATTATATACTGTATATACAATACTTGGCCAGTGTGCATTATGGTCTCTGATCCTCCACAAGCTCTTGTACAGCTTCCCGTGGATAAAGACGGCACCTCATGGATATCGGTCTTGATGCTGAAGTACAAGACAATGAAGAACATTGCCACAAAGTCCCATTAGCAGAGTCCATAAAGGTAAAAGAACATGGTATGAAGAAATATATGTATTAGGATTCTCTAACTTGAGGCAGAGTGCAACCATAAATGCCATTTTAAGAATTACAACCGACAGTGGCCATACTCTCTGGAGAAATGCAGAGATGCGCTGACGGGCCGTGCGATGGTGAGATCCTCCAGCCCTGGCAACTGCTGTCCTGCACTCATTTATCATGTGAATGCTTATGTATATTAGCAAAATCGCATCATAAAACCACATTGGAATAAATACAATGAACCAATTCCACTTTGTTCTCTGATCCAGTCTGAGAGCCAGCAGAATGAGGAACACCAGGAGGAGGAACCAGGTGAAGAGTGCACGATGCAGCATCGCCATTATTACAAATCTTCACCCACTACACAATTCAAAGATATTATTCCATCTATTTACCTTAATATTCAAATATTTTTAGTTGTACTGTACTTAGTCTAGTGACTTTGATTTAACTATAGAATATAGTACTCCATATAAATCCAAATTTTCCCAAGAAAAAGACCAAGTGAACAAGGAAAATTTGAGAGATTTTTGTTCAATTTAAATTAATTGTGCCGATTCAAAACGGCAAACCTTATTAGATTTTCAGTTAATACCTGTGCAGGTTTTAAAAATTCTTACTATAATTTAATTGTTATATATTAAATTATATACTAATACATTTAATTAGTAATGCAATTATAGCACAATTTCATATACCTTGATTTACATCCTCACATGAGAACTTTCTAAAGTTGTATTCATGCTCTCCATTTACGAGTCAATATGATGCTGCTATTGTGTTTGTCATCACGTTTGTCCCATGAACAAAGTCCTGTACGTGTATATCTATCAGAACCAACATTAACAATCTGCAAAAGAAGATAAAGTTATCAGATACTATTGATTTTAATTTGGTTTGTAATTTAAGTGCATTTTTGTATAGACCCTTGGGTGATATCTGGGGCACACCTCACGAGCTTCAATCGTTATATTGAGGTTATCTTGAGATGATTTCGGGGCCTAGCTTCCCCGCGGCCCGGTCCTCGACCAGGCCTCCTTTTTGTTACACATCCCCAGGAAGCAGGCCGTAGCAGCTGTCTAACTCCCAGGTACCTATTTACTGCTAAGTAACAGGGGCATCACAGTGAAAGAAGCTATGCCCATTTTTTTCTGCCTCCACCTGGGATTGAACCCGGAACCTCAGGACTACGAATCTGAAGTGCTGTCCACTCAGCTGTCGGGCCCCTTATCGTAGTGGAAAAAGCCTTGCAACCTACAGTGACATGTGGTAAAGTGCCTCCTAGCACTCGGGAAAATAGAATCCCTAACCCCACTCGACTTTGAAGTAGCCATAGACAACATGCCTCTGTACCAGGAATTCTATATTCATCAAGAATTGCAAAAAAGCACATTAACTGGCCCTAAACATCTTTTGGAGATGGAGCCTAGATACTGGCATTATTCCTGACATACTTAAAACAGCCGAGATTGTGCACTTCACAAAGTAGCAAAGCTGATGCAAGAAATTATTGCATAGACCATGAGCTCTAACATCGCACATCATAAAAATCTTTGATGATGTTAGCTCCTGCCCATAGTGTTATTGCACACAAAAGGAATTACTGGCAAGGTACGGAGATGGATCCTTAACTTCTTAACAAACAGAACCCAAAGTGTAATAGTTAACAAAGTAAAATTTGAATCATCCACCATGAAAAGCTCAGTTCTCCAAGGTACCGTACTTGTTCCAGTGCATTTCCTCATTCTTGTCCTCAAATCAGACAGGCAAGGATACAAACTACAGTGGTGTCTCGGTTAACGAATTTAAACCGTTCCGGCACCAATCTCGTCATGTGAAACGCTCGTCTTGAGAAACGAATTTCCCCATTTAAAACAATGAAAATAAAATTAATCCATTCCACCACCAAAAAACATCAATATGATATTCGATTTATTTTATTTTTCATAGAAAATGGAGCAGCTTACCTGACATACATTGAACAAACCTTGTGACATTTTTCTTTTTTCAATTTATTTATATTTATATATATATATATATATATATATATATATATATATATATATATATATATATATATATATATATATATATATATATATATATATATATATATATATAATGGAGCAACCTACCCGACATACAATGAATGACCCTTTGTAACATTTTTTCTGTTTTCATTTTTTCAAATTTTTTGTTTAATTTCTAAAAGACTAAACAATGCTTTGCAACATTACAGCAGTCACCCCTTTACATCCCAGCATCATTAGCATCTTTAAAAAAAATATTGATTTGCATCGTTGGAGGTGTCCAAGAATTTGCGAGAACTAGCGGAACGCTAGGAAACACCACATAGTTTTCTCGTTAACCGAAGCTCATCAATCGAGACAAATTTTCTGCGAGTGGCTTGCGCGTTACCTGAAATGCTCGTAGATGGCGCCGCTCGTCACCCGAGGTTCCACTATATAGCACTGTATCATCCTTTTACAAATGACACGAGAATTTTCAAGAGTGACACTATGGAGGACACGGCTAACCTCCAATCTGATGTTAACCAAGTCTTCCAATGGGCCACAGAAAATAACATCATGTTTAATGAGGATACATTCCAGGTACAGTACTACACTATGGATAAAATAAAAACATCAAAGCAGAAACCACATATAAAACATAGGTCAAACCACTCTATTGAAAGAAAAAAAAGCCATGTAAAAGATTTAGGAGTAATAATGTCGGAAGACCTTACTTATAAAGAACACAAAAATTTTGTCACAACTGCAAGAATAATGGCAGGTTAGATACCTATAACCTTCAAACCTGGAGATGCCACACCAATAATGAAACTTTTTAAGACATTAGTGCTCTTAAGAGTGGAATATTGTTGCACACTGCCCCATTCAAAGCTGGAGAAATTGCTGACCTGAATAGCATGTAAAGATCTTTAACTGCTGGAATCCACTCAATAAAACACCTAAATTATTGGGAGCGCCTAAAAAATCTTTAATCTGTATTCTCTAGAGCAAAGGCGGGAGAGACAATTTACATTTGGAATATATTAGAAGGATTGGTTACAAATCTCCACACAAATAACACCACATGAGACTAGAAGGCATGGAATGATGTGCAAAATAGCCCCATTGAAAAGCAGAGGTGTAATAGGCACGCTGAGAGAATGCATTCAACACTTTCCCTACACATATGGGGCATAACTGGCTGACCTCTTGAAGTGTTCAAAAGAGAACTCTATAAGCACTTTCAAAGGATTACTAATCAACCAGGCTGTGGCTTTGAAGCACCACACTAACCTATCGTTAGTTTAAACAATATAAATGTAGACTACATCCAAGTTTTAAAATTATTCTAGGTTGAGCATTTGGGGACTCCAGTGCTTTTTAAATTTTGGGGTGGGATAAACAAGAAATATCAGAGCAAAAAATGTGCATAAACACGTTTGAGTATCTGCCAGACAGACGAGCCCCCCCCCCCCCAAATACAAAAGCAATGCAGAAATTATGTTTATGAAAGAAATAGATTAGGAGCACATGATGACCAAAACAAAAATGGCCGCTGGTATAAGGAAAGACAAAACAGAAGAGATTACTGTAATTTTTATGGTTTAGAAGAGGAAAATATTTAGAGTGGTTTTCACAACAGGTTGGCAAAAATATAGAACATGGTAAAAAATCATGTTGCTAGAATTAAGAATTTGAGCATCAGTAATGAAATCTTTAGGAACAGTTACAGTCCTGGAAGGTCAAATAAGGGAATTATACAAAGATAAAAAGTCCTGGAGGAAGTTTGCCTGTGTGTATGTTGATTTAATGATATCAACATGGTCCCCACCTTATAGTGGAAAAAGAGAATTTTTCAAGGGCTTTTTTTTCTTGGATGGCAATGAGAGTATTTTGGATAACCTAGTGTTTCTAAAGTCTGACCAATAATGGAGGTATGATAAATTAAAGAAGCCATGAGGGGGGTTGCCTTGAAAAGAAATACAATAAGAAACAATCAGGTATCACCTAAAGAAAATGGAAAAATTGCATTAATCACTTGTATGTTATATGGTGAGCGAACATACCCATTATCCTAGGTATCCGGACCAAGATAACTGCTGTAATGTTTGAAGGGTTTACCTGGAGGAAAGGAGGCATGAAACATACAAGACAACTAATATTAAAATAAAAAGCTTACTTGTAAGGCAGGACAGTGACTCATGAGAAGTGTGAGGTCCTGCTTAGTGAGCCACGCCCCACACCCTTCAAGGATCACTTCCTCTAGCACAGGCAAGTGCTTCTCCAGCCGGAAAAAGGGCGATGTAAATACCACCATGCGATTCTGTTAACATTTATTGGAAGATATTGCGTTGTTAATACAACTAGCAATTATTATACTTTATAGTACATATTTATAAATTTACATACTTAGTCCAGTTGTAGGTATTTAATCAGCCAAGAGTTGTAAAATTACCTAACTTTTGACAAACAATAATGGTCAAAGTGGTAATGAACTTCTAGAGCTTCATATAAAAGTAATAATTAATATGCACAAAAGATTTTAAAGATTACTTACTACTGTAGCCAGTATTTATATAATTTCATTAATTGACAACAAAAAATAAGGAAATTTTAGATGCAAAAACAAAAGTCTAACCTGTGGCAAATTAAAAAGACAGGACCCACAGAGAGAGAGCTTCTTGAGGGAAGCAGGCAGAGCTGAGAACTTGGTGGTAGAGGCATCAATGAAACACCGGTGAAGGTTGAGCTCTTGAAGGTGTGGGCAACGCCGTTTCAAGCTTGTCAGAAAGGCTTCAGATATGCACTGTGACCCTAGGATTGGAAGCTACATCATATGTACTGTATTATGAAAGAATATACCCATGCTATAAAGTGAAGAGCAGAATACTTGTATTTGTAATTAAATACTAAGTATGGTAAGTTAAGAGTTTAAATTGTTTCACAACAACAGAAATCAGTTATTTTTTAACACACAAATACAAGAGAAGACGTGAAAATACATATTGTATTGTGGATTATGTCCCCATAGTTGGGGACAGGAAGCCTGTTAGGCTTATCAAAGTTCCTCCAGATTCCCTGGAAGGAGGAGGGTATCACAGAGTCACCGGGGCTCGCTCAGAAATTGTGTTTCATTACAATCAACGCTAGTTTTCTGGGAAAAGCCCCTTGCGGTACCCTGAAGCTATCTACCCAAAGAGAATGAAAACAAGGGGACTTACCAGGGAGGAGGGAGCATCGCAGATATCATAACAAAGAAGAAACCACGGGCCTTGACACACGACCCAAGGCCACACAAGGCTGATGAAGAGGAGCAACATTAAAATAAAATACCTGGCTACTAGGACCCTGTTTGATCACCAAAACCCCCGCAGCCGAATATCGGCCCAAGACAAACTGGCAAACACAGCTGAGAGAGCGGCAGACTTACAAACATCATTGGCACGAGGATAGACCACAGGCTGGCTAGACGTAGCACTGCGAACGACCTGAGAAACACGAGCCATGGAACAGGGGACCAGGGAAACTGGATCAACCCACAACGAGTCCTCTGAAGCAGAAGTGGTGGAACGAAAGTAGCAGTGCAGAGCCGTCACCGGACAAAACATGTACACCCCCAGCCGAACCAACCAAGCCTCAATCACCAAAGGACACCCTCCGGAAGCCAAAGCAACTCATTATTTGCCAGAAAAGAAGGAACCAGCTGCAGACAAACAAAGTGACCCCCAAGGCCGAAGAAACAAAAACCACAGCACTGAAGGAGAGCATGAAGCTCACCCACTTGACAACCAGAGGCAACAGAGATAACAGAGCCTTGAGAAAACAATCACGGGCCAAAGAGGGCACCATAAAACGAACAGAAGAAAAGAACAGTCCTAAGACTAAGCAGGCTCAGGTGCAGGTATTTTCCAGGGTCTGCAAGAAGCACAGGCCCTGGAATTACTGCACTGGATCCTTGATAAGAAAACAGATCTCCCTGTTATCAAGAAGGGAAGTCTCTATGTATAGAAATGAAAGAAATGGAATCATGCAGGCGATGAGACACAATAATGTGGCTAAAGTATGTTGACCAGACCACACACTAGAAGGTGAAGGGACAACGACGTTTCGGTCCGTCCTGGACCATTCTCAAGTCGATTGTGAATGTTCAGGAATGGTCCGTCCTGGACCACTCACAATCGACTTGAGAATGGTCCAGGACGGACCAAAAATGTCGTCCCTTCACCTTCTAGTGTGTGTGGTCTGGTCAACAAACGGAAACATATGAAGAGAACATGTATAAGGCCAACCTAGGCCATCGGAGGCTGACCTCAGCATGCCCTGGTTAGGTCATGTGAACCCCAACGTGCCCCGTCGGCCAAAATTCACACCTAACCCCACGGAAGACCGAAAGCCAGAAACAAATGGACTAAACTAGGGTGAGGACCACCACAATCAAGGAAGCCCTCTAATGGAGCGAACCTTGAACACTACAGGGAAGAGAACCCTGACAGTGTAAGGACAGTGCTAGGGAGCACAGGGAAGAAAACCCTCTGCACATGCAGCTCCAAGTGCCCTATACTCCTGGCTCACACAGCACAAACATGCATTGGAACAGCCTCAAAGGCAAAATCTACCACTTAGCTGAAGCAGGAAACACGAGCCAGATCAGCAGAGCAGACAGCCAGGGCACTTGCTACCTTCAGCCAGAACTAAGGGTGGAGCAGCTAGCTGACCCAGTCTACCTTCCTCCTGCAAAGAATGGGGAGGGGGAGAAGACAAACGAGCCAACGATAGTTTCATGAATTTTCGATCGTTTGATTACATTGTTGGGAGAAGTTCTTTTGGTGGTTTTAAGGCATTAACATTTCCTTATACCCAGCAGTAGTCGTCTGTTTTATTTCACTGACTTTGTGGATGCTTTCCTGATGGTGGTGGTGGTGGACATGATTAAAATTCACTTACAATTTTATCATAGTGCCACTGCTCTCTGCACCTCTTTAGAGGGAACCTGATTTTGACTAGTAGTCCTCAGTAGGCCTAAAATAACTCCGTGACTCATGGCACCTAGTAGTTAGGCGCTATATCAACATTGTAGCTTCAGGGAGTTACAAGGGGCTTCCCCAGAAACGTGATAAATAAATGTTCAAAAAAAGGCAAAAGGGATACTGTGCCAAGATTGGTAAGACGTGTTAGTAACAAGACATCTAATACTGTATTATTCTTCCACTTCATCTTGCCATTGGTAGGCCATATTTTGATCATGGAGTAGTTTCTGGGCACCATACTACAGCATGTACATAAATGAGTAAACATCAGTTTGGAAATAGAGTTGCTGATTTATGAAACAGATTACCAAGTATAGTACAGTACAGAAATATAATTAATGTGAGATCATTGGATTGTTTAATCATTCATTAAACATATACAGGTACACAAATTTAGTTGAGATATAAATAGGAGCTGCCTCATTAGGCCCAACAGACCTGCTATTCTTATATTCAGGTGCCATTTAGGGTATTTAGTGTCTAAGCTACAGTTATTTTGTATTGTACATCATGCACTTGCAAGTTCACATTAAATAGTATTTCAAATTCTCACCTTTTGGATGAACTCTAAAACTAGATTTGACGAATCCAGTCACAGTGATGGTCAGGGTATGTGAGCCTATAAATCGTATAAACTTGTGAAGAAACTGCAGACTCAGCGGCACCCGACCGAAATTTACATGCCGCCATAGAGATACGTCGGCAACCAAACGTGTGAGACGGGGATGAACACTGCAAAAAAATTCAAAACAATTTATTGTATACATTTAGTGGTATATCATGCAAGAGAAAAATGATATCCACATGCTCTAACCATATTGTATGGTTTGGATAAAATGATGACCGAGGATATCCATTTTCCTAAAAACTAAAAAATTCCACATGGTCTCTTGGAGGTTTTCATTTGGGCTTGGTCTTCACTTACTCGTCAGGTGCCCCTGGTTCCTTTCATGCCATCTACACATTCTCTGGAATTTCACTCAGAATTGGTTAGACATGGATGCCATTGCATTACTTTATCCCCCCCCCCTTCATTCCCAGATGGTGTTTTGGTCATTTTCAGTTCCTTGGAAAGACTTTACGGATCTTCAATTTATCCTCCCTCTCTCCTTTCTCAATACTGTACTTGCAATCCTAGTCCAACTCAGCAGATGCCCATTGTTTACTAGATAGTTTTGAGTCAGTCTTGGCTTGTTTTTCTATATTTGCAGGACACTTACTAGCACTTTCTGATTCACCCACAGTTAAGGGATTGGCTAGGGTTTAAAATAAGTAATTTCTTCAATCACTTTCCAGCTCTTCTGTTTGGGGTTAAACTTAGCACCCAGAATCTTCATATATGTATTCTGATGGTCCTTTTTCATCTCAGGGTTCTGGTGTACCTCAACGACTGGCTAGTTTAAACCATTAAATCAGTCGTTAAGCTTGTCCAAGTCATCAAGAGTTGTCCATTGACCAGAGATTTGGTGCTTATCCAGTTGGCACAATTTGTGCCAACTGGATTTATGCCAACATCTCAACCAATCTTCTTGATTGTTAGTTTGCCTTCCTCTACTGTAGGCTTAGTACCTCTTTCCCCTAGCACTACAACTTTCTTGGATACCCTCATGTCAAGCTTGGCCTCGGGCCTGGCTTGAGGAGTAGAACTCCCAGAACCCCATCAAGCAGGTATGCCTTCAACCCTTGAAGGCACTTAAAACTCAATGAACAAAGTGTAGTATATTTGTAGCTATTTAGTATAGTGTAACTTAAAACTCAATTAAATGTTTCACTTTCTTCCTCAGCTTGTCAATCTCCAACTTAATGTTAAGCAAGTTCATAAAAGGCTTGAGGCGAAGTCATGACGTGCTCACAACACGAACAAGTGCATACACATCACACACTGATCAACACACCTAACCCATGATATCTTTTAGGAATGTGTAAAGAATAATAACTATTGTGAATGTTACATTTCTTTTACCAAACATAAAATATATAAGCCATAAAATTAACATTCTAGGATGAAAATGCAAGATTGTAAAATGGCGGTCTATGAAATAACAGGCAGCCAAGCTTACCTGCACAAATTGTAAAGATCAACAGCATACAATGGGGAGAAGATTTTCAGCAGGACAGATTCTGGCAGGTCCAGTAGGTTGACACTAGACATCGTATTTCCTTTCAAGGCATATTTCCCTGTAACTATTCAGAAGCATACTTCATCATATCTCCAAGCATATCAAGTTGCTCAGCCAGAAGCTTCCGAAGTGGTGAGCAAGCAAGGTTGTGAAGGTGGTCTTCCTGCCGCAGTCTTCTTCTTCTTGATAGTAGGTGCAGTTTGCATGAAGGATTTGTTCTCCCGATGACTGCCTCCCACAGTTTCTGACGGAGGAAGTCGCCGCTCCAGCTCGCCCGTAAACAACTACGAACTACGGCCCTAAAATGATATTAAAATATAAATATATATAAATATAAATATATATATATATATATATATATATATATATATATATATATATATATATATATATATATATATATATATATATATATATATATATATATATATATATATATATATATATATTGTTTGTTTGTTTGTTATCATATATATTATTACATGTCTACAAATATTGCCATTTTTATCTTCAAGATTTTATCTTCTATTAAGAAGCAAAGGCACACAGCGGTGTGTGTGTTGCATATTTTTTTCTGCAGCTTGGAGTTAAACTCGTATGGCTGGGACAATTTTTTGTATTAATCAGAAATAATCCAACAATTAACAAATGTGAAGGGAAATATGGTTGATTAGAAAATCAGTAGGAGGAGGAGGACTGAAGCCACATACATAATACTCTTGTGCCCTACTGATAGGTGCAGCTCGGTTGAGGCGTTGTATTTACTATATACTATTTGTGTCTCCAGAATCGAGCTAGTAGCTCTTAGACCCCGCCTTTCTAACCAGTATATTTTTCCTCTATTATGTTTGCTACATATATTCCTCTCTTAACACATACATACCCAGGAAGCAGCCAGTAGCAGCTGTCTATCTTCCAGGTTCCTATTTACTGGTAGATGAACAGGATCATCAGGTGAAAAAACCTACCCATTTGTTTTAGCCTCGGCCGGGAATCGAACCCGGGCCGAAGAATCTAACTACGATCTCCGAGCGCTGTCCACTCAGCCGGGAAGACCTTTGACACCGTGTACTGTTAAATTGCACGGTAATAAAAATAATATTAATAATAATAATAATAATAATAATAATAATAATAATAATAATAATAATAATATTATTATTATTATTATTATTATTTGTTTGTTTTTATTATTAATTTTTTTGTTGCTTGGCGACCTTTGACGTTTTTGTATGAAAGAGGCGCCTTGTGCGGACTCTATGACGTCATAAACTCTCTGGCAGGAGGAACCGTGTTGTGTGATTGGTTCATCTTGGCCCCGTGACGCATGTGACGTCATAAGAACGGTGTTGAATCCGCTGGAGAGTTGTGAAGGAAAACAGTGGCAGCGGCGGCGAGTGTTTACTGTCACACTGAGGGAAGGAGGCATCTGAGGTCACCACTCGCAAAGTTTTCTTCACCAGCTACCTCTCCCACCCATCAGTAAGTCCTCAGTACTCTCCTTATACCAACAATTGCAATGCTCTGTCATCTACAGTATACGTATGTGTGTAATATAATTAGTATTTATATATTTTAAATAACATAATATTTAAAGAAATATTTACCTAATTTCATGGAACTAATTTAATTCACATTTTCCCCTAGTAATAAAATATTTTCGTGTTACTGTTATCATAAATTTTATTTATTAAAACTATTTCTTTCTTTATTGCCATCTAATTATTGGCAATGCAGTTCAAGGATCTAAGGATATATAGGATGTTCACACTGCATCTATTGCTACTCAATCCCCCAATATTTGTACCTAAGCCATATTACTTTACCATTGTAATCTTAGATATCATCTGATATCATGGTTGTTGTATTGGGTGCATTTTCTACTGCATTATTCCTTGAAACTTTTCCTCAAAATGATCCTCATATTGTGCTTCAGTAAACCAATGTGTAACCCTGAAACGCTATCCTCATGTACCTAGTAATCCTTGTTTCTTTATTGTGTATGGTTATTTTTTGTGTATTATTCTGATTTGCTATTGTCTCAATTTCTTCAAATTACCTGTAAACATTTTTTGTTGATTTTACTGTAATTATTCTTCTTAAAATTATCTGTATCTTTAAAGAAAAGCTGTAAAATACCTGCTAACATTTTTTATCAATTTCACTGTTAATTTATCAATTTGTTCTGTTAGTTTAAGAACTTGCCCGAAATGCTATGCGTGCTAGTGGCTTTACAAGAATGTTAATTCAACTTATTTTCTATATTCTGTTAACCCCCAATGTAACTTCTTGTAAATAAATAAATAAATGAATAGTACACTTAATAGTATACTTAACGAAATTCCCGTCCTTCCTTCGTTCTGAGAATGATGGACGCCTACTATTAAGTGTAGTATATATCCTTAAATCCTTGAACTGTGGTGCCAAACCTGACCTTAAATTAAGTGCTTCCTAGAGGGTTGTAATAGAACTCATGAGCAACACAAGATAACCAAATATATTTTTGATATCCCAAGAGTGAGTCTAAACCAAAGCAAAAATGCTGTGCAAATCGTGGGTACCACATTGTGGAATGAACTCCCAAATGTAATTAAAAGCTGTACATCTCTCAACCACTTTAAAAAGGGGGATTATGAAATACTGTATTTACTTAATATCATGTGATTAATTTAATTTTTATTTCCCCACTGAAATAAGATTTTTGTGTGTCTTTTGTTATCATGAATTTTATTTACTGAGAATGTATCTATTTTTTGTAAAATTGCTTACTCCATATGTTATCTTACTTTTGAAGTGTTTACCCCCATTAAACCTTTTAAATTGTACTAATTTACTCTATATTACATTATGTCCAGAAAACTTTACTGTGTATTTCCTTGTGGTTATTAATATTAAAATACACTTCTGTACTGTTGCTAGAACTACAGATTCCAAAATGTATATACTGTACTCGTTATCATTAAGTATCACTTTTATATTGTATGTCATTTGTTATTTCTTGAACATTCTCACATGTGTTAGCTTTCTTCTCCTTTTAGTATGAAGTGTTTACCCCATTATACTGCACCTATAAATAATTTTTTACCTAAATTATTTTAAGTTTTACCAGCTACGCTTTGCATAGCATTGGTTTTATATTTGTGTAACCCTCTATATCTACAATTGTCCCTTTACCTTCTGTACTTTGTATGCACATTCTTTTTAAAAAATTATGACATGGAACATGGACAAATAATGGGTTGATATAATAATTACTCCTGTCAGTGACCTGTAGTCTGTACCATACTCAGTTTAGAAAATTAGGAATGGCTCTTGAATACTTATCCTTTCTATGTTTCCAAAGCCTAATTTTATGATTTTTACTTATTTATGTACTGTATTAGATTTATATATTGCAGTATTATAAAATAGTTCACAGAACATCAAGTGAATACTTTAATTTCAGCCATGGATATCACATCTGCATTTTCAACATATGGGTCATGTGTGGAACGGGAAACTGAAGTGCGTGAGAGCGTACTGGCAGCTGTAAAGGATTTAGAAAAAAATTCTTACAAAATTAGTACCATACTGGAAAAGATGCATAATGCAGAAGGGATACAGGTATAAAAATACTTTTTGGTTCTTTAATCTTTTAACTTACGAATACAAAATTCAGTAGTTGTATATATAATGTTTATTGCAGATAATACTGTACTGCATACTTAAAATGTGAAGTAGCATTATGGTTTAAAATGTTTAGTAAAGTTATTTGAACACTTAAAAAGTGGCCCTTGAAGAGATGAATGCATTTTAGTACATGATGTGCATGGCTCAGGAGTAGCAAGTGCGTGTGCGGCAGAAGGGGGAGGGGGCTGAGGGCGTGTGTGCATGGTCGAGGTAACATATAGATAGTACCATAATTAGATTACTTGATATATGTGTATATTATTAAATGGCAACCGATTTTCACATTGTTTGCGTAAATAGCTTTCTCATTTGCTGGAATTCCAGAATCTCCAGACAATTTGTTTAGAATGCCATGCAGAGCTCACAAAGGTACCTGCTCTCTATGAAGCACTGCAGGAGAAAGTTCCCATTGGAGAATATTATCGGTACCACCACAACTTCCGTGGAACTACACAGCGACTTGTAGCAGCCACGTGTCTCATCATATACCTGGAAGAGAGTCGGTAAGATTCCTTATTGTGGTGGCTGCATGTTGGAGGCCTCATTCACTTGCTCACTCTCAGACTAGGATTCATATGGAATGTCATTGATGCAGACCTCTCCCTGTCCACACCCCCCCAAATGCAAGCTGTTATCTTGTATGAACTCTTCTAAAGCATGACCCTAAACACTCATTTATTTGATGAGCTTATTATTTCCTTTAGAATGAAATTTATTTTCTAGGTTAGTCATGGTAATAAAAGGATGAAGCTGGAGCCAACTGTGTACCAGAGTATTCATATGGTCAGTTGACTGGGATTTCACATGTACAGTGGTACCTCGGAATGCGAGTGTCCCTGTATGCGAGTTTTTCGGAAGACGAGCAGGATTTACTCCAAAAATATGTCTCGGAAGGCGAGGGTTACCTCGGGACACGAGTTTGTTGATACGTGTACAGGCCGACTGGCGCGTGGTGGCATGGCGATCGCGCCTCAGTTTACCAGTGTCTCGTGTCCAGTGACTATCCCACCTGAATTCTTCACAAGGATTTACAGTTTTTTATCGGTTTTTTGGCTATTTGAGCATAAAAGTTGTCATTATATATCTTGCCATGGGTCTCAAGAAAGCCATTGGTAAGGTTCAACCTAAGAAAATAGCTGTGAGTAGAGGCAGTAGAGGATGTCCCTTCTTGATTAAGAAAATGTGTGAAGTATGGGAAGAACTGCAAAGTTTTGTTGAAAAAACTCACCCAGATAAATCTGTAGCAGGCCGTTGCATTGACATTTTAAATGATAATGTGATGTCTTACTACAGACAAGTGTTAAAATGTAGGGAAAAACAAGTGTCATTAGACAAATTCTTAGTAAAACAAGCAAGTCCTAGTGGTATGCAGGCAAAATGTGCCAGAGTGTGCATACCAGTGAAGTCCTCACTGCCTGATGTGATAATGGAAGGGGACTCCCCTTCCAAACAGTAACTCCTCTCTTCCTCCCACCTCCTCACCATCTTCCATACGCCTACAGCATTCAACAGCAAGGTAAGTAATAACTTGAACATAGTTTTGTAGGTTTATTTAGATGAATTAGGTATAAAAATTTAGTTTGATGTGGGGTTTTTGGGGTAGTCAGGAACGGATAAATTCATTTCCCTTTATTTCTTATGGGGAAATTAGCTTCGGAATGCGAGTTTTCGGAATACGAGGCGTCTCCAGGAACCAATTAAACTCTTAAACTGAGGTATGCCTGTATCTGTGTGTTCAGTGAACATGTTTCAAATGAATCAGCCTAGGATTGAATAATTGCTGTAGTGATGTTCTTCAGAATGGAACAACCAGCGTGAGGCTGGTGAGGGCTGAGTGCTTTATCTTGTCGTTGTTAACTTTTGGTTGTCCATGAAGTTGGGCCAGGTGGGGGGGAATCTTGAGAGCATTGGCATTATACATAACTATAAGGCCACCAACATCTCCCTAATGTTGAAGGTTCTGGATGTACTGACCAGTCCAATCAGACCAGGTCAAGACGAAATGCTTCTTCTCAAACAGCTCTCTACCTTGTTCAGAGTTTGGATAAATGATAGGTGGCAGGCCATCCCAGAGTGGTGTGTTCCCCAGAGGGGAGCAAACTTGTGCTTCATATAAGGTTTTGCAACCTCTGCTATCAAGACTTATGAAATGCATCTTAGGGCTGTAAGATTCTTGGCTGCCTTGCTAGGTTTAACATGTGGTTCATGATGGTCATTGAACAGTAAAACTTCATTCCTATGATAACTTCATCACTGAGCACTAGATTTTTCTACCTATCCATATTCCTGTGTCAGGTTCAATGTTAGACAGTCTAGTTATGATCATTGCTTGTGTTTTCTCTGCAAGTTGTGACTAATAAGACTTACAGCAAATGCCATTTTCTCTCTTATATATGTAAAGGTTAGCGTGTTCATCAGCATAGGCTGGAGCTTCGAAATTAGTAGACTTTTCACAACAAGGGGCCAAGCACATTGCCCTATGGTACACTAGCACCAATTGAGTGGCTTTCAGATTCTGCTCCACTGAGGATGAATTTTAAAGAACCTCTCTCCCTCCATTACAATGTCATGTAATCATAACACTCTCTGTACTCCATACACTACCATGTTCATATCCTCAAGTATGTCAGATGGTAATCCTTTTCTTGATTACACTCCTGCAATCAAAACATATCTACTTCATATTTTGTCAAATTTGAGTTTTTATTAGTGCTAACAACAGAATCTGCATTTCTGCATATTTAATTCAAAATCGTGTGAAAAATTTAAATGCAGTACAGGTTAAAAAAATTGGTAATTTATTGACACTGTAAATCTGATCCACTGGATTTTTTGATAATCTGCATAACTAATACATTGCATTGGATAATGTGACCAAAATCCTTGCATTTTGTTCAGCTTTCCATTGGACTGGGTTTGTTTGAAGTGTGAGAACCCACTTTATTCAAACATTTTTGTTTCAAGTTTATACAGTATAGTAAAGTTCATTAGATTAGTAAAGCTTGTTATATCAAAGTTACTCTATAGTCACTTTCATTTGCATGAAAGTGTAATTGTTTAAACAGTTTACTTAACAAAAAATTATGCATCAGAAATATATTATGAACAATTGCCTTTTCATACAGCCTGCCTCCTCATGAAGAAGTGGCCAAATCCTTGGGATTAAGTACACAGAGAGAAAAGGGTTTCCACTTGGACTTGGAGGACTACCTTCAGGGGACTCTGGGTATTAGTCATGAGCTCTCAAGACTTGCCATCAATTCAGTTAGTGCAGGTGAGTGTGATATGTTTTCTTGGGTAGTCGAATAGACTTGGTGCTGCTGATGATTACTTGTGATTGTGTGTACTCTATATCAATTATGCTTTGTTTTGTTCACCAGCAGGAAGCCATTACCATATATACACACTTTGCACATTTCTCTTATGTAACACTCGCACATAATCAAGTAGAATGTGTGAATCGACTTCATAATGGTCAAGGACAGATCGAAACGTCGTCATCTCTTCATCTTCTGGTGTGTGGTTTGGTCATCATATCTCAATGTTACTGTCACTCATTGTCTGCATGACTAGTAGCTATATATAACATACAATTACTATACTGTACTACTATGTAACCACATTAACATGTACGATAATATTTTAATTATTTATAATTATTATTATTTGTAATCAAATTCACAAGTGAGAATGAATAGAATGGTGTTCTTCCTTTTTTTGATACTACACATTATGCTTCAGAGACATCAAAGACAATAATTAACTGCAACAAGGAATTAGTGAGGTGCAACAGTCTTGGATGTCCCTTTCTGGAAAATTTACCCAGATTTCCATAATCATTAGCCTTTTTCCATTAAAGGAAATAAAAACTATTCAATTGCCCTATCTTCAATTTTTTTTTATATAATTATGCTAAGAGAATCAAGTCAAAAGTAATTGTATTAAATTTCAAACTTTTACTCAGCCAAGAAATAGAAATGGTCTTAGGAGCTGCTGTTTTTTTTTAGGCTCTTCTAACATCTTCAAACATTTATTTAATGAACACAACATTGTTCACTCAATTTGTAATTACCTTACACTTAGGTAATTACAAATTGTGAAATATCTAAAAAGGTGTTAGGTAATATGTTCATTGTTTGTGATGTGTGTCTGTATGTGTATGAACGCATACTGAACGGGGTGAGGATAGTTTGAGCTACCTCATCCCTTTGTGTGTATTTTACCTCAATAAACTTATTTCAATTTCAATCTAAAAAGATGATAGTACTAACAATGGTTAGTTATGTTAAAAAAATGGCCAATTTTTTTTTTAACATCTATACAAACTTTAAAACAATAAATTATATTTTTAAAGCACAATTTGTGATCTACACAGACCCAGAAAACATCATTATTGTGATCACTCCAATCCATCCTTTAAAGCGAGGCACAAGTGGCCTTTAAATGGTTAGCAAAATTCAAGACAGCTCGTCTCTGCTGGGGTCCCTGGAGATTTATGTATTCTGGGAAATTAAGACTTATTTCCTAGTGTTAGAGACAACTTTTACTGTCCACTATACTCTACAAGAACCTCAAAGAAAAAACTGAAATACTATGTTATATGCAGAATGACAGTGAAAATTGAAAAGATAACAGCAAGTGTGCTTTCAACTTGCTTTCAAGACATTTGGAATGGCGATGGCCTATCCCCTTTTTCCGTTCTGAGTAACTTATATATGGAGTTCTTTGAAACAAAAATCTTACCAAGGATTCTACCCCAATTCTATAACAGTTTGGTATAGGTATGTGTATATTTTGTTTGTGGCCAGTTAACCATGAGCAATTGGATTTCCTGAACCAAGTTAACTCGCTGGTCTCGTCAATCAAATTCACAAGTGCAGCCCACACAAGTGAGAATGAATAGAGTGGTGTTCTTCCTTTTCTTGCCATTATTATCCATAAAGTCAATAGGTGTTTTAAATTTAATGTTTACAGAAAGCCTACTAATGTTTGCTCATATGTACACTTCTATTCCAATCATCATATTTAAAGTTAAGGAAGCAGTGTTTTCTGGAATGTTTCTCAAAGCCCTGAATTTATTAATGAAGAAATGGCTAAGATATACAAAATTGGAATGAAGCTGCAATACCTTTGCAGTACAGTTCTTGATGTAGCGTTAGGACAAGCTAAGCGAACGTTCTACAATAGTACTCTCGGGGCTAAGTCTGACCCTAGAAACTCGCTTGTGCCTCTTTACTCAGAAGGACTTGCTGAACTTTCCTCAGTTGTAAAGAGTTTTAATATTTGGTGTTGAAAAATAATAATACGATCCAGTCCATTTTAATCAAGAACTCGCCAGTGTCTGCTGCTGGGTGTGTATTCAATCCCTTGCAAAGATCACAAGTTAAAGTACATCGGCCAGACTGATAAATTATTGGAATCTCACTTTTCTCAACAGTGTCACTCAATTCGAACTGCACAACAGTCCAGTGCATTTAATATACATGCTAGCCTTTGTGACCATTTCAATTTTACCAGTCTCCGTGGTAAGACACTCGCCTGGCGTTCAGCGAGTGCTTTGTCATGGGTTCGTATCCTGGCCGGGGAGGATTTACTGTGCGCAAATCCTTAACTGTAGCCTCTTGTTTAACTCGACAGTAAAATGGGTACTTGGTTGTAAAAACGATCCTTCGCGGCGGGGATCGTATTCCAGGAACCTGCCCGAAACGCTACGCGTACTAGTGACTACAAGAATGTAATTTTTTTTTTTTTTTTTTTTTTTTTTTTTTTTTTATAGGTATATACAAAAGATACAGTACAGTACTTGTTTTTGATGTCCAGAGACAGAAAATAGAGCAAAGTTTGGTACTTAATGGTTTGGTTTGGACATAGCTTATAGTGCTCATATGTACTTTTCTAGGTGTCTATCAGTCATCATACAGTTTAAGGGCTGTATATATGCCTAAAAACAAGAAAATTATTTAAAGGGATTATATACCATTTAATTATTTTTTATCAAATTTAACAGTTTTATTAGATACCTTTGTTTCAATGTGTTTTAAAAGAATATTTGCAAGAGTTAATCATGTATTTGCTCTTGACAAACTGTTTTCATTTAGCTTTGCTATAGCTTTGTTTCCTGTTAGTTCTTGTGGTGTGCTCACACATCACTCACTGTCTGCCCAGCTTCTTAGCATATTTCTATTTTCCTGCGGCAAGTGGAAAGCCGACACATTGGTCACTTATATTGCAAACTATTTCCGTTTAAAAGTAAAAGTTGCCGAGAATAATTACAGTACTGTATACTGTAGTACATTATTAAGAAGAGGATATATTATTGCATATTTGGTTTTGTCATGATCCATTTTATAAACCAAAGATACTACAGTGTAAGAAAATAGGTTTAATCAAACAGTTTATAGAGTTAAAATAAATTTTTTTTTTTTTCCAGGAGATTACTCTCGTCCTTTCCAGATACGGCAGTTTTTGCGAGATCTCCATTCAGCCTACTCTCTGCTGTTTCCTAAGAATGAATTAAGAAAGAAATTTGATGAACTCAAATATTCTTTGAAGAAAACAGAAGAGGTTGTCTACAATTTGTCCCTTCGAGGACTTAAGCCCCAAGATACTGAAACCTCGGGCTAGATCTCTGTCACAGAATATGGTTTGGATGTTAAATATAAGATCTCCGACTTAGTCACCTGAGTGACCTCGTGTGTTTGTATTGTTCAGCTCAGATTTTTAAAACACCTCTAAAGTATCTAAGGTATTGATATTTTTGTACTGGGTCAGTATGTCCATTAGTTCATTAACAAAAAATCTGAATAATTGTGGGTGCACTGTGTTGAAATCCAGTAAGGAAAGGAGAATATTATGTTCTGGGATTGTACTATCTTACTAGTGACAAGACCTATTAGTATTCAAGTTGACATATTAATTACTTTATGCATTTTATTTATGAAGAGATTAATGATAACTTTTGAATGACAAGTATTTACACTTCTAAACAAGGCTGTATCAATCTAGAAGGAAGTATGTATTATTGTATATTCTTTGAAATCAATTATTATACAAGTACTGTGTACCATAATTTAGGAAGCATGAATTTTGAGAATATAGAAAACTCAAGTATTTTTTAACCTGTTCTTGCCACAAAAGTAATCTGATGACAGTGCTCTTATGTACCATGACAGACAGAGATAAGCTGTTTGTCCTTTAACTTTTAATGTGTTGTGGATAAGTTGGTATATTTTGGTTTTGGAAGACCTGGTGCATGAGGGGATGGAGGAAGGCTAATTAGGTAAATACGTGGATGATAAGAAAACATTCTCTACATTGTAGTCTTGTTCTTTTTCATGATATATGTATGATTGAGTTTGCTTGCAGCCATGTGAACTTGCCTGTATGTACATAGTTTGTGTGCATGTTTGTGTAAATTTTAGACTTGACAAGAGTATTTTTTTATGTAAACCACTGCCTTCCTCTCCCAGGCTTAATCTAGTTCCAGATTATTTATTCAGAATGTGATATACCTTATCATTAAATGAATTCAAAGCAATGTTAGACTAAACTAGTCGATAAACAAATTCCATTTATATGCTCTAGTCAAAAATTTTGGCCAACTTAATTCATACCAAGATTTTTTTGTTGCAAATATATTGTTTACTTCAGCTTCGCAAAACATCCATGGAGTGCACACTGTTTTGGCTAGATCTTGATCCATATTTATAGGGTCAGTTCATGAAAGGTGAAAAAGATCAAATTTATTTACCAAGTCAATAATCACCCAGTTGGCATTTTATTATGACGATGCATTGCACAGGGTCCAATGTTATGCTTGTGGAATTTATTATTGTGGTACAGTATACTGTTTTCAGGAGTTAAAGAAAATGGCAAGATAGCCATTTATCAACTTTTTCTTTTTTTTTCAGACTTATTCAATACTTAATTATTGGTATATTTATGAAAAAGTATATTAGATGTTAACTTTGAAGATAAATAGACTTTTTTTCCACTTCCATTAACAAGTAAATTAGTAACTACAATCATTTTTGTTAACTAAAACACATGAATTGTTGAATTTATAATAGTTATGGTTTGTTAGTTTTTGTACGTGGACAAATGGTTGCCACCTTGGGTAGGATGTTATTCAGTTATCTTGGGGGTTTTCAAGTTTGAATTGTGCTCTATAATGTTGATCATTTTCAGATAATCCACATTTGTTTCTGTATTTACACAAAAAATGCTCAAAGTACTTTATTGTATATGATTTTGACCATTAAAAAGTGACCCTATACTACAGTAAATATTTATTCTCAAGAAAATGGAAGGCAGTCATTGTTTTTCTCATTACCTGTTATGATTTTTATATTAAGAGCATTTCTATTAAAATTATTTAATAAGTAATAATATAAATTATTAATTAAAATAATACAAATAAATAAATAAGGGAATCAGATATTTCCTATACAGATCTCCCATATTGACCTCTGAATGTATGATAGACCTGATGAGCTGGGGACAGCATATGCTTTAACAGTGGGAGTTTGATTACCACCTTGGACTGTCGTTGAGCAACCCGAGGGCAGTAATTATACTGTAACAAGGACTGCAATAAAATTTATTAAACTTGAGACGAAGCAAAATTCACACTAGTTATTCCCTCTATCATGCATGAAGTGCCACATATCTAGAAGTCTGTTGACCCATACATATTTCTACTACTAGGCTTAGGTTTGGTTACAAGTACAGTACCTTGTACTGTTACAAGTTACAGTACAAGTACGACGTGGATCTGACCAAATGTAAACTGTCAGCAGAACTATTCACATACTCGGTACTTTACGTTACTATGTTATCAAGTGAAAAAAATCATAGAATTTAGAGTTTTATCACAAGTGTTCAAGAAATGTTCCACCAGAAAATGTACTACTAGAAGTCTTAGCTAAACATCCCAAGTTTTCTTACTGTAGGTAGTGTATGCACACACATGTAAATTCTCCACCTATATCCATTGAATGGATGTGGGGTGTATGATAAGCAAATCAAATTGTTAAATTAATTCACCACAAATGTAAATAATTCCCATTGTCACAGACAGGAAACCTGCATATATAAGCATATTGTCTTTCCTACTGGAAAACTATATTTACCTTCCCCAAAGATGCAATTTTGGCCTGGTACAACAGTTGGCTAACTTTTAGGCAACTGTTGTGCCAGGGCCTCACCAGGAGTGGGCCCTGATGAGGCCACTCCTCACCGAGTCTTCCTTGCTGTCGGAAGAATGCTGACCAGGACCACCTCTGTCTTCTTGAGGTCAGTCCAAATCCAGGGCTCACATGTCCTTCCTTTGACCTCCCAGCACCACTTTCCTGGAGATCTGGTGGACTACCATACTTCGGAGTCTTATCTGAATTTACCCGAATTCTTGTCTGCTTCTCGCGGCTTCAGCACTCCCGAATTCCTCCCGGGTAGTTGCTCAGTGTCTTCTGTGCCCTTAACCTCAATTACTACCAGTCTAGATATTCACCTTGTAGGTTAGACTTCATCTTGCAGGAATGAAGAGCTGTGTGACTTGTTTGTACAATGACCCAAAACATAGTGACGTCCGGACGGCACCCGAACTCCCGCGTCAGGCGGCCACATCACATCAGGGCATTCTCTCATTGGTGACTTCTCTAATGCCAAGGCAATCACCATATCTACATTCAGGGGACCCAGTGTTTTAACTTAAGGTGTCCTCTCGGTGAGAACTAATATTTCCTGGATATGTTTAGGTCAGCCAGCTTGTCTTCTCAGGCTAGACTCCATCTCTTCCACTAGCCAACTTGTAACTGAAATAATATAAAATCCTGGCTTCTTGCTTCCTCTAAAGTGTAACCACACAAAATTAGGGGGCTTCTAGACTATGTACAAGTTAGAGTATGACTTATTAGGTGGGAGAGGAATATATCTTGCCAGTTCATTAGCAACATATTTACCTGAATATACCCTAGAGCCCCTGTCAAAAGTACTCCCCATTTGCCCTGATGATTTTTTCCAGCTGGATTTTAACATTTAACAGTTTTGGCCTTTACAACTTGGTGGTGGTTCCATGGGTTTATATCCCTGTGGGTGAAAAAGCATCTCTGTTTTCAGTCCTACATTGTGGCTTGAGCTAGAAACCATTGTTCTTTGTGTTACATCTGACCTTTTGAAGAAGTTGTCTGGATCAACATTCTCCAAACTTCAGAATTTAATTTTTTTTGGGTAGGGTGGCTAAAACTCATGCATGGATAAAATTATTTATTTATAAGTAATATAGTTAATTACTTCATAGTAAATTATACATCATGGATATATAAAGTAAATTAACTGTAATCTATATACAATATTAAGGTGTATAATTAATGTGAATAACATCAATTAGCCTTCATGTAAAATAAATGGGAATGAATCTGACTGGAGAAATGTGGTAAGTGGGGTGCCACAAGGGTCCATTTGGGGCCAACCCTTTTTGTCATATATATCAATGACATAGATGAGAATATTACAAACCACATCATCAAATTTGCAGGTGACACAAGATTGATAGTAAAGTGGGAACGAGATATATATATGCGGAAAAACCACATTTGAAAAATATAGAATGCTTAACGCGTTTTCAGCTAATTTGCCTTCATTAGAGCAAAGTATGTAGAATGAATTAATTCCTTCATTCTACTTTGCTCTGATGAAGGTGAATTAGCCTAATATATATATATAATCCCCCATTTGGATTACTATATTCAAGCATGGAGTCGTCCTCTTCAGAAGGACATAGCTGCTCTGGAGAAAGTGCAACACCAGGCAACAAATCTACTTGATAATGGTCCAGGACGGACCAAAATGTCGCTGTCTCTTCACTTTCTAGTGTGTAGTTTGGTCAACATTTTTCAGCCACGTTATTGTGACTCCTCATCTGCACCATTCAACAAAAATTATTCTGGGGCCAAGTCATCTTGTATCAAGAATGGTTGAGGGCCACAGGGCTAGCAACACTGCAAACCAGACATGGCAGGGCAGAAATTAAAACTTTTAAATATTGAACAAGTTAGAGGATGTTGATCCAGACAACTTCTTCAAAAGGTCAGATGGAACATAAACAAGGAGCAACGATTTCAAGCTCAACAAGCCACAATGTAGGACTGAGAACAGGAGATGCTTTTTCACCCCACAGGGTTATAAACCCATGAAACTGCCTACCCACCAAAGCCGTAAATGCTAAAACTGTTAAATTTTATAATCTAACTGGAACAGATCATCAAGGCAAATAGGGGGACCATTGACAAGCATCTGGCTTCCTGTCCTTGTCAGGCCACTAATATTTCCATTCCAATTTACTACTAGAGTTAGTGACCCTCAGGAATAGTAAGGATTTTGCAGAGTCTATCTTGCTTTCACTTCTTATATAGACATAAAATAGACATGGGAGTCTTAATGTTTTTTGCAAGTTTTCTCACATAGTTCCTTTTTGTTGATTGGGTTACTTTGTGGTTACCTTGTGACGATTTTGGGGCTTAGCGTCCCTGCAGCCCGGTCCTTGACCTGACCGTAACAAATCAAATCAAATTAAATCAAATGTTTATTCAGGTAAAGTGCATACATACAAGGTGAATTAACAAACATAATGTTGAATTAATAGATAGAGCTAGTACATACAATGCCTAAAGCCACCTGAAATGCTATGGGTGCTAGTGGCTTTACAAGAATGTAAATTCAACTTAATTTCTATGTTCTCTGTTAACCCTCAATGTACCTTCTTGTACAGTATATAAATAAATAAATAAATAAATAAATATTATGCACATCAGGGTTTCGGGCAAGATACGCAAGATTGGGGTAACATAAGTTACATACAAATTACCATCTACTTTGTTACTAATTTGGATATTATTAATTCTTGGATTAATTTGATCAGTGGATTTATTATAAAACAAAATATAGAAGGTTTTATCAATGTTAGGAGCGAGTTTGTTAGCAGGTAGCTAAAGATGACCCAAGATAGCCAAAATTTATTTATTTATTTATTTATATACAAGAAGGTACATTGGGTTTGTGAGAATACATAGCATAGTACAGTAAATACACTCTTGTAAAGCCACTAGTACGCGCAGCGTTTCGGGCAGGTCCTTAATCTAACAAATAATTTTAAGTAGGTAAATTCTATCAGAATTAATAAAATGATAACAAATACATTGCAAGAAAAAAATGAGATGAGAGAGATTAGTAAGTATATTAAAGCACCTTGGTATATTAAAGCTCTGATTGATTACATTGACAGCTTGACAAATTAGCTACATCTTAGTTTGTTTCCCTGTTGAAGCTTTTACCTGTTGACACCTATACTTGATAAGTGCTGTTCAGTGACGGGCGACGACGATCCTGGGATCAGATGCGCCGTTATTTGATAAATCACCTGTTTTGACGCCATTTTTAAAGTGTCCGCCACGGAATGTTTTGGTCCAACACGTGACCCCCCCCCTAACCCCACCCCTGGGCTCCCCCCTCCCAGACGTCCCCCCCCCCCCCATCGTCTCCGAACCTTTTCCTTGCACTCTAAATTACACTTTAATAAAGCATTTATATAAAAAACGGCATCATTCCAAAATTCATAATATTTGTATATATATTTACTGATTAGTAACATATTGAAATATTAAAAAAATCCATGAAATTAGATGTTAAGATAGACCATTAGGCTTTAAAGAAGGAAAACGAACGTGCGATATGTTTTGATACGGTGTGACGTCACTGAGCAGCTGACGAAGGAAAACAGATCGTATGGAGACTCGCAGCTCGACCTGCTTAGTCGCAATAGAGGATTTCTGAGGTTTTGACCGCTTTATCACCATGGATGTGCACTGATGTAAGTCTCTGCTTGTTCCTTTTTATGTACGCGACACTTATGTAACATTGTCTTTCTTTGGCGTCGAGATTAGAACTGAATATATATATTTTTTACTGACATTTTGGCTTGACAACAAAGACCCGGAGAGGAAGTTTATGGTGACGCAGACGGTGTCTGGCTGTGTCACACTTGTCTGTGTAGAGTGTTACTGTGGCTCGCTACTGGGTAACACTACACGCTACTTGGATGTAACACTGTTAATTAGCCAGTTTTTTTCTTCAATTAGTCGTGAAGAGTGCTTCGTTAGATGAGTATTGATGCTCCACACTGGTGGTCGAAGGCCGTAAAACATCTATAATTGTTTTGAGCAAAATCGAAATAAAGAAATGTATTAATTACTGAAGAAAAACTGAGAGGAAGTAGACAGTGAAAATGTTAAATGTTTAGTTCATTTAAACTAAATGAACTAAACATTCTACATTATTAAGGTTATGATGATCTGGGGTATAGCAGCTTTCGATCCCTTTGAGAATCAAATGCTTGACACGTGTTATTAAAATTGTTACGTTATTAAATATTAAACTAGCTTCTAGAGTAAAGATATGAATTATACTTATTTTACCTGAATATGAAGCATTTGACATGTTACAGTGCTGGGTAAATGAGGAGTATTATTCACAACATGCAAGATATTTGAGGTAGTTGCAGTGCATAAAAATAGGTTGCTTGATGACCAAACTAAACATCAGAAGATGAAGAAACAACGTTTCATCTTCTGATGTGTGGTTTGGTCATCTTATCTTTAGCCATGTTATTGTGACTCATCATCTGCATAGGTTGCTTGATGCAAGCATCATCAGTACAAAACTTCACACCCTGTACAATCAAATTAGTCTTTAAATATGATTGCTTCATTGTAAGAATATTGTTAGATGGAGTTTAATGCTAACAAATTTAGTGTTCCAAGCCTAGGGAATTATAATGGTTAAGATATCAACTGAATAATGTTGAAATTCCAAATATGTATACAAAAATATCTGGGGAGTCATGACAGTAGTGATAGTAATGAGACCATTAGTGTTATTCTTCAGCTTTTGAGCCCTTTTTTTTAGATCCCATTAAGATTATACTTTTCAGTTTAAGAACATAAGAACAAAGGTAACTTGCAGAAGGCCTATTGGCCCATACGAGGCAGTTCCTATCTATAACCACCCAATCCCACTCATATATAGGCATACCTCAGAATAAGAGTTTAATCCGTTCCTGGAGACGCCTCGCCTTCCGAAAACTCGCATTCCGAAGTTAATTTCCCCATAAGAAATAGAGGGAAATGAATTAATCCGTTCCTGACTACCCCAAAAACCCCACATCAAACTAAATTTTTATACCTAATTTACCTAATTCATCTAAATAAACCTACAAAACTGTGTTCCAGTTATTACTTACCTTGCTGTCGAGTGCTGTAGGCGTATGGAAGATGGTGAGGAGGGGGGAGGAGGAGAGGAGTTACTGTTTGGAAGGGGAGTCCCCTTCCATAATCACATCACATAACCCCATGCCTTGTAACACTATGGATACCACTTCTCTCTCTAAATTTTTCAAACCAGCCCCTGCTTGCCTTAAACTCTTTCTTATCTGCATCACTCGTTGCAGGGGTATTCTTTAGAAGGTCTTCGTGCAACACCCTGGCTTTCTCACAAATAATGGCCTCCGAAACACTATCACCCCTCAACTCCTTGTCGTGTATCCAAATTAATAACAACTTTTCCACTTCTTCAAGTATTTGTGGTCTTTGTGCCGTTAATGTTCTTACTCCTTTTGCCACTTTAGCACCCATAATCTTATTTTTCTTCTTAAGTATAGTGCATATTGTTGATGTGGCTTTGTTGTACTGCCTACAAAGTTCAACAACACGTGTACCGTTCTCATGCTTCCGAATGATCTCTTGTTTCTCCTCTATTGTCATCCTCACATGAGCTTTCTGGCCTTTATCCTTACCACTGGCTTTCTTGGGACCCATGGTGAGATATATAATAACAAATTGTATAGACAAATCACCAAAAATCCAACAAAACACTGAAAATCCGCGAGAAGAATTGATGTGGGGGTAGTCACTGAGCGCGAGACAATAATAAACTGAGGGGCGGCGGGGCGGAGGGGCGACGAACGCGCTAGGTCGGCTGTACGCGTATCAACAAACTCGCGCCCAAACTCGCCTCCCGAAGTAACCCTCGCCTTCTGAGACAAATTTTTGGAGTAAATACACCTCGCCTTCCGAAAACCTCGCATACAGGGACAATCGCATTCCGAGGTACCACTGTACTTGTCCAACCCGCGCTTGTAACAATCGAGGGACCCCACCTCCACCACGTTACGCGGCAATTGGTTCCACAAATCAACAACCCTGTTACTGAACCAGTATTTACCCAAGTCTTTCCTAAATCTAAATTTATCCAATTTATACCCATTGTTTCGTGTTCTGTCTTGTGTTGATATTTTTAATACCCTATTAATATCCCCCCTGTTATGTCCATTCATCCACTTGTAAACCTCTATCATGTCACCCCTAACTCTTCGCCTTTCCAGTGAATGCAACTTAAGCTTTGTTAATCTTTCTTCATATGAAAGATTTCTAATTTGGGGAATTAACTTAGTCATCCTACGTTGGACACGTTCAAGTGAATTTATATCCATTCTATAATATGGCGACCAAAACTGAACTGCATAATCTAAATGGGGCCTAACCAGAGCAAGATATAGCTTAAGAACCACACCAGGTGTCTTGTTACTAACGCTTCGATTAATAAATCCCAGTGTCCTATTCGCCTTATTACGAACATTCATGCATTGATCCTTTTGTTTTAAATTCTTACTAATCATAACTCCCAGATCCCTTTCGCAATCCGACTTCACAATCTCAACACCATCTAGCTCGTATCTTGTAACTCCATCATCATGTGTTTTGGTCATCACACTAGAATGGGCATACACTTTCTTTAACATGTCTAGAGCAGGACGAGTGATTGAAGGATGAGAGTGGAGTGATTCCCCAGGGTGGAGTTGAGGAGTGGAATGATTCCCCAGGGTGGAGTGGGAGCGAGTGGAGTGATTCCCCAGGGTGGAGTGGGGGAGTGGAGTGATTCCTCGGGGTGGAGTGGGGGAGAGTGGAGTGATTCCCCAGGGTGGAGTGGGGGAGAGTGGAGTGATTCCCCAGGGTGGAGTGGGGGAGAGTGGAGTGATTCCCCAGGGTGGATTGGAGGAGAGTGGAGTGATTCCCCAGGGTGGAGTAGGGGAGTGGAGTGATTCCCCAGGGTGGAGTGAGGAGAGATTCCACAGGGTGGAGTTGGGGAGAGTGGAGTGATTCCCCAGTGTGGAGTGGAGGACAATGGAGTGATTTCCTAGGGATGGGGGGGGGGGAGAATGGAGTGATTCCCCAGGTCCAGACACCAGCATGGAATCAGAGGGACCCTAAACTAACATAACAAAATCAATAATTTATGTTCTTAATATAATATAATATAATAATATTTAAAATAAACCAGTAGGAAACAATTTACAGTATTGAAAATAAAGAAAATCACTCGGCCTATTAGGCAAATCAGGCCTTGAATAGTAGGCCGAGAAGTGCGTTCTGGGGCTACTAGGTGCCCCAGAACGTTAGCTGAAAGGGTTGGTTAGGTTCGGTCATATATCTACTTTAATTTTAACTCCAATAAAAAAAAAATTGACCTCATATATAATGAAATGGGTAGCTTTATCATTTCATAAGAAAAAAATTAGAGGAAATTTATTAATTTGTGAAAACTTGGCTTATTAGGCAAATCGGGCCTTGCATAGTAGGCTGAGAAGTGTGTTCTGGCTACTAGGTACGACATATATATATATATATATATATATGTCGTACCTAGTAGCCAGAATGCACTTTTTGGCCTATTATGCAAGGCCCGATTTGCCTAATAAGCCAAGTTTTCCTGAATTAATATATTTTCTCAAATTTTTTTCTTATGAAATGATAACGCTACCCATTTCATTATGTATGAGATCAATTTTTTTTATTTGGAGTTAAAATTAACGTAGATATATGACCGAACCTAACCAACCCTACCTAACCTAACCTAACCTATCTTTATAGGTTAGGTTAGGTTAGGTAGCCGAAAAAGTTAGGTTAGGTTAGGGTAGGTAGGTTAGGTTGTCGAAAAAGAATTAATTCATGAAAACTTGGCTTATTAGGCAAATCGGGCCATGCATAGTAGGCTGAGAAGTGCGTTCTGGCTACTAGGTACGACATATATATATATATATATATATATAATGTCGTACCTAATAGCCAGAACGCACTTTTTGGCCTACTATGCAAGGCCCGATTTGCCTAATAAGCCAAGTTTTCCTGAATTAATATTTTTTCTCTTTTTTTTCTTTTGAAATGATAAAGCTACCCATTTCATTATGTATGAGGTCAACTTTTTTTTATTGGAGTAAAAATTAACGTAGATATATGACCGAACCTAACCAACCCTACCTAACCTAACCTAACCTATCTTTATAGGTTAGGTTGGGTTAGGTAGCCGAAAAAGTTATCTTAGGTTAGGTAGGTTAGGTAGCCGAAAAACAATTAATTCATGAAAACTTGGCTTATTAGGCAAATTGGGCCTTGCATAGTAGGCTGAGAAGTGCGTTCTGGCTATTAGGTACGACATATATATATATATATATATATATATATATATATATATATATATATATATATATATATATATATATATATATATATATATATATATATATATATATATATATAAATATAAGTATATATTATATAAATATAATATAAATAATGCAGGTGAGTAGAGGAACAGACATCTTCTGGCTCCTGTTAGCAGGCTGAGAGCATTCCCTTCCCATAACTAATGTTAAGCCTTACCCACAAGTTTTCCTTGGTTCACAACCTGCCAGTATGTTAACAGCCAGGTTCCCAATTACTGCTGGGTGAACAGAAGCAAACAGTTAAGGATTGATGCCCAGACAATCCTTCCTGGCCAGGACTCGAATCTAGACTCATCGCTCCCAATGCACAGGGTGAGTGAGGTAACACAGTGTCTTCCCCCCCCCCCCTCCAAAAATAAGTATCATGTGCTAAAGGTTTGTACTTTTGGAAATTTACTTTTATCTCAAATACTTATTACTACAGTATACAAAATAAGATTAGGCAAAAGATGGTGATGCATAATTAATCTATAGTGGCAGTATATAGGTACAGTAGTTATTTTATAGTTATAGTTCTAAAGAATAACTTGTACTGCACTGTACATTGATGGACTCTGTTAATGCTGTTTCATCAGCAAGGTCTGTGACCTGTCAGGGTATTAATAGTTCTGGACACGATCCTAAAGTCTCAAAAGTATATATCAAGACAATCTTGCAACAGCTCTTGGAGGAGGAAAAACATTGTACAGTACATACTTTGCCAAGAAGGTATGTCTGCCAAATAGCACATGCTAGATTGAGTATTTGACACCTGATATAAAACTGTGCTTCCTCAATTTGTGTGCTTGGATCTTGTTAGTAAGTTATACTTGTAGACCATGCTTCTCATTTCTCTTGTGCTTGCAACATGGAAAAAGTTATGGAAGGCTTTTGTTCTGCTTGCAAGAACATTTGTAATAGTTATACTTATGAGTGAATGAAACAATACAGTACCGTTCCCATAAATATGATTGCCACTTTGCAGATATAAGCAATTAGGAAATATTTATTACACAGGAAGAAAAAATTGAAATTTGTTGCACAATTAGGTCCATCAGGGCATATCTTTTATTGTTATTCTGCCTTATTAAAATCATTGCACAGTATTTATAAAATTATTTTTTGTATTTATTTTAGAAAAACTTTGTCTTATACTGTTCAAGGAAACTGAATTTACTAAATACTTGTATGGCTTTTTTTTTCTTTTTTTTTTTTTTTTTACTATTTTCAGATAGAAAAGTTGTAAGGATTTCAGTGGAACAATTTGCAGATTATAAGTCCAAGATTTATATTGATTCTGCATTTTTGCAGTAAAATTCTTACAAGCTGCAAGTGTAAACTTTGAACAGAGAATGTTATAGCATTATTGTGGAAAGAAACATCAGAATTGGCAAGGCTGCACGCAAAGTTTCCTTGCTGTGATAAATCAAGATGGGGGGAGCAGTGAGTGCTGGTGTTGATAATGACGATCTTGTCGACAACCTTAAAGCTGCCAGCTACATCACTACACCACTGCTTGAACGTGTGTTTAGAGCTGTGGATCGTGGAAATTATTTCACATCAGAGAATCGCGAACAAGCTTATAGAGACAATGCATGGAAAAAAGGAAATTTACATTTGTCTGCACCCTGCATATATGCGAAGGTGGGTACTGATAGTCATTTCATTTAACGTGTGTGATTTAACTAATTTTCATTACTTGTTCTTTCCGGCAGAAATTTATGTGATTGAGGTGCAAAAAGTTTGGCATGGAATATACCATATCTAATGAAGTCTGAATAATCAGATTATATAATTTTTATGGCTATAGCAAAAGCTTGACAAAATTGTCACATTAGTCAAAGGCAAATTAAAGGGTATCTTGGAATTCTTTACCATTGTTCTTTTTGGTTTCTCATTGTTCTTGCTGTTAATTTAAAGTAAGTGGTAATGTGTTACAGTTTTGTATATTTTCAATTCTGTAAAGAATAACAAAAGTGTACAGTATGGAATGTGTGTTAGGGAATAAAAGTTCAAGAAGTATTGTAATTTTATCTCCAAAACAGAATAGATTTATGCAGGAATGATAAAACTGTAGAAGCTTAATGGGCCATCTAATGTACTGTACTTTTTATTGTGCTCTACACCCCCTTCACACACTAACTTAACCAGTAGCTGACCTACACTTCACTCTTATTATTCAGTAGTTGTCTATTTCTTTAGAATTTTCTGACCCTGTTTTTCTTTTGTCACAAATCATTTTTATAATAATAATAATAATAATAATAATTATTATTATTATTAGTAATATTATTTTCATAACATACGAACATGTTAGTGGTATATGGTTAGGTACTGGGGTTGCATATTAAATAAAGCCATTAATACATAGTGTTATGGGCAGTGTACCTTGCAATGTATACTGTACTGTCTTTTAACTTATACTGTCACATTAGAAATACAGACCTTGTTTGGTCACCATTAACCAGCTCTTTCATATCCCCTTGAGCCACCAAAAACATCATTAGTTTGCAGCATCTTTTAAGTTCTTGTGTAATGTTTTCTTATGCTTACCATTACTCATTGGCTCCCCAAGGCAATTAAGGACATAAGAATAGAGGAAACTGTAAAGGCCAGTCTTTAAGTCACCTATTTATATCCAACCACAACCACTCTTATATTTATCTAATCTATATTTACAATGATCCAGCAGCCCTATCATGTTATGTTACTTGACAATGTGTTCCATAAATTTACAATCCTATATCCAAGTAAGTACAGTATTTGTATGATTATGGAGCCTTCTGGAGAAACTTTTTCTCTGGCCTTTTCCTAATGGGAAGTGTCCCACTGGAAGTAAGACATCAGTACTAAAGATACATTTTCATACTCTTGCCTATTTTATACTCATTGTTTTATTTAGTGATGATATTGAGGACCACATTAATATCCCCCCTTTAATACAGTACTGTATATGCTTTCATCCATTTGTACAATTGTCATGTCCCCTTCAATCATTTTATTTTTCTAGAGAATAGTAATTAAGATTCTTTAACCTCTCTTTATAAGGAAGGTTGAGGTCCTAATTTCTGGTATTAATTTTGTCATCCTTCTCCATACATTTTCTATAGTATTTATTCATTATATAGTAGTGTGTCAAAACTGTACTGCTTAATGTAAATGTTGCCTAACAAGATCAAAATAAGGTGAAGACTGTCTCTATTAATAATGTATCTAGCAATTGACCATTTTTTCTATTTTCTGTTGCAAATATTTATACAGTACATTAATTTCTTAACTTAAGATCCCTACTAATCATGATGCCCAGATATTTTTTGTATTCAAATGTAGCAAGTATCAGTGTTCAACCACTATCTTGTAATTAAAGTTTCCAATGCTAAGACTCCTACTTTAATCAGCATTAAATTACATCTGCCAATCTCTTGTCTGCTTTAAGACAAAGAGGGTCCCGGTAGTACAGTCGGGTTTGTTCTTGACTCAGTCAAGAAGTATGGGTTCGAATCCCGGGACAGAAATAGTTGGGCCCATTTCCTATCACCTAATTCCCCTGTCCACTGAGCAGTAAATAGGTACCTAGGAGTTAGTCAGCTTATGGGGTTGCTTCCTGTGGAGGGTTAGTAATCTGACCTTTGGCAGGGGGGGGGGGGACTTCAGTATAAGCCTAACATGTACTGTATGTATATACTGACTGCCTGTCCCCAGGCAGGTAGTATTAACAATAAATTATTATTAATTATATAAGTCTTAAGCAGATGAGGATTCACAATAACATGGCTGAAATATGTTGATCAAACCACACGCTAGAAAGTAAAGGGACGACGATGGTTCGGTCCATCCTGGACCATTCTCAGCAATCGACTTGAGAATGGTCCAGGATGGACTGAAACGTTGTCGTCCCTTCACTTTCTAGTGTGTGGTTTGGTTAACATAAGTCTTAAGTCATCCTAAAGCAATTTTTTTTTTTTTAGTTCTGAATTCATTTCCTGCCCCCTTGTAGTGTTTCTGGCAATTTTTCTAAAGGTATTCAATCTTTACTAAACTGTTTGTATATATGACAAACAGAGCCCCTGGGCATTCCACTTGCAACGTTTTCCCAGTCACAGACCTACTTTCTTATAAATAACCATCAACTTTTCCAACTTAAGATATCATCCCCATACCTGTACTATGTATATCTACCTTATTTTAATAAGCCTTGTTTGAGGGTAGTGAAATTTCTCTTGCTCTTGTGGCTTGTTTCGTGGCTCTTGCTCTCTTCCTTTAGCTTGATAGCTCTTGCTCTCTTCCTCTAAGTTGTACAGTTATCAGCACAGTTAGGTAATAACGAAATGTCTCCAAATTCGGTTCCCGGCTAGAACATAAATATTTAAGCAGGTTCCCTAATGTCCCCCTGATGCCTTTATTCACCTAATTTTAAATAGGTATTTGGCAGCAGCTGTTAGTTACTGGAAGGGGAGATTATTAAGGAGGGACCTTAATAATCCTGACTGACTGCCTTCTGTCTATTGGAAACTGGCCCTAAAATTGGATATAGGCTCATGTATTTGAAATTTATCTGAATATTGCTAAATTCCTTATTTAAATATGGCTTTGAAAGTGTGTACAGTCAAAGAAATAATTATATTGAATAACTAACATCTGTAATAAACCTTTCAGTTGTTTTATCTGTAAAAGTGCAAAAATCTCTTGTACTCATTGAGTGTACCATTAATTTTGATATACTGTATATACTGTACATTCACTATTTATGGTGCAAAAATTCCTAGAGTAATGTATTAACATTGTATGACAAGTGCATTTAATGTTGCTGTTGCCATGGTTTCTCTGATACTTATAGTTTTGGGTGTCTGTATTAGGTGATGGAAGGCCTTCAGTTAGCACCTGGACACTCATTTCTCAATCTGGGCTCTGGCACAGGGTACCTCTCCACTATGGCAGGCCTCATTATAGGTAAGTTTAAATACAGTGAGCGCAGAGGAACGACTTCAGTTACAGTAATGTTTGTGCTGTAACTAAACCATCATCTGTAGTTTTCACACATTGCCTTTACCTTTTTGGAAATATTGAGGGGAAACCAAGTTTAATATTCCTCAGTTTTCACTTCTATTTCTCCAGGAGTTCTTCCATTTCTCCAGGAGTTGGCCCAGATAAGGTATTAAATAATTTGTAAAGATTCCTCATGATATTATAATTTTGAAATACTGTACAGTAAATGAGCGTTAACTCTTGTATAAAAGAACAAATATGAACATTGTGCTACAAAAAAATAATTGATTACAAAATGAGGTTTGTCATGGTAAGTTTACATCAAGGGTTATATAGAAAAGTAAAATTAAAGAAAGGCTTTGTGATACTAAAAGTTGAAAGGTGGCTCTGGTGATGTACAGTATTAAGATATTTAAGTATAGAAACTTTTATAAATACTGAAATCCACTGGAAAAGTTAATGGTAAATGGTTACTCTAGTTTAACCTTAAGATACAAATTGTAATTTATAATGTTTTTGTTAATATAGGTCCATATGGTATTAATCACGGGGTGGAGCTTCATGCAGATGTTGTCAAATATGGACACGAGAGATTAGAAGAATTTAAGAGGGTTTCACCAGCCATTGATGCTTTCACTTTTTGTGATCCACAATTTGTGCAAGGTAAGTATTATTTGGGACTCAACACAAAAGTAAGACAGTTTTAGATGGTTAAGTTCTAGTCCAAATACCCTTAGAGCTGGACATAGTGCTTGCCATGGTCGCACAAACTGAAGTCATTAATTTATAATGTAAGATAACTGGGACATTAAAAGTTTTAAGTGATTGAAGTTACAAAAAAAAAGGGCAAATTTGATAAACTGCATTGTATTGTACTCAAGATGTGTGACATAAATGTACAGTACTGTAATTTGTAAGAGAATGATGGCAGTGTGCATGCTGAGCTCTGTGGCAGTGGTGGCGAGTGCCATTTGTGATTGCTTTCTAAACTTCTGTTTACCAAACACTATTTTACTCTAGTGATGTTGATCTTTGTTTTTCCATGTACCATGTGATGATAAAGATGAAGTTGGAGCAACAGTAATCTACAAAGCATGTATTAGAATAGTGTAAGGAATGAAAATGTCATGGACATATATAGTGTGCAAAAGTCAATAAAGTGCATGATTGGAGACAGCATACAGAGAGGGGTAGATTGTGAAGTGTGTTAATAGAAATTTGAGAGTAGGAGAGCAAGGTCATGAAGAATGTGGAAGGGCATTGTAAATGTGTAAGAAAGCTGGGAGTGAGTATGAACAACACACAGATTATAGTAAGGGACAATGCTGGGTGGAAGTAGTTTGTAAGAAAGGAGTGAATGTATATGAATATAAGCTGTTTGATCATTCACAGGGATCACTGTACATCAGGTTATGTGAAGCGGTTCTGTGTTGCTTTGAATGACTGCTGGAGTGTGGTGGAGCTTGTTAATTCATGCTATAAGTCTGCATGTTGTATTGTGAAGGATACAGTATAATGAATTATATTTTTTAATATCTGTAATTTACACTCTAGTATTATTAATTTATTTTTGTTTCTTGGGCTGATGGCTCCCATCCCTATGAAAGAAGGTAAAGGGATAATGATACTGTATATATATGTATATGGTATGTATGCATGCATTAATCTGAAAAAGATGCTTCTGTGCATTTAGCACATGTTCTCGAGTGCAAGTTGCTTTGATTAAACAAGAAGTAACTTTTGATGTTTTACACTTCAAAATTTAAGGGAGTTCCCAGCATTATTAAATGTACTGTAATGGGAATGTGCCAAGTACCTTCATGTACAGGTTGATGGCAATTTAGCTAGCTTTCAATAATTTACCATTGAGGACAATTGATGCTGTCAGCTCTACATGTATCTGGTTTTGAAATTTGTTTATTCTTTGAAACTTTTTACACATTTAGTTGAGGACATTAATGGTAGGTAAAGTAAGTTCCATTCTACAGTACAGTACTTTAGAATTTTCTCTTTACATTCTCAAATAATTGTTTATCTTTGTATACTGTAATAGAATGAGATGTATGGTTATGTCCATTTAGCTATTATGCAGCCTCTCCTCTTACAGGAAACTGTTTGTGTTTGCCCCCGGATATGCGTCTATATGATCGTGTATACTGTGGAGCCTCATGTCCTGAAACTCATGAACAATATATGAAGGCCCTCATTAAGGTTAGTTCATTTACATGCAAAGTGTTGTTCACCGCAACATAAATATCTTTACGGCTCCTAGTGTTTTGTCGCAAAAATGGGGCAAGAGACAAACAGGAGGATTTGAGAGGTACCAGTGCAGGTCATGCTCTGCAAAGGAAAAGTAACAAGAGGAGTAAAAATGAATAAGGTTACTAAATTTGAAAAATTATGGAGAAAGATCAGATTTGTTATATGTGCAAATGTAACATTATATATATATATATATATATATATATATATATATATATATATATATATATATATATATATATATATATATATATATATATATATATATATATATATATATATATATATATATCTATCTATCTCTCACACACACACACACACACACACACACACACACACACACACACACACACACACACACACACACACACACACACACACACACACACACACACACACACACACACACAAACACACACAAACACACACACGCACAAAAGAAGGTACATTGGGTTTATGAGAGTACATAGCATGGTGTATGTATTTACATTCTTGTAAAGCCACTAGTACACAGCGTTTCAAGCAGATCATTAAGTAACTACTCAAGTGAAGTTACAAGGCCATGCATGTAGTGTCCTGTCTTCTCTATACTCTGTCATATTAATTTGTTGAGCTTCCAGTGCAATTAGTGTACATTACCCTCTCATTTAATTCCTTTTTTTACCACTATAAACAAAAAAGTGTTTAATTTGAATGTATAAATTCAGAATGCAGATTTTAAAAATTACTTACTTTTATTCCTATGATAAAATTTGTACACTGTGATCGTATCGTCTTTTCTGCCTGCTAGTTTTGTGGGTTGATATGGTGTTTTGACTAAGTGCATAGATGATAGCTGTGGTGGCTGGCTGACCTGGCTGAGCCACCTCTAGGCACTATTCTGTATGTACCATGCACACTCTTAATTTTCCTGAGTCTTTTTATGTTTACCTATGTGTTCTCATTCAAATACGCATTTATGCAGCTTTATAAAATAATTTTTTTTTTAGATTAGGCAAAGTCTTTATTAAAACTTAACCAGTAAAACCAAAATGGTGAGTGGGCTGGAGTAGCCATTGTTGATATTGCTCTCACAACAAACATTTAATAAGTTTATGGAAAAGCTTAGAGCCATCAGTCTTCAGGTCATAGGTCATAGTACACTAATTATACAGTATTGTACAAAATATAGTCATAAGGCATGTTAAATGGACTGTATAAAGTTATGCCAAGTTAATTAGTCTATTACTGCAGTGGTGCAAAACAAGCCAGTTAAGTGCATAACACTGACCCACAATCATCATGCTTGGATACAACATGGCTTTACTCTACTATTCTTGGTTTCCCAGTGTTAGGGACAGGAGCTTGTTAGGTTTATCAAGGTCACCCTAGGCCAGTGACATACTTTCCCCAGGATTGCCAAACTCTTGGGTACCGTCTGCTGCTAGGTAAACAGAGGCATCAGGTGAAAAGAAATATGCACAAATACCTGTCCTGTGTAGGAATTTAAATTTAGTACTTTTTGATTGTGAACCAACTGCACTGACAGCTGAGTTGCAGGGTCTGTTAGAAATGGTTGTATTATTAGGGTACACCCAGTTAAACTAATTGCTAGATAGTTTTAAATTTCATTACAGTACAAGAATTAATTAAATTACTCTTTAATTGTCTTGAGCAGCCAGGTGGTGTATTGGTGATGCCAATCAATGATCAACTCGTGAAGATGACTCGTAATGGACCACACACATGGGAAACTGTGTCCTTACTACCTGTCTCCTTCTCTTCTCTTGTTATGCCGGATTCTAACCACCCTCCGGCTACAGTCACCCTCCGTAAGCAAGCTTTGTCCAATAAAAGTTAATTTAGCTGTTCAAGGATTATTATATTCAGTAATCAAAATGAATGATCATAAAATTATTATAATTTACCTTGGATAAAAATTTACTATACAGTGGAACCTCGGTTTTTGTATGCCTCTATTTTCCAAATTTTCGGTAATTGATCTCAATTTCTTTAAAAAATTTGATTCGGTACTCATTGTTTGCCTTGATGTTCGAAATTTGTTTACATGTATGAATCCAACGAGCACGTAGTGTCACAGCGAGGCGTGCCTCAGTTTACCAGTGTCCTGCCGGGGTTGACGCCCACGCTTGAATTCTTTGTGAAGAATTTCATTGTTTTTGTTCCTTTTTTAGTTTCTAAGCATAAAAGTAATTATTATATATCATGTCATTGGTTCCAAAAAAGTGGTAAAGTTCAACCTAAGAGAAGAACTTTGAGGATGACCATAGAGCAAAACAAGAGATCATTCATAAACATAAAAATGGTATGCGGGTTGTTGAACTTACTAGACTGTACAACAAAAGTATGTCAGTGGTATGTTCTGTAATTGCTAAGAAAAAGGAAATTTCTCCGGCTGGAGAAAATTGTGACCTGAATGTGTTCCAGAACGAGGTTTCGAGGGATTTGAGCCTTAACCTGAAGTGCCTAGTGTTGAGGAAATTGTTTTTCTGGGTCAGAAATTGGGCTTGGAGTTGGATGGTGCTGATGTGGAGGAGTTGATGGAGGAACACAGCAAAGAACTGACCACCGACGAACTCCTAGCCCTTCACAATCAGCAGCAACAAGAGACAACTGAGGAAATTTCTTCAGGGGGGGGGGGAGGAGGAGGCAGTAAAGGATGTCCCTTCCTCAACAATTAAGAAATGATGTACAATATGGGAAGAAATGCAAAGTTTTGTTGAAAAGTCTCGCCCAGATAAAGCTGTAGCAGGCCGTTGTGTTAACCTTTTTAATGACAATGTGATGTCTCACTTCAGACAAGTGTTACAACGTAGGGAAAAACAAGTGTCGCTAGACAAGTTTTTAATGAGAAAAATAAACAGTGAGCCACAACCAGGTCATAGTGGTATGCAGGCAAAATGTAAGAGAGAGTAGGCCAGAATTGTCATTACTGCCTGATGTTATAATGGAAGGGGACTTCCTTTCCAAACACCAACACCTTTCCCTCCCCCCTACTCACTGTCTTCCATATGCCAACAAGAGTCCTCCATAAAGGTAAGGTACCTAAGAGTAGTTTTATGTATAAAATGTATTTTTTAGTTAATATTTTGGGGAGTCTGGAACAGATTAATTCAATTTACATTATTTCTTATGGGAAAATTCGTTTTGCTTTTTGTATTTTCAGTTTTCGAACCTACTCTGGGAATGGATTAAATTCGAAAATGGAGGTACCACTATACATGGATATAATGTTTGTGTAAAATAGCATATAAAAGTGAATATTTGTATTAATTCATTAACATTTTATTATTACATATCCTTAGTTTGGTGTGTTTTGTATTGAAAGGTTATTTAATATATTGTAGTTACTATAACTGATTCAGGTCAGTTTCCAGTTATTGTTTCTGAAGGATGGAAGATGTGAAGTCACAGGTGGCTAAAGGTTCAGTTCACATAAATGAACAAGGAATATTGGAGAGTAGACTAAACAGTATGGAAGAGCATCTAGGTAAACCAAAAATTAAAGTAATCTCCTATATTAGTCATAGAACATCACTCAATATGAGGCTAGTTAGTTTTGTTTAAAACTCATGAATGTGTTCAAATTTATAGTATTTATTATTCTTTTAATTTTACTACCATAGCTTGTGTGGAGCTTCCAGATCTTCAAGACATGTGTCGTCAGGAGCTTCGCTCACTCCTTCGTGCAAACATTGAATATGAGCATCCTGATCTAGTGACAGCTGCAAATAGACCAGTTCACAAACACTCAAGGCCACGTGATCGTCGACAGATTCGGCGAATAGTTGTTCCTTATGTTCCTGTTCCTTTCTATGAGTCTGATGATGACCCACAGATGATTTCAGATGATGATGAAGATGGGGATGATAATGAAGCTGAGCGGCGCACAGCTAATCAATTATCTGCCTTCATTGAAATGGCTAGAAATCTTGCTGGTCAGCGAAGGCGGGAGAGAGAGAGGGAGGATAATGAGGCAAGACAAAATCTGCGTGAAGAAAGGGGCGCAGATACTGATGCACTGGAAACTGGAGAGGAACAGAAAAATCATGTTACACACAACAGCAGCAATGATTCCGAAATGGATGAAAATCATGATACTGCAAAAGAACTAGGGAAATCTGCAAAGCAAGTAGTACCAGTTAAAGAAAATGAAGTGGACAAAGATGGTGAGGAAATGGTTGCAGAAAGACCTCAGAATGGGGATGAACCACTGCCATCAGTTTCTTCTTTGCCACATTCTGATCCAATCCCAATGACTTCTACACCTGTTATGCCAGTAAAGTCAAATAAGAAAAGAGAAAAGTTTGATAGCGGAGTAGGGGATGAAATTGAAAATGGAAAAGGACCAAGTTCAGAATCGGATCAGGGAGATGGTGACATTGACATGGATATTGATTCTACAGATTCTGATTACTCTGATAATTCAGCTCCAAGAACCAAAGTGAATAGACTTTTAGATCCGGATGATCCTATTTGCGCATGTGGAGGAAACTGCAGCGAGACTTTTAAGACAAAAAATGATGATGATCCTGAAGATAATGAAGTTGAAGGTGAAAGGTCTAAGAGTGCATCTGCGGCAGAAACTTATTCTACACACATGCGGGAAAAAATTGGTTTTCTTCCTCTGCCCCATGCTCTGAAACTGTACCTGAACTATAATAGGGAATTGTAAGTCTGGCTTTATAAGCAGTTCCTTTATGAATTGTGAAAAATCTAATCATTTATTTTGTGTAAGAATTTAATTTTAAATTTGTATTACTGTACACAATACAACTCATTCTTGTTTGCATATGTGATAAGATTTATAGGAAACTTGGTGATATGACTAGTATGTTTAATCCATTTTAATAGCAGTTTGGTAATGTTGAACTTGGCATAATGCAGTGGCACATTATACAGTATATTAGTTCATCACAGATCTGGACAAATAGCATGTCTTAAGTATGATCAAAGCATTATCCCAGATCAAGAAATGGAGTAGTTAAATCCTTCAAATTTGGGTGGTTATACCAGTGAAGGAATGGCTTAGTTATATTATTTGATGTTTTAACTTGGCTGGCTCAACAGTAACCGTAGCTCACCGTCCATCACCATTCTACTCTTCCCCAAAAGCTATTCATATATCTACTTGAATTGTGGCGAGGATGTACTATGGGATGGTGATAATGCTCATATAGTGGTACAGTATATATGCAGTACAGTTTACAGTATATACAGTACATTTGTGTAATTTTTACAGATGAAGGCATGTTTTATCTATAAAAGTTACCTTAAACTAAGCACATAGGACATGATTCGTCTTACATTATGAAACTCCTAAAAGCCAGTTAAAGTTGTGGCCACTTAGATTATTCTTTACTAGAATCATATTAGCTCCTTATAGGAATATGAGAGATGTACGTTGTCTTATTTATTGTTTGTATGACAACATGCAACTGCCACTATATTGGCATCTTAAAGACAAGTGGGATAATAGAACAGTAATTTGGGGGAATGTCTTGGCATCGTTTGTTGGTAAAAAATTAATAACGTGATAGTTTACTTATATTCATCATTAATACAATAGCATTAAGTTCATTGTTAAGTAAATTTGTACTTGATACATCTGTACTGAATGAAAGAGGAAACACTTTAGTTGAGCCAATCAAGGACCAAAGTTATAATACAAAATTAAAAAATAAATATGAGAGTCTGACATACATTCTGCTTTAATAAATTTACCATTTGTATATATACAATTCCAAAATTTATTATATATATATATATACATACAAACTTTTAATGAATATAAATATTGCAAGTCTTGTCTAGAGTTCAGTACAGTATTTAGAAAAACACTTAATTTGGTGTGAATGTGCAGGACTCTTTTTTTTTTTTTTTTTGGGGGGGGGGGGGGGGGATCACAAAGTAAAAATAGTGTTTTGGGATTAAAAAGAACTGAATCAGTGTTGAATCATGTCATTGATTTGTAAAGAACACTGGTTCAAGCATGCACGCGCGAATGTACATGCACTGAATGAAAGTGCATTCTTTATGCATTTAAGTTCCACCATTGGGGTTTAGGGAACAAATTTTATAAATTTTCTTGAGGCTTGTTATGATACATAGACCAACAGTAGGATCTGTTGAGATTCCTCTGGACACATGCTGGGGTAGCAGAACCAAAGCTGTTTATGAGGACGAGCTGCCCACGTGTGAAATTTTGCAAGACCCTGACCAACATGTGAAGGTTTATACACAGTATGCTACTATATAACTTAATTTATATGTGAAAATATGCAGACGATGAGTCACAATAACGTGGCTAAAGTATGATGACCAGACCACACACTAAAAGGTGAAGGGACGACAACGTTTCGGTCCGTCCTGGACTCAAGTCGATTGTGGTGATGAAGTTGTTGTTGTTTTAGATTCAGCTAATCAAAACAATAAGTTCCAGTAGCCCGGGCTATGGTGAGCCCGTAAGTGGAGGCTCTTTGGAGCCCTTAGCTGTATCAGTGGCTGATACTAGAGATCTGGTGATGGATGGGGGTCTTCATAATGGTTTTCAGGCTGGAGGGCTGGCTATACCAGTTATGGAGCTGGTGGGATTAGTGTGGACCTCTAGGTTTTCCGTTTTTTCTTTGTCTGCGTCTTTGGCTGAGCAGTGCTGTCGTTGGAGTTAGGCGACGTGGCCTCCATGAGGATGTCTTGAACCGTGTAGGTGTCTCCTACTATGATTTCCTCGTCTGAGGAGTCCGTAACCTCCGTTGTGGGCGTTTTTGTCTTTCGCCTCGCAGCTTTAGGTAGGCTTAGATGACGTTGATTTGTGGTTGTAGCTATTTCAGGAGCGCTAGTGGTGCTGTTATCATTTGTAGACAGCACGTCTGCTAGCGCGGCTGCTGAGATAGTGATGGTAGGAGTGTTGGGAGCTGGAGAAGGAATTACCTCTGTGTCGCCCGGGTCATGGGCGGTTCTGGAGTCGGTGTTGAAGTTGACCACCTGGTCGTCCTGGTGGTAGTCTCTGGAGTGGTAGAGGAGGCAGTGAGATTTACGCTAGTGGCTATGATGGGGGCCAGGCCATTGTCTATGTATAATGCGTTTAGTTCACTGACAGAGCGCTGGTTGTCTGGTCCTGCAAGCCTTTCCGCTAGTTTAAGAAGACCAGGGATAATGCCTGCACGTGATGCAGGGGGCTGTGAAGGAGCCTGTGGGACCTTGGGTCCCCCAATGAGAAGGCTGTGTCGCCTGCTGGGAGGAGCCACATGTTGGTAGGACCGGAAAGTCTTCTGGTCGACTAAGTGAGAGCTAAGGTGGTGAGTTGAACGCTTGGGGCTCTGGTCGAGGAGGTAGAAGAGTTGTTTCTTTTGGCTTCAACCTAAGCCTTGATGATTTCCTGTCTGCGGGGGCAGTGGTAGGAAATTGCCGGGTGATTGCCATCACAGAGCAAGCAGTGATGGACTGTTGCCTTGCATATGGAGTAGTGATGGTCCAGTGCGCACAGGCTGCACCTCTGGACAGGGTGCTGACACTTGTTGGTCGGGTGGGAGAGCTCGTAGCACTTAAAGCACTGCTGGATCTCATGGTAGCGTTCCTTTTTTATTTGGTGGGGTGGTATTTTTAGGCCGAAGCAGTAGAATCCTTGTGTGGCAGCCTGGGTGGCCGCAGCTATGGTGGTGAACGTAATCTTCATTGATGTTTTGTCGGTGTTGCAGAACTCTAGGTTGAATACCGACAGGTTTGGATTTTCGTCCTCGATATTGTTTATGATATGATGTTGAGGTCGCTCGGCGATCCACCGGCTAGTCCTGCTGGTAAAAACAGTTCTTCCGGCCAGGAACTGACATGGGAAGTGAGGATGTAGGTAGTGCTCTTTGCGAAGAAAGGCATCGTTAGTGAGGAGTTTTTCTAGCTCCTCTTCACATGAAAAGTAGAGCACGATATCTTCACCTTCCTGACTAATGTCAGCGGGTTTGAGGCCAGTTACGTCCTTCAGGACCTTTAAAGTATTGCTTCTTCCGATAGCATGACCGTCAAGTGGAGTAGCTCTAACTTTAAGATGTTTGGGTTGCATTGTGACCACACTGCGCCTTGTGATGTGTTGGTGGGAGATGTCTCTCCTGTCCTGTGTGGGGATGAATGTGATAAAGTAAATGCAGGCAATAAATAGGCTAGAGAACAGTGAGGAGCAAAGTGTAGTAGAGGGGATAGTAGTAGGAATAAGAACTGCAGAGGGCCTATTGGCCCATACGAGGCAGCTCCTATTATAACCACCGAATGAGAAGGAGATAGTAATAGGAATAAGAAGAGGACAGTAAGGGAACGGAAAGAAAACAATGAACAGAGAAGAGAGAAAGAAAAGGAAAGAGAAAGAAAGATAAATGGAAGGGTAAGCTTATGTTAAGTAACGTTTGTTAGAAAGAGTAGAGCATTTAAGTATATACTGTGAAAGGGAAGAGTCCACAGCAACAAAGCCAGGACTCGAGTTCATGTTGGGTACATAGTGTACCCAACAGCCGATTCAACAAGACGGCGTCTGTGTAGAGTAGAAGCAGGAAAGATTATTTTGGAGGAAGACCAATCAGTATGATGATTGGAATCCCTCAAATGACAGAAGAGAGCATTGTTAGTGTCTGCAGACTTAACACTTTTCTTGTGTTCTTTAAGTCTGTCATTCGGTGTACGGCCAGTTTCGCCAAAGTATTGGAGAGGACAAGACGAACAGGAAATAGAGTAAACACCAGCAGCATTAGAAGCAGGAGGAGCAGTATGAACTAGATTGCTACGAAGTGTGTTAGTTTGTCGAAAGGCGAGCTTTATGTCAAGAGGACGAAAAGTATTGGTAAAAATTTTGAGTTCAGATATGAAGGGAAGGCATAGTACAGTGCTACTAGTGTTGGAAGCAGGTTTAGGATGAAAGAAATTTCGTTTAGCTTGAGAGTAGGCACAGTTGATGAAATACAAAGGGTAACCAAGGCGAGAGAATGATTTGTAGATAAAGGCAATTTCAGAATCAAGAAACTGAGGGTCGCTCAGGCGTAGAGCGCGGAGGAAGAGAGACACGAGGACACTTTTCTTAACAGAAGGAGGATGGTAGGAAAAGAAGTGAATGGACATGCCATTATGCATGGGTTTGCGGTAGACAGAGAAAGAGAAAGTCGACATCAAGACTAAGCATCTTACAAGAGGGTTGCAGGCGCAGTCTTTCTATGAAGTCCTGAGAGTGACGAAGGTAAGGCGTCAGAGTTTTAGCGAGCCAGGAGGCAAGAGGATAGCTGACAGAGCCCCGTGAAGAAATGATAGGACGAAGAGGAACACCAGGTTTATGAGTCTTAGGAAGACCATAGAAATAAGGAAGAGAAGGGCAGAAACGTCGTCGTCCCTTCACCTTCTAGTGTGTGAAAATATATTTTTCATTTGTTGATGAATGCGTCTTTAGGGTCGACCGCTGAATGGTATGGACTAAGGACAGGGTTGTCCCAGAAATGGCGTTCTTGTTCACATTTCTACCCAGTCATTTTACAAACCACGACTGTTGGCAGATCAATGAGCTGGCATTACAGGTAAACTGTTTACCCTTAAAAGTAACCTTTTCCCTTCCTTCAACCACTATTCAACTAGTGGGAAACTGCTTTTGCTACACAGCGTATCTGCCACACCCACTTAATTCTAACATTTAACGGAACAATGTCCTGCTCTTTGTAGAATGTCCCAATTTTCAGGATGATCGATCGATGCTTTCCTGCTGTCACGCCAGGTCACTTGTCCTTACCTTATCTTGCGTCGAGTCCAGGGGGTCAAGGTCCCCGCAGGCCTCCTAGATAGAATCCTTGGTGAATCTGGTACCCTTGATGTCGCTCGCCTTGTCTTAGTTCTCGTGTTTGCTTCTTTAGCACCTTTTGAATATACCGTCACAGACTGTGGTACCGTCTTCCTGGCTTGACGCCTTTGATAATTACTTTTTTTTTTCCTACTGCATTGGTACCCAGAGTTATAGATGGGAACGTATTACATGCATCTCACCGAGCAAGAATAGCTTGAGCTACCTCATCCCTTTGTGTATTTATACCTCACTCTTTTAAACACTAGCCATGCTGGTTAATTACTACTTCAGTCAGGTTAAGGCCAGTACTGGCTTGGTGATTATGAAGACAGCCCTGCCCTCTGCTTGGGGAAACTTGTCCTCAGTATCGCCAAATAAAAAATTATCAAAAGAAGGCACCAAACCGGGAAGGCTATGTAGCAGCATCAAATGTGCGGGATAATCAGAGGGCGCTAAAGATCACCAAGGATGTCAATACAAGAACAGAAACGCACAAGGCGAACGATAAAAGTATCCGAGTCACCAAGAATACTATCCAGGGACAAGCGACCGCGGGGGACGGTCGGAAAACAATACACACGCTCGTCCCGGAAGTTAGGACAGTCAACAAGGATATGCACGACCCTAAGAGGGACAATGCAATCTGGACAATAAGTAGCAGGGCAGCGCTCCAAGTGACCACGAGTTAAGCGAGTATGACCAATACACAACCTCGCCAGAGCCGTATCCCATCGCCGGTTACGGAGGTAGGACGGCAACGAGGATACACAACTCTTAAGAGTACGTAGTTTGTTACCAGTAACAGATGATCAACCAGCCTGCCAACGGGTAAGGATGGAGGAATGGATAACCGGGTAAGTCGGAATAAGGAATACCTTTACGAGAGGTGGAACAAGAACAGACAGCTTCCCTGGCGGCAGCATCCGCACGCTTATTTAAAGACGCACCAATATGGCTGGGAACCCAACAAAACTCTATCGACTTAAATTTACTGTGAATAAGAAACGGCCAATGCTGGATCTCGACAACCACTGGATGAACCGGATTAAAGGACCCGAGAGCCATGAGGGCACTATGAGAGTCGACAACAACTACAAAGGAAGATTGACAACGAGAAAGCAGGAGACGAAGAGCAGAGAGAATAGCATAAAGTTCCGCTATGAAGATGCTAGTCTCCTGAGGTAAGCGACACATATGAGTGCAATCAGGAAAAACAAGAGTAGCCTACACCGTTCACAGACTTAGACCCATATCGGTGAAGACGGAAACGGAGCGGGGGGTGAGAAGAAACGTACTCAAGGAACACACATTTTAGAGCCGTAGGAGGGGTAAAAGCTTTAGTAATGCAAGTTAAGGATGTACAAAACTGCAGAAGGGGGACTCTCCACGGGGGCAGAGCGAATCAAGAGAACAGAAGAGTTAGGAGCTCCAGCAACAGCTGGTGGGGGGGGGGGGGGGAAGAGAGAAAGTAATAGCCACGAAAGCGACCAGGACAAGCACCAAGCATCGGCTTCTGGTGACAGACACAAAAGGGCGAAAACTGCGAAATCAGAAGTTGGAGTTCAAAGAAATTGGCGTAATAACCACGAACACTCTACTGAAGAATAGACTAGACATCGACAAGGAGAAAGGACAGCAACAGAGAACAACGAAGAAACTAACGTGCTGTGTTCCCTTTTCACCTTTAAGAAACGCAGGATCAGGGTCAGCGAAGTCAGGGTTAGGGGGCCATGGGTAAACTGATTAAAGGAGGGAAGGAAGCTGGAGGACCGACCAGGGGCGGACGAGTAGGGTCCGCAGGAGGAAGAGGGGGGATAACCGAGGGTCAAGGACAGCAGCAGGAGGGGCAGAACCCAGAGAGTGCACCTCAGCAAGGGCAGCAACAGAGAGGAAGCAGGGGCCAAAGAGACCTCCATAGTAGGAACAGGGGACGTAACCACCGAAACGGTAGGGGATGGAGTGAGAGAATCCGAGGAAGGAAGCGAAGCCTTTTTACCCGCCGGGGAGGAAGGAAGGAGAGGAGCCAAGCTTACGCTTCTGACTCGGAGAGACAGGCGTCCCAGTAACAGATTCTAGCGTCTCAATAGGAGAAGCAGAACGAGAGCATACACGACGGCCGTTGGGAGAGCGATGGACATCAGCCCATACCGACAGGCAGCGTGGAGAGCCAATTGATGGAGGAGAAGGATCGGGGGGAGACGAGGAAGACAGGAGACATGACAGACCGGGTAGAAAGAAGGGGAACCCCAGACAGAGGACCAGGAGGGGGTACCCTTCAGGACAGAACTCAAAGGAACAGAAGAGAGGGTGGTGGGTGTGTCAGGGTTTAAGTCTGAGGAAGGTGGGAAGGACGAGGAGAGGAAGAGCGTAACACGAGAGCATAAGAGACGTTAGCATAAGGTGGGAGACTGCGAACTTTGCGCCTCGCCTCGAGAAAAGACAAACGCTCTCAGTGCTTCAAGTTGAGGACAGCTGCCTCAAGCAAATTGTAATGTATACACGCACGGGAAAAGGTAGGGTGGGCCTCACCGCAATTGAGGCAGCGAGCTTGGGGAGTAGTGCACTCCGACTTAGAGTGACCCTCGTCCCCACACACAGGACAGAGAGGGAGAGTACTGAAGCAGCGTAGGACTCCATGCCCAAGCCTCTAGCACTTATTATAAAGCCGAAGAGAGGGAATGAAATCCTGGCTAGAGCACCTGGCACCAGCAAGACTGACAGAGGGCAGAAGGATCCTACCATCAAAGGTAATCTTCACAACTCGAAGGGGCTGATGGCGACAACCACGAGGGGGACGAGTAAACGTGTCTACCTGGAGGACAGAATGGCCCTGGGCTTCGAGGATATGCTGAATATCATCGTGGCAGTTCTGTAGATTCTGAACACTGGTTGCAACATGGGGCGGGAAGAGAATAGTGCCAACACTGGCATTCAGCCGAGCGTTCTTGGAAACCCGAACAGGGTTTTCACCAAGGCAGGATAAGGCAGCCACGCGGGAGGCCGCATCCTGATAAGGAGCAGCAACGACACGTGTACAGAGACGGGTGGGGTTGAAGGTAATAGAGGCATCTACGGAATCAACACGAAAGACAGACAAAGGAAAAAGAAAGAGGAAGAAAGAAAGAGAAAGAGGGGGGGGAGGGTAAAAGGCGCAGTAGTTACCACGAGAGACTTGAGCCGTGCCAGGGGACGAGGTGGTTACCACTGGGGGGCTTGTGGCTCGACCCAACCACAGAAGAGTGAGGGGAGCCGAGGGGAGTAGGCAGGAGGGTCAAAGGAGGAGCAAGGTCGGGGCCCAATGCAGTGGGGGCTACAGAGCCTGGTCTTCCAACATAATCCAACTCGGAGGCCTGGTCGCCCACCCCACAAGCCTGAGAGGGTACAAGAGGAACATTTACAGACAGACGAGAAGTAACCCTTTCATTCACGAATCTACCACAATTAGAGGCAGGACACCCAACAAGAACCTATCGCCGATCATGCCGGGGCCCCCTAGGGGTGCGTCTTGGGTATATGCCCCACAAACGCCACCTAAGAACCGTCAGTCCGTCGAGATCTGGTTCAGTGACGAAAGGAGGATTGACAATAAAAGGCTACCCACGCTCTCGAAGTTGGGTACTACAGTTCTACGGGTGCAAGAGTACGCCTCCTCAAACACCCGGGTGTCAAAACAAAAGAATGAACAAAACAGGCACAAGGTCAGCGGGAAATGACAATCAGTCAATGATGTGTGTATGTTTTATGTATCAGAAAGGAGAAGAGGGGGTTAGTTAGTGAGGGGGGAGGGGGGGAAGAGAAAAACAAAAAAGAGGAAAAGGTGTCTGGCAAAATTTGCGAGGACAGCAGCAGGAGCATTAGGCCACAAAAGAACAGAGGACTGGCCCATGGAGCCTCACATTCCGGCAGCCGCCCACCAAGCCCCCTCACGGCATCAACGAGCCGGACAGGGAGGGGGTCAGTAACACCAAGTGTACAATATAGAAACAAATTGACCACAAGTTAAATTGACTCATTAAGGCTAATTATTACCATAATTAAGAATTTTGGCCTCTTATAGAACAACCTAGACGAGTTCATGTTCACATTCTTGACCTCTACGCCCCCACCCATCAAAGTACGTATCAAGGCAATAATGGAGGAATTTTTTGCACAAAAAAGAAAAATAGTAAAATTTTATTGTTCATAATTAAAACTGATTAAAAAATATTAATTGATAAAACAAAACTGATTTAACAAGAGGCTGAGTCATCGACTCAACATTGTTCACCGTTAGCTGTCTTGGATAGAAGCGGGCCTGAAAGTGTGGTTCAATAGAGGCGAGTGTAGGCTGCAGCCGAGTAACAGGTGGCAAGTGTTCCTTTAGTCCAGACGCTCGCGGAAAAGGAAGCCAAGAATGGAACACAGTTAAGGGATTACCTACTACTGCCTACACGCTAGTTATTCCCTTTTGACACGCGAAAGTAATTGTCAGTGAATGGTGTCTACAACTTTAATGTATTTCTCATTCAGATCGAGAATGTATGTACGTGGCGAGAGAGATTGGAGGGTAATGTAGGACTGGCGAGAGAGTACGTCTATAACCTCTGTTGAATTAGTCTTTGTTTTAAGGCAAAGGTAGGCGCCTTTGAAACTGAGAAGGTTTTCAGATGACCCAGTAAGTCCTGTCCAGTTGGTTCCAGTCACGTCCTTCATGACTTCATTCAGGGAGGAGTTCCTGTCCCTTTTAAGCGTATATCCAAAATGGATAGCAGAAACCAAAGTGTTATATATATTCATATTATTCACGTTGTGCGAAGACTCTTTATACTCTACAATATTCAGATCTAGGGATCTCAGATTAACTTGTTCCGTATTAAGCAAATCTACAACCAAGTTTTTAGCCATCAGAAACCAAGGCATTTTTGAGAGACGGTGACCAGCAGCAGCAACAGCCAACTCTAGCAGTCTGGGGCCTGAGTCTACAAGCACACCAACCCTGTCACTTGCAAACGACTGCAGAATAGCATCGGCAGTGTCAACAATGTCTTCTATGGGGGTTGAAAGGCTATAGTGAACTACATCCATGACCTGTAAAAATATTACAATTAATAATAGAAATAAAGTGATATCTAAAAATACTGATCTTCCCGACCCTACGTGTTAATTTACACATATTACATCTTATCTGCATTAACATAGTGCACACACTCAGAAGTCCCTGTAGGAAGAGTGTGGTGTAGGTGGACATACATGGACACCAAGGTCCAGGTTCCAGAGAGAGAAGAGTCCAGCGAGGGAGCGAGGCCCGCCGCCCACCTCCACCAGCGGCAACACGCCCACTAACCCTTCCGCTCGTATCTGCACACAATTTATTTATTTATTCACAATAAGGTACAATGGGTTGATGAGATTACATAAGATTGGTATTTGTACATTCACGCAAAGCCACTAACACGCACAGCGTTTCGGGCAGTTCCTTAATGTAATATATCAGGTAAGATGAAAAGGTACATTGTTTTATATTGTAGTTATTTTTTTATACAAGTTAACAGAGGCGATTACACTAGTAAGGATACACGCCTTGAGTACTAATATTGGGGAAGTGGGTAGTACAAGTTAATAGCTTTTGAAGCACGAGGTAGGTAACCGAGGCTGAAATTAGGAACTTTTTGTTTTACTTTTGAACAGAGTGGGCTGGACAAATTTTTTAATTCATCAGGGAGAGAGTTTCAATAACAAGAGATGCTGTGTGTAAAGAAAACCTACAAAATTTAACCAAATTTTAATTCCAATAACTTGTGTATCTACTGATCTTATTCGTCTATGATTAGTCTAAACATGCATCATATGAACACTATATCGAACCCGTGCGAATATAATAGTCAACTAGAAAAGGGGCACCTCTTCCCACCCTTTCCCCCCCCCATCACCCTATCCCCCCTCAACCTCAGAAAATGCATTATTACGAAGCACTGAAACTACAGAGAACCTCAATCTATAATTCGGGATTAACTATGGAATCCACATGGCAGCGGGAGAGCGAGTATGGAGATGATCACGGGGCCTAACACATCAGAAACCACGGTGCCAGCAGACAGCTCTCACCCGTGCAAGATGAACCAGAATTTTCAGAGGTTCTTCCCCCCCCCCCCCCCTCCACCCCTGAGCGCTCGAGAACAAAAGGGGAGGAATAATTATATCAAAGAAGCCTTTAATTTGCACTTCAAGAAGCGTCTGTGGAGACATGTCTGATAACTTGATACTCTGGAAAAATAAGTGATGTGGACAACTGGTGGCGCCAAAGACTGACCTGGTGGAGGGTGACCAGGAGGTGCAGGAGAAGCGAGGGTCTCGCCGCCACCACCGCCAAGTCTTTCTCCAGATCTTTCCTCTCCAACGTCTTCCAGGCTGGACGAAAACACTTTTCATCCACAAATTAATTTAATTTTGTCCACAATGCAAATTTGACATTTGAGACCATTTTCATTTATACTATTCCTAATTATGGATGAATATTTAAATTATGTAATTCTTCTTTTGTAAACAAGTTCAAGCATCTTAAAGCCAAATACATTTAATCTCCATACCCTTGTGCTCTGGAGGACAGACTTGTTAATAAGACACTGTGCCAAGAGTGCTTTTCTTATATTACAGGACGTGTGTGACTACCACCTGTCCTCCAACAACACGGGAAGCTCAACATTCAAAATATCACAATAAATTTCAAACTACAAAAAATATGCAAATGATACAATATTATATCTTTAGACATGTTCCTGGAAATTTTAAACGTATTTTTGCCCGAGTGGGAACCTAACCTGCACCTACAATGTGGTGAAGCAATTTTCAAAAGTCGGTGTCAAGCCGGGAAGATTATGCAGCATTATTTATGGTGAAACTGTGGTTTATCATAACCAAGAGAGCCGTTCAGGCACTATAGCTTTAACACGCCCCAGGACTCGTCTGTTTACAATCCTTTTCGGGGTGGAGTTCCGACAATATTGCTACTTTGCAGTTAAAGGATGTTATCTCCTTCACTAACAACCGACATGTTCAGGACAATCCTAATATGCTATATTGATTTGTTAAATCTGTGGGCAAAGCCTGCTTTGTAGCTTACTGTGGTGAGCGAGCCCGCGTGCGCCAGTGATCAAGGACAGCAGTACTGCCCCTGGCCTGAGGCGACGGGTAACACCCGGATATCCCCACATCTGATGGAGGCGAGGACAATCTCATTACCTGGTGGGGTTGAAGGCAGGACAAAGACGACAGGCCAGCGGGGTGATGGCCTACTAGCCGCCCAATCTGCCAACTGGCCTACTTCGTCAGTAGTGGGGTCGTCAAGAAAGACTTGCACACCCAAGTCTTGATATAACCGCGCCACGTCTTCCACCAGGGTCTCCTGAGGGATGAAGAAACTAAGTGTTAATTTAGCAGTGGAACCAATACGAGCAAAGTGTGATGTACACTACCTCCTGGAGGCAAGTTTGGTAAACACATGTAAACAAGTATTGGGGCACTTTTGTACACTAATAAAGATAGGACATTGAATTATTAAACAAGGAAAATTTATCAGTGGCAGCCAGCTTTGGAGGTGAAGTGAACCATTAAGAACAGAGTTGAGAAGAATCATTTTCCCGATTTACACTTTTTGGTTCCACCCTCAGACCGTTTCCACCCACTGTATTTTATTCTTCACCCGTTAACACTCATTTTATATATCTAATATATCCATCGACTGTCTCTGAAGTAGTCTTCTAAATCAATTACTAAGAACATTTATAAATTATAAATTGTTGCACCTGATGTACTTTATAACAGCCCATCCTCTTGTTTAGATAGTACTTATAGTAACCATCTCTGCCTTCGTACATATATCGACGTAAGAGATAATTAGAAAGAAATTAGTACTATTGAATTTGCACAAACCTGAAAAGGCTCCGTATTTATGTTGCCAATACAAATCAAATTCAAAATTCAAATGTTTATTCAGGTAAAGTACATACATACAAGGGGTGATACAAATATTGCTGAATTTATAGAGCTTGTACATACAATGCCTAAAGCCACTATTACGCAAAGCGTTTCGGGCAGGAAAAACACTAAAGACTAAAACTTAATACTAATTGAGATTAAAGTATAAAATGTGTTGAGACAATATAAAAAAAAAGGGGGAACATGGCAGAAAAACAGCAAAAAATACAATTTGGTCGACAAACAGCATTGTTTAAAAATAACAGACATGGGTTGACATTATAGGGGTAAGGTAGGTTACAGGGAGTTTATTAGGTAGGGCTTAGTTTTTATCGTAAACTGGTTGAGAGGTGTACAGTCTTTAACATGATTGGGAAGTAAGCAAGTAATTATCAATAGAAGGCACCAAACCGGGAAGGCTATGTAGCACCATCAAATGTGCGGGATAATCAGAGGGCGCTAAATATCACCAAGGATGCCAATACGAGAACAAAAACGCATAAGGTGAACGATATCAAAAGTATCAGAGTCGCCAAGAATTCTATCGAGGGACAAGCGACCGCGAGGGGCGGTCGGAAAACAAGACACGCTCGTCCTGGAAGTCAGGACATTCAACAAGGATATGTACGACCGTAAGAAGGACAATGCAATTTGGACAATAAGGGGCAGGATGGCGCTCCATTAAGCGACCGTGAGTTAAACGAGTACGGCCAATATGTAACCTAGCCAGAGCCGTTTCCCACCACCGGTTACGGTGGCAGGAGGAAGGCCACTGGGACACACGACTCTTAAGAGTACGCAGTTTGTTACCAATAACAGAAGACCAACAACTCTGCCAGCGGGCAAGGATGGAGGCATGAATAACTGGGTAAAAGTCGGAATAAGGAATACCTTTATGGGAGATGGAACAAGTGCGGATAGCGTCCTTAGCGGCAGCATCCGCACACTCATTTAAAGAGACGCTAACATGGCTGGGAACCCAGCAAAATGCAACCGACTTAAATGTACTGGAGACAAGAAACAGCCAATATTGAATCTCTCTGACCACCGGGTGGACCGGATTAAAGGACCCTAAAGCCATGAGGGCACTAAGAGTCAACTACCACCACGAAGGAGGATTGACACCGGGAAAGCAGGAGACGAAGAGCATAGAGAATAGCATAGAGTTCTGCTGTGAAGATGCTAGCCTCCGGAGGAAGGCGACACATAAGTGTGATCAGGAAAAACAACAGTAGCCCACACCGTCAGCAGACTTTGACCCGTCGGTGAAGATGGGAACGTAGTGGGAGTGAGAAGAAAAGTGCTCAAGGAAGAGGTGTTTCAGAACTGTAGGAGAGGCAAAAGCTTTAGTGATGCGGGTCAGAGAAGTACAAAATTCGGGAAGGGGGACCCTCCACGGGGGCAAGGATGGAACAATACGAGGAGAAACATTAGTAATACGAACCGAAAAAGAATCTTAAGCGAGACAAACGGACAGAAAGAGGAAGGTGGTGAAGAGGAACAGGAACTACAGGAGGGGTAAAAGTCAAAGCATGATAGAGGCGAGAGTGAGGATGCTGTAAGGATCGCGCAAGACAGCGAAGACTGTAGCGATCACGGAGATCCTGGAGAGAAAGCCAATGTCAGCGTACAAGCTGAGGATAGAAGTTGAACGAAAAGCACCAGAGCTGAGGCGCAACCCAGTATGGTGCAAAGGATCAAGACGTCGATGAGTAGAAGGAGAAGCAGAAGAGTATGCAGGGCAACCATAATCGAGCTTAGACAGGACGAGAGAGGAATGCAAATAGAGGAGCGTGCGCCTATCCGCTCCCCAAGAAGTATGGGACAAAACTTTAAGTAGGTTAAGGGCCTTAGAGCATTCAACACGGAGGCAAGAGCCATGGGGCAACCAAGACAAACGAGTGTCAAAGAATAACCCCAAAAGCTTCGTGGAATCTTTGTACTCAAGGGGATGACCATAAAGTGACAAAGAGGGACGAAGAACGACCCGCTTCCGAGTAAAAGTCATGGCACAAGTCTTAGTAGTAGAGAACGTGAAGCTCTGATTGGTGGCCCAATATGACACGGCATCAATCGCAAGTTGAAGCCGCCGTTGAAGGAGAGGCGAATCATCGCCCCGACAGCAAAGAGTAAGGTCGTCAACATAAAGAGCGGAGAAGATGCCAGAAGGAAGGGAGGAAAGATCATTGAGGGCAACCAGAAAAATAGTAGTACTCAGAACACTACCTTGGGGCACACCTTCATACTGCCGGAAAGAGGCAGAGAGAGTGGCACCAAGCCTGACTCGAAAGGTACGACAAGAGAAAGCTTTGAAGGAAGAGAGGGAGATTACCACGAAGGCCAAAAGAATGAAGTTGGGACAGAATATGGTATCTCCAAGTCGTGTCATAAGCCTTTTCCAGGTCAAAAAGGACAGCAACAACGGAGGTCTTTGCAGCAGAAGCAGTATGAATATAGACCAAGTTCACTAGGACACGAGTCGTGCTGCGGCACTTGCGAAAACCAAATTGAGAAGGAGAGAGGTGGTGATGGTGTTCCAAGAACACCATCAGATGGACAGTTACCATACGCTCAAACAGTTTGCAAACAACTCGTGAGAGCAATAGGGCGGAAGTCCTTAGGGGACGTACTGAGACTCCCTGGTTTCCAAATAGGGAGTACAACGGCATCGAGCCAGTCCCCAGGGACGGACGACGACTCCCAGACCTAGTTATACAGATTCAGTAAATACCGAGACGTGCACGGAGGGAGATGGCGAAGCATCTCAATGAACGTCATCCGAGCCCGCTGCCGTAGATCAGCAGAGGGCCAAGGCAGACTGAAGTTCAGAAAGAGAGAAAGGATCGTTATAGGGAAGACGGAGACGAGTGTGGAAATCTAAAGGAGAAGATTCAAGAACAGGCTTACGAAGAAGGAAGGATTGAGGAAGATGAGAACCAGAGCTAACAGAAGGAAAGTGGGAACCCAGTTCGGCTGCGACCTTCACTGGATCCACCACAAGAGTTCCACGGAGGTGGAGAACCAGCGACATCTGGAACGAACTTGCCCACAATCTTGCGGATCTTCTTCCAGATCTGCGGTAGAGGAGTAGAGGACGTAATGGTGGAAACATAAGATTTCCAACTCTCACGTTTAGCTGTACGGATGGTCCTTCGGGCCACCGCCTTCCGAAGCACAATAAAAGAATCAGACGTCTGCCGGCGGCGGTGTTTTTTCCAGGCTGCACGCTTACAGCGGACAGCCAGACCACAGTCCGCATTCCACCAGGTAACACACTTCCGTGTGCCCCGGGAGGAAGAGCGAGGGATAGAGCGGAGGGCAGCGTTGAAGATTGTCATAAAAGAGGAGGGCGGCGCGAGGAAGAGGCAGAGAGGAGAGGTCAGAGAGAGTAGCACGGAGGGTGAATAGGCACCAGTCAGCCTTGGCAAACTGCCACTTAGGGAAGGAAAGGGGAGGGTGGAAAAAGGAAACGAGGATGGGGAAATGATCACTTATGGAGGTCAAGAACCTGCCACGTGAAATCTAAGTAAATGGACGACGAGCAGAGAGAAAGATCAAGCCAGGAAAGGGTGCGAGTTCGAGAGTCCACACGAGTGGGCTCACCAGAATTCAAAAGAGATAGAGAAGAAGCAAGGACGAACGGTTCGAGAAGATGGCCTCGGGTGTGTGTCAGACCACCACCCCAGAGGAAATGTCGACAGTTTAAATCACCCAAAAAGAGCACCGGCTCTGGCAAGGAGTCCAGGAGATGCTTAAGATCAGGAAGGGAAAGAGGGACATTTGGAGGCAGATAAACGGAACAGACTGTATACCATTTACCCACACAAACACGGGCAGCAGAACAATGGATAGGTGACAGAAGTGGAGGGACGAAGGGAATATCAGAACGAATTAAGAGAGCAGTAGAGTTATGGGCCCCAGCAAGAGCTGTGGGGGTGGGGGGGGGGGGGGAGAAAGAAAGGAATAACCACGAAAGTGACCAGGACGAGCACCAAGCATTGGTTCCTGGAGACAAAGTGGTGTAAACTGTGTAATTAGAAGTTGGAGTTCATGGAAGTTGGCATAAAATCCACGAATATTCCACTGAAGAATAGACATCATCAAAGAGAAAGGACAGTAACAGAACAAGAAAGAAATAAAGGTAAAGAGGAACACAATTTATTAAAGAATCTCAGGATCAGGGTCGGCAAAAATCAGGGTTAGGGGGCATGGGTAAACTTAGAAGAGAGGGAAGGGAGCGAGAGAGACCAGAGGCGGGCTGACGGGGTCCGGAGGAGGAGGAGACAACCGAGAGGGGCAGGCAAGGACAGTTGGAGGAGGGGGGGGGGGGGGCAGGAATCAGGGAGTGCACTTCAGGAAGGGCAGCAACAGAGGGAATCGGGGGCGGAAGAAACCTCCATATCAGAGACGGGGTACGACCACTGAAATGGGAGGGGATGTAGTGACAGTCAGAGGGAGGGGGTGAGGAAGAAAGCAAAACCTTACCCGCTGAAGAGGAAGAAGGAGAGGAGCCAGGCTTACGTTTCTGACTCAGAGACAGGTGTTCCAGTAACAACGTACCGGGCGACAGACTCAATGGTCTCGGCAGGAGAAGAGGAACGAGAGCGAACAACACGAAGATTGCTGGGAGGATGATGGATATCAGCCTGGACAGACAGGTGGCGTGGAGGGTCAAGAGACTGGGGGGAGGGTCGGGAAGAAAGAGTGGTGGGAGATGGGGAAGAAGACAAAGGAGATATGGCGGACTGGGTAAGAAGGGGGGAAATCCCAGATGGAGAACCGAGAGGGAGACTATCCGGGACAGGAGGCAAAGGAATAGGGAAGGAGGTGGTGGGTGTGGTCGGGTTTAAGGCCTGGAAACGGTTGAGAGTGAGGAAGATGGGAAGGTCGAGGAGAGATAGAACGCAACACGCGAGCGTAGGAGACGCCCGCGAAAGGGGCGAGACGACAAACTTGGCGTCTCACTTCAGGAAAAGACAGACGATCACGGTGCTTCAAGTTGAGGACGGCTTCCTCGAGTTTATAGTGCATACACGAGCGTGAGAAGGTAGGGTGGGCTTCACCGCAATTGAGGCAGCGAGCCTGGGGAGAAGTGCACTTGGACTTGGAATGACTATCGTCCCCACACAAGGGGCACAGATACATAATACTGGTGCATTTGAGGACACCGTGCCCGAACTTCCAACACTTATTGCAAAGTCTAGGAGAGGGAATGTACTCCTGAACGGAGCATCTGGCACCAGCAAGAATAATAGAGGGCGGAAGGGCCCTACTATCAAAGGTGATTTTTACAACTCGAAGGGGCTGACGACGACGACCACGAGGGGGTCGAGTAAACGTGTCAACCTGGAGGACAGAATGGCCTTGGGCTTCGAGGATATGTTTAATATCGTCATGGCAATCTTTGAGGTCCCGAACACCAGTTGCAACATGGTGTGGGAGGAGAACAGTGCCAACACTGGCATTTAATCGAGAGTTTTTGGAGACCCCGAACAAGGGTCTCTCCAATGCAGGACAAAGCGGCTAAGCGAGTAGCTGCATCCTGAGGAGCAGCAGCGACGACACGTGTACCGTAACTGGTAGAGTTAAAAGTAACAGGCATCTACCGAATCAACAAGGTGTTTATGGAGGGAGAAATCGTCAGGCGGAGTAGAATCCAGATGGAGGAGATCAAAGTATTTAGCCCACGTAGCGGAACCAAACAAGGCAATGCAAGTACTATTACTGGAAGAGATCGTGCGAGTGTGGAAGTGGGGGGGACGGCGTTGAGAACCCCCAGAGGGGATAAAAGGTGCAGTAGTCACAATGAGAGACGAAGCCGTGCCAGGGGACGAGGTGGTCACCACTGGGGGCTGGGGACTCGACCCTACCGCAGAGGGAGGATAACTGGGGGGGGAAGTAGTCAGGTCGTCGGGGCCCAGTGCAGCACGGGCTACAGGGCTTGGTCTGCCAACACAGTCCAACTCGTGGGGTGGGCGACCAAGCCCCCGAGCCCGAGAAGGAACAAGGGAAACATCAGCCATGAAAACGAGGAAAAAACTTTTTCCACGAATGTGCCCTCACACCCACCATGGAGCCACAATCAGTGTAAATAATCTGGGAAAGGGACTACTCTCTAACTAAAGTATCAATTTGGCTTAAGGCATTGTACTTTGCTTCTTGTCGAAGCAAGGCTTGTTCTTTAATCAGCTTCTTGGGTGGGAAAGGGGAAGGGACAATAATTTGGAAAGGAGTGATCTCCCATGGGGCAGGAAAGTAGTGTTGTTGTCTCTCTTGGTAGGGGGTGATGAAAGTTATACAATGTCAGATACAAACAAGAGGCTCATAACTAACATACATATATGTATAAACAATACTTACATACCCGAGCCTACTGATCTGCTGCAAAAAGTAGCAGCCTCCCACGGTGGCCGGAGTAGCCTCTCCAGCCACCCTTGTCTAGCCTTCAGCACAAAGCACTTTCCCCAGACCTCCACTATACCCAGTTATCTTTAATTTGACATTCTATATTTTTCTTGGTCACTTATTACGAGTTTTCCCCCTCTATGCCAGGAACTGCCGTAGAAGACTATACCCTGAAGAAGTCTTCCGGCACTCCAGTCTGCTCGAGGTGTACTTGTTGGTACATAACACATTTCTTGCACCAAAACAAAATCTCTTATGTAATTATCTCAATTGTTCACGTTACTGGTTAATATAAGCTTAAAATAAACCTTTTCAAGCCAACATTACCAACTTTGAGAGGGAGCCCTTACCCGGGTCAGACATGGCGATAATACCAGACGTACGTCACGGCTGATGGGATCACTTTGCTGAAGTTCCATCCAGGCATCCAACACACTCGTCACCGAAAGGGTCAGGGAACCCAAGACACCAATCACCACAGTCTGTGTCTGCTTTGTATGACTCTGCTGCAGCACAGCTGGAGACGGGCTGTTGTGCGTCGACAGAGACCTCGTGTTTATATCACCTGGAGCGTCAGCCAGCTGTGGATGTGCGCCCCGCGCCGACCGATACTCTGAACCAATTGGTTGTGGCAATGGAGATGATGTGTCGTTGTTTAGAAGCTTCGTGACCAATGTGTTTCTTTCTTCAAGCTGCTCTGTTAGCGACGTTATGTCTATGGAAGTAGGAAAACAAAACTGAGTTCTTTCAAAACGGCCACGTGTACATGACCATCGCTAGTCAAAGCATTACTAGATTAAGGCCACCTGTAGAGAGGGGCCTCAAATACAAACAATATAATTAAATATTAGCAGCACCAGACCAACTTCCTAGCTTACGTTGCCTGAAGTTTTCAGTGAGAAGGTCTAGTATGCGTTGTTCCCTGGCTGCGGCCTGTAGCAAGGCTTCCTCGTAGGCCATATGCCAGCAGGCCGTCCCCACCACAGTTCCGAAGGTGGCCACCCCCACCACCACTCCCGCCACACCCATCCACCACCTGCACGCCTCCATCTGATGAAATACAACACTTGAGAAGCAATACTGTTCAATTTGTTTTTATTAACAATCTTGGGTACACACAGCAATGGGATACTACCCTTTATTTGAGGAACTGCAGTATATATATCAAGAGCTAATATTCCAAAACTAAGTCTACTCTCTTACCAGGAACTGTTGAGGGACACGGAGCTAACACTGCAAACTTGACATGACAGGGCTGATCTCACCGAAACTTAAAACCGAATTTGGAAAACTGATCTTGGCGGCTTCAAACAGCCAGATGTAACAAACAAGGATCAACGGTTTCAAGTTCAAGCCACAATGTAGGATGGAAAACTTTTTCACCCACTGGGTTTATAAACCCTTGGTACCGCCTACCCGCCTAAACCGCAAATGCCAAAACTTTTAAAATGTAAAAATCCAGCTTTAAAATAGACAAATGGGAGTGGGGGGAAGAGACCGCTACCAAGCCATCAGCTTCCTGTCCACGAGGCCACTAGAGTGGCTCTTCGGTACATTCAAGTAAATTACCCATCCCACAGGATTGTTAATACATAGAGTCAAACATTGTATACAAATCTAATTACTAGGCTGTGGCAAGAAAGTCACATAGGAATTAGTGTTAGCCTAAGCCTACTTGCCAGTTTCATATACAGAAAATTTAAGTCGTTGCCAGTTAAGAGAAACAAGGACTTACTCAGAGGCAAAAATCTCTAAACATGACTGCCTTGAAAGTCTGGAGGCAGACTATAGTTTCAAAGGTAGATATGATACTACTCAATAAGCTCAGGCACCTGTACACCAAATCAAATCAAATATTTATTCAGGTAAAGTACATACATACAAGGCGAGATAAAACGTTGATGGATTTACAGATAAAGCTAGTACATACAATGCCTAAAGCCACTATTACGCAAAGCGTTTCGGGCAGGAAAAACACCAAGACTAAAACTTAATACTAATTGAGATTAAAGTATAAATTGTGTTGAGAAAAAAAATAAAAAAAGGGGGAACATAGCAGAAAAACAGCAAAAATACAATTTAGTCAACAGACAGCATTTTTTAAAAATAGAAGACATGGGTTGACATTTTGGGAGTGAGGTAGGTTACATGGAGTTAATTAGGTAGTACTTAGTTTTTATCTTAAACTGGTTGGGAGAGGTACAGTTAACATAATTGGGAAGGTCATTCCAGATTCTAGGTCCCTTGATTTGTAAATCATTTCTAGTTTGATTAAGTCACCAGTAGATTGACAGTCTAGAGGCGGAACCCAAGAGCCGAAGCTCAAGCACAACTAGTCGAGTACAGTCCAGCTACAAATTTAATTACATCCAAGCACCGCCTCAGGAGCCCTGATGGGCATGCTATAACTGATGATCTGAATCATTTAACCATCACCAAGCCTTTACAATGATATATCATGCAACCTTATTACCGTCTCTTAATTAACTAATTTACTAACAGTGTCACAAGAGTCAACACAAAAATTTGAGACTTAAGGTATTGACGGGGTGCCAAGCTGAACAAGTCCATCACTTTAGTACGACAGTTTCTTTACGTTACGAAACCTTAGGACGACGGGCTGTGCAAGTAGTGCGCCTTACGACTCATGGGCCATCTTGTTTACCATATATATATTATATATAATTTGGAGTCAGGGTTTAGTAATATTTGTAAATTGGCAGACAATACGAAAATTGGTCGATAAAAACTTAAATATTTTCCGAATTATTTCAAGTTTACCCAAAACACTGCATATTAGTGGTTTCATTTTGTACATCCCCTGCACCTACACTACCTTGTATACTTTGAGTGTATTTGTGAATGAAATGCTCGAAATCACTCCAAAAGCTCTGATTGGCTTAAAAACTAGTCGAAAGATTGGTAGTAGTAGTTTCATGATAAAATGTAAGGTTCAGAGAGTAGGTAATATTAGTAGTAACAATACATCAGCTGGATGGTATTTAAAGTCTTGCTCATCATGACCCCCCCCCCCCCCAGATCTTTTACGCAATCAGATTTAGGAATTTCAAGCCAAAATTCTAAGCATAAATGTTAAGATTACCGGGTACACGTGGAATCCCTCGATTGCTTCAAGCGTAGGTTAGACATAGGAATGAGTTTGGGTAGATATAAATAGGAACTGCCACGTACGGACCAATTGGACTTTTGCAGTTTCCTAAATTCTTATGTTCATAATAATGACTTAACTGGTCAAGGATGACTGGTAATCTAACACCTGTGTCAACGTCTCAAACAATTTATCATTCCACAAGACAATGTTGACAAGCACTATATCGCCTCTAGCAATGCTCAGTTGTCCACAAACACGAGGTTACATCACCAGGTAAGCAATGTGTTTTGTTGCTCACGGTCATCTTCCCTGAAGACGACAACCACAACACAAAGCCAGCTGGACGGCGTTACCTATTACCGCCAGACTGTTACTGAAGTTACCTAGCTGTTTACCTCGGTTGTTTCGTGTCTGTGTCTCGCCTTCTATGAACGTGTCTGTCTGGCCTCCAAGCGTCCTTACACTATACGTTCACCCCGGATGGTGAAGACCACTTGCCGTAACGCAGCCAGTCTAGACACAATAACCTGGCGGCGAGCTCCTGCTCTTGGGTATAACACCACTAATGTTGCCTCGACACCTGTTGAGTACCTCACGCGGTCCACAGATGGCGGCCCTTCACTCCTACTCAATATTTCTATAAAAATATAAGAAGAGGGGTAATTGCGTGTCTTCTTTGTTCGTGCGAGGCAGCTCCGACTTATAACCAAGAACGCCCACTGGTGTTGTATTTAATTACACTTGGGTCACCATGTACTCAGCTGTCTCCTAGTGAGCGATAAAATGCATCATTAGTGTCGAGTCGCTCTGAGCTGTAGAATCAGCTGACAAATTGGGAGTGGCGTCAAGCGTTAGGCTTTGTTATGGAAACTTTTAAAGTACTTCTTTACTGAAATGTCTCTCCTGCAGAAGTTTTTACGAAATAGGTAAATTTGCTCGAGTATTTTGTCGTGTCTTCGGCTATCCAAGGGGTCAGTCTGCTTACAAAGTCCGTGCTGTCAACTTGGTGTTGCTATGGCGGCGCTGCGAGATGTTAGCCTCATGTGGTGTATCTTTTTAACTGATTACGAAAAGTAAATTATTTTATTGCATTTGGGAGGTCATTCCACAGTATAGGACCCTTAATTTGCAGACCAGTTCTGCTTTGATTGAGTCGTACTCTTGGAATATCAAATATATATTTGTTTCTCTTATGGTGACCATGAGTTCTGTTAGAACTAGAAGGCGCTTGAGATCAGGATTAGTACAGCAGTTTAAGAGTTTTATAGATTCAGAGGAAGGGATATATATACACCGAGAGGTGTAACCCTCTTGTCGGTGTACATACACCAAGAGTTTACATTAGTCTTGGAGCTTTCATAACTGCCACCACACACATACACATAGGATAGAAAATGACAGTTTATTTAACACAAGGGGCACACGCACTAGGGGACACAAGTGGAAATTGAGTGCTCAAATGAGCCATAAAGACATTAGAAAGAATGTTTTCAGTGTCAGAGTAATTAATAAATAGTAGTTGAAGTAGTAGTAGTTAATAGTAGTAGTATTGTATGTACTAGCTCTATCTATAAATCCAACATTATGTTTGAAACTCATATTCTATGTTTGTATTTTTACCTGAATAAACATTTTGATTTTTTAATAAATGGAATGCATTAGGAAGTGACGTGGAGGCAAACATACAGTTTCATGTGAAGATTCATATCTTCACATGAAAGAGTCCAATAGGCTCAGGAACCTGTACACCTGTTGATTGACGGTTGAGAGGCGGGACCAAAGAGCCAAAGCTCAACCCCTTAAGCACAGCTAGGTGGGTAGAACTAGGCGAGTGCACACCGCCCTTGGACGTATCAGCAGGACAGGAAGCCTAGGGCGTCCTTTACGACACAACCTCCGGTTTTTAAAAGCTTACGTGTTCTCGACCGACACTTGTCAGCGGCAGGAAATTGATAACAAGATATCATGTACACAATAAAAATTTGGATATAACTTAGTTATACATAAATAATTAATAAATTATTACACAATATGCCACTAACTTCCACGTGGCGCTTAAACGCAAACAAATTTATATTTTCAATGAACAAATAGTAACCATTGACACCAAAACTTTATACTCAACTTCACTGCCAGCGGTCTTTTAAATAACTTTCAGTTAATTTGAAAATTCAATAAGGTCGCATGACTGACAACAGTGTGCACGAAGACCCTGACTGACAACAGTGTGCACGAAGACCATGACTGACAACAGTGTGCACGAAGACCATGACTGACAACAGTGTGCACGAAGACCATGACTGACAACAGTGTGCACGAAGACCATGACTGACAACAGTGTGCACGAAGACCATGACTGACAACAGTGTGCTTCACCCTCTAGTACTTTTCCCGATACGTCAACCTGTTTTTTTGAGTTTGTATTGAAGTCGCTTGTGAGGAAGTGTCAAAAACGTTCTGGCAATCCAAGAAAATACAGTCTGTCCAGCACTCTCCATCCTGTTTGATTGTTGTGTGTGCGCGCGTGTGTGTAATTGCCTAAGTGTAATTACAGGATGAGAGCTACGCTCGTGGTGTCTCGTCTTCCCAGCACTCTTTGTCATATAACGCTTTGAAACTACTGACGGTTTTGGCCTCCACCACCTTTTCACCTAACTTGTTCCAACCGTCTACCACTCTGTTTACAGAAGTGAATTTTCTTATTCTCCGGCAGCTTTGTTTCGTTATTTTAAATCATAGGAATGTCACAGTCACCTCTTGTTCTTGAAGTTCTGTTTCTCAGGAATTCTTCCCTATCAATTTTATCGATTCCTGTTACTATTTTGTACGTAGTGATCATATCGCCTCTTTTTTTTTTTACATCTTCTAGTTTTGGACCATTTAATGCCTCAAACCTCTCCTCGTAACTCCTTAGGTTCTGGGAGCCACTTACTGGCATGTCTTTGCACCTTTTCCAGTTTGTTGAAGTGCTTCTTAAGATATGGGCATCATACAACCGCTGCATATTCCAGCTTTGGTCTAACAAAAGTCCTGAACAATTTCTTTAGTATTTCACCATCCATGTGTTTAAAAGCAATTCTGAGGCTCCTCGCACAATCTTCTTTATGTGGTCCTCAGAACTGTCTATCTAGAACCACTCCTAGATCTTTTTCTTTATCAGAATTCTTTAAAGATTTCTCACATAATTTATAGGTTGTGTGGGGGTCTATGTTCTCCTATTCCACATTCCATAACATGGCATTTATTCACATTAAATTCTATTTGCCAAGTGGTGCTCCATATACTTATTTTGTCCAGGTCTTCGTAAAGGGTATGACACACATCTAAGTTTCTTATCCTCGCTATTATCTTAGCATCATCAGCAAACATGTTCATATAATTCTGTTTTCCATCTGGCAGATCATTTATCTAGACAATAAACATTACCGGTGCAAGAACCGAACCCTGTGGTACTCCACTTGTGACATTTCTCTTGTTTGATACATTGCCTCTGATTACTGCCCTTGTTAGAACCTTACCTGTCACCCCTCCAATATGTTCCAGTTTCCAGAGCAACCTCTTATGTGAAACTCTGTCGAAAGCCTTTTTTATTTTGTGTGTGTGTACTCACCTAATTGTGCTTGCGGGGGTTAAGCTTTGGCTCTTTGGTCCCGCCTCTCAACTGTCAATCAACTGGTGTACAGGTTCCTGAGCCTACTGGGCTCTATCATATCTACATTTAAAACTGTGTATGGAGTCAGCCTCCACCACATCACTGCCTAATGCATTCCATCTGTTAACTACTGACACTGAAAAAGTACCTTCTCACGTCCCTGTGGCTCATGTGGGTACTCAGTTTCCACCTGTGTCCCCTTGTTCGCATCCCGCCAGTGTTGAATAGTTTATCCTTGTTTACCCGGTCGATTCCCCTGAGGATTTTGTAGGTTGTGATCATGTCCCCCCTTACTCTTCTGTCTTCCAGTGTCGTAAGGTGCATTTCCCGCAGCCTTTCCTCATAACTCATGCCTCTTAGTTCTGGAACTAGTCTAGTAGCATACCTTTGGACTTTTTCCAGCTTCGTCTTGTGCTTGACTAGGTATGGGCTTCATGCTGGGGCCGCATACTCCAGGATTGCTCTTACATATGTGGTGTACAAGATTCTGAATGATTCTTTACACAGGTTCCTGAACGCTGTTCTGATGTTAGCCAGCCTCGCATATGCCGCAGACGTTATTCTTTTTATGTGGGCTTCAGGAGACAGGTTTGGTGTGATATCAACTCCTAGATCTTTCTCTCTGTTTCATTAAGTACTTCATCTCCTATTCTGTATCCTGTGTCTGGCCTCCTGTTTCCACTGCCTAGTTTCATTACTTTGCATTTACTCGGGTTGAACTTCAACAGCCATTTGTTGGACCATTCACAACGCAAGTTGTGTGTGTGTGTGTGTGTGTGTGTGTGTGTGTGTGTGTGTGTGTGTGTGTGTGTGTGTGTGTGTGTGTGTGTGTGTGTGTTTGTGTGTGTGTGTGTGTGTAAGGAGCCGCCAGGATGTTGTCCATAACTAGTCGTCCCCTGGCGGCCAAGATAAGAAGCTACAGCTGGCGCTTCCGCAGAGCTGCCTCAGCCATAGGACTCAGTAGACGCAATCCTGGTGCTGCGTATGGCTTGATTATTGAACTCGTACAAACAAGTATTGCTGCACGCTGTGGGGGAGCGAAGAACAAAGGTGCAGTGCGAGGGTGTTAATTCACACGCTGGTCCAGAAGCTGGCTTGTGTCGACAGAGTACCACAGATTGAAGAAGATGAATATTACATTGATGAATTGCAGTAACGAGTGTGGGAACTTTGAGACAGGCGAGGTAATACCCTTAGATGTCCGCATCTCCCCGATACTCCTCATGGTCGCTCTTATCCACTGCTGCATTGTCATCGTCCTGGGCAGCCTCGGTGAGCTCCTCCTGGTCATGATGCAAGCCCACCACCACACCACGGTGGTGTGTGATATTGACGTGGTTAATCACTGTTACATATAGTGACGTGGGTCATCACTCTTACACATAGTGACGTGGGTCATCATTCTTACATATAGTGACGTGGATCATCACTGTTACAGGTAACGGTGTGGCCTTGTGGTGCGTGGTGAGGTGCCCCAATACCATGCCGGCAATGAAGGTGCTGCTGTGTAGCGTGTTTGCGCCTCTCCTGGTGATCTGCCTGGTGACCAGACCCGCTGTAGCGCACATCATCACGGCTATCATTACCTGCAACCCTGCCAATTTCTTCACCAAGTTCAGAGTGGTTACCACACTCGTGTACAGCAGTCTGGCGGGGCTAGAGCTGGTCGCTATTGCAGCCGTGGCATTTTTCAGGTCAGAATATGCAGTCATACATATAATAAATCCACTATTAACATGTTTTTACACAACAAAACATCCGCCATGTACCCTGGTGATAAGAATAGTCAGACTTCACGAACAATGTCACCCATGGAGTAATGTTGACCGCGTCTTACAGAATGTTGGCGGTGTGTGGCCGTGGGCGACACTCCATGAGCACGACGGTGGCCGTTGTTATCGTCGTCTCCATGAGTGTGTACAGCGTCGTCACATCAGTGGTAAGTCTCAAGCAAGGGAGCCGTGTGCATGCCACGCAGAGGAAGCTCCCGTGGTGGAGGGTCTCCTCGTGTGTGACGAGGCTTCTAACACCACATCAGCGTCCCGCTGCTCTCAATAACAACACCGAGCCTCGTAGTGACGGACGAGTCACCATTTGAATTAAGAGTTTGAGTATACCGGCATCTCTGGAAATATGGAAGGGAAGTTGTTCATAAATTACCTAAAAAAATGGGTGTAAAAGGGAACTGCTCATTATATTCCTCACTCTTAACCTAAAATAACCAAGGTATCCTATCATATAACTAAACCAACCCATCCTCCTGTTTAGATAGTACTTTTTGTAAATATGTGCACCATAGGACAACTATTGACGTAAAAGGAATTATATAGTAGAATTTGGTTCTATTCACTTTATAGGAGTCCGAAAAATGAAGCTAAAAAATAAACAATTATTCCTAGGCCTGGTATAGCACATATATGTACTATATTAGGCTTCAGATAGCGTGTATTGGGCTTAGGTAGGTTAGGTTAGTTTATCTTTACAACATAAATACAAAGCCTTTTCCGGTTTGTCCATATTCAATAGTAACGATTTCTACTTTGTAATTGTCCATTACGTCATATATGTACTATGGAGCTCATCGTTACTATAAGTACTAACTAAACAGGAAGATGGGCTGATCTAAACATACTCAATCAATCACAAATATTAACCTTATATGTTCTGAAGTATTGATGAGTGGCGAGTTGTTCGTATTATCGCCCTATAGCCATTTGTTAAGCGTCCATGATAACAACGATCACAAAGGGACGTGGTCGTCGGATATCGACTTCAGTTTCTCTATATTACAGTTGTTGTTTTAGATATAGCTACTCAGAACAAAAAGTCCATGTAGCACGGGTTATGGTGAGCCCGTAATATATATTACAGACAATGCATTATAAATATATTAAATATATTACAAAATATAACGAGGTGTGGTGTGGCCTGCAGGGTCTGCTGGGGTCGGTGGTGCTGAGGTGGGTGTGGGAACCATACCTTAAGCGAGTCATCTTCATCGTCTACTTCTTCTTCATCACTATGCTGCCAATCTTGGTGACTGGGGCCAGCTACGCTTACATCATCTTCACTGTAAGTACCCGTGTTTGCTCAGTCGATCTTACCACCAATACTTTGCCTTTGTCAGAACTACATTTTCTTATGATGGTGTGTAAGAGAAAGTGCCTGACAGTTTCTGTGAATATTTCAACTCAGCCTCCTGAAATGACAGTACTGTACTTATATCAACTATTTGGTGAAAAGTACCAGTATGTAGTGATGGACTGCCAGTAAAGCACTTTTTGTACTAGTAAGAATTTTATAACAGTCCGTAAAATAAAGCTAAAAATCAAAGTTAAATATTCCTAGGCCTAATATAACATATGTATGTGCTATATTATAATATAGCCTAACGTTAGGCTATATTAAGCCGTATTACGCTTGGGATTGCTAAAAGATGTTAGTTTAGTTTAGGTTAGGTCTTATATATATATGTTGTGGTTAAAAAAATCCAGTTTGTGTAAATTTAGAAATAAAGAAGTGAGCTTCGCGGTGGTCGATGACTACATATCGGTACTTCCACCACATAGTTCAAATAAAATAAAATAAAATGTTTATTCAGGTAAAGTACATACATACAAGGTGAGATACAAACATTGATGGATTTATAGATAGAGCTAGTACATACAAAGCCTAAAGCCACTATTACGCAAAGCGTTTCGGGCAGATACTTTAAGTATTTTCATTTTAGGAGGATGGGCTGGAATATTTATATGCTGACTAGCTTTTTATTAAAATCTCGCCGCGTTATGTGAATAAATGGTTGGTGATAGTAATGTAGGTTGTAATGACTTATTATACTGCAGGTGCAAGAGAACAAGCGGCGCTTGGCGAGGAGTCAACAGAGCTGCCTAAGAGTCCACAACCTCGTCGACCAGGCCACACGCGCCATGCTGGCCGTCTTCATTAGTAACCTGCTCTTTGGTCTCCCACACGCAGTCTATCACCTCCTCCACGAACCATCATTCACTTTGAACGTTGTAATTCATATTATATTCTCCACTCACTTCGTGGTGGATCCGGTAGTGTTTGTATGGTATAACCAGAGTTACCGTCGCCGTGTGGGCGAGCTAGCGTGCTCAGGGCTGACCTGGATGATGCAGTGTTGCACTACACGCAACTCACCAACCACAAACCAGTCCTCATCATGCACCAAAGAGTCCATCTGCAATACTGAGGCTTCCTCATCTACCAAGGAGTCCTCATTCCTTAAGAAGTCATCATGCACTAAGGAGTCATCATCCACAACTGAATCCCGACCTTAACTCTTCTGCAAACAAGCCAGTTGCCATAAGACTCGGCAAGTAGAACTAGATATCAGAAGTAAAAAATAAGATAATAATTTTCAATTGTTGCCGTGGGTTTCTGGGTTACCTCTTCAGATTCGAGAACGCTTTTGGTGGCTTAAGCTTTTCAGTAAATATAAAAATACAAAACTCTTAACCCCTTCCGTTACTTATTTTTTCTTGTGGTCACCCTGATGCAGCAACCCGTTCTCGCACTTTCTTATAGTCAATATTGACTTATTAAATACGTGCATATGTGACATACTAAACATACTAGTTTACCTTGAAAAGCTTCATAGAAAACACAGACCTTACCTAACCTTCTTAGTATATTAAGATAAGCATCTTATTGCTTCGTAATTACAATTATTACTTAACCTATACCTATAATAGGTATACAATTATTATTTAACCTATTATAGGTATAGGTTAAGTAATAATTGTAATTACGAAGCAATAAGATGCTTATCTTAACATACTAAGAAGGTTAATTAAGGTCGATGTTTTCTATGAAGCTTTTCAAGGTAAACTAGTATGTTTAGTATGTCACATATGCACGTATTTAATAAGTCAATATTGACTATAAGAAAGTGCGAGAACGGGTTGGATGCAGATAGCCAGAGTAGCATGGCTATCTGGGAGTTATATCAAGATAAGGGAATATAGCACAAATTCATATTTACCTTTATGTATTAACCAGTGAAGACTGGAAATTTATGTTCATCTGAATTTACCTGAGGAACATCATCTCTCTAGCCGCCTCAACGAGGACATGAAGCCGGCGGCTTGTCGAAGGTCCTCTCATTTGCCCTGATAATTTTGTCCAACTTCAACTACTTTTGGCATTTACTGCATCGGCGGGTAGGCGGTTCCATGGGTTTATAACCCTGTGGGTGAAAAAGCATCTCCTGTTCTCAGTCCTACATTGTGGCTTGTTGAGCTTCAAACCGTTGCTCCTTGTTTATGTTACATCTGACCTTTTGAAATAATGGTCTGAATCAATGTCCTACAAATTGTTCAGTACTTTGAAAGTTTCGATGAGATCAGTGTCTGACTAATACACACCCCTTAATGTTTTAAACATTAGGAAAATTTATTATATTTTTATGAAGCTGTATAAAACGTGTGTAGACCTGGGTGACCTAGTAATGCAAAAATGACTTATATCATTAAATAATTTAAGAATATATATTTGAAGATGGTTGGGATCGTGGAGGTGCGGTAGTGAAGCAGCAGCACACATCTGGTTAGTGTGTGCCGCTGCCACTGGTCACTAGTTAGTCGTCGTTCAAGGACTCGCTGGTGGTTCACGACACGACCTTTCCGACCCAGAGACCTTTGATGGTCGTAGTTGCAGTTAAACATCAGTTAACTTGTCCTCCAGTAATCCTGGTGTTAAAACGCTCATGGAGTAAATTAATAAAGAATGTGTAGTAGTAGTATTAGGGAGCCGGTCGGCCGAACGGACAGCACACTGAACTTGTGATCCTGTGGTCCCGGGTTCGATCCCGGGCGCCGGCGAGAAACAATGAGCAGAGTTTCTTTCACCCTATGCCCCTATTACCTAGCAGTAAAATAGGTACCTGGGTGTTAGTCAGCTGTCACGGGCTGCTTCCTGCGGGTGGAGACCAGGTCGAGGACCGGGCCGCGGGGACACTAAAAATCCCCGAAATCATCTCAAGATAACCTCAAGATAGGCATCCTGCAGTCTCGGGAGACTATGGAGTTGCGCTCTGGTTGTCGATCTGGAGTGGCCACTTCAGGGCACAAAGCCAGGGTAGATTGACACGGGAAAGAAGCTGTCACCCAAGAAGCTGTCACCCATGCAGCAGGTCCGCCCTCTCCACGGCACTGAAAGTCTCCAATGGAAAGGCAAACGCCAATACGATTGGTTCCAGCGCCGTCGCAGGAACTGTCAGAACGAGGTTGAACGCAACAACGAACTGCCCTAGGGGCTCCTGCTCCGGAGTTTACCTCGAAGTTAAGGCAAATAAGGCACAGGGACTCCAAACCCGGAGACCGCCGTGGTCGGGGTCGGAGAAGAACCACCCCAGCAAGGGCAAGAACATCCCCAGCCTCCTGAAGCAGAGCCTGGGGGCCGCATCCACCCCCGGGAGGTGGACGGCCCGGTCCCGCACCTACCCGGTCCCTCACCTACGGGTTCCAAACAGATCGTCACAGTCCTCTTTCACCCGAGGCCGGCTTCCTTCATGACCCAAACAATGTGTAGGGAATACATAAACATTGTGTAGGGAATACATAAACAATGTGTTGGGGATACATAAACAATGTGTAGGGGATACCGAAATACCCAATTTTTTGGGTTACAATATTCAAATTTGTAACAAAATAGATGGCAAATCCTTGGCGTTCTCATTGACCACAAGCTGAATTTCCAGGGACACATTCTAAATATATCAAAAAAAGTTAAAAAAACTGTTGGCATTCTTTCTAAGATCAGATATTATGTACCTCGCCCTGCCCTGGTGACGCTCTATTACTCCCTCATCTATCCATATCTCAACTATGGTATTTGTGCTTGTGGTTCTACTACCCAAAATCATTTACGTCCTCTAATTACTCAACACAAAGCTGCTATTAAGACAATATCCAACTCTGGCCCCAGACATCACTCGGTACCCCTACTTAAATCTCTGAATATGTTAGATATTAAGTCACTGCACATCCTCTCATGTGTATTATATATATATATATATATATATATATATATATATATATATATATATATATATATATATATATATATATATATATATATATGAATGTGGAATGACCTTCCCAATCATGTTAAAGATTGTACCTCTCTCAACCAGTTTAAGATAAAAACTAAGCACTACCTAATAAATTCCCTGTAACCTACCTTACCCCTATATTGTCAACCCATGTCTGTTATTTTTTTTAAACAACGCTGTTTGTCGACCTAATTGTATTTGTGCTGTTTTTTCTGTCATGTTCCCCCCTTTTTTATTTTTATTTGTTCTCAACACATTTTATACTTTAATCTCAATTAGTATTAAGTTTTATTCTTTAATGTTTTTCTTGCCCGAAACGCTTTGCGTAATAGTGGCTTTAGGCATTGTATGTACTAGCTCTATCTATAAATCTATAAATTTTTGTATAACCTCTTGTATGTATGTACTTTACCTGAATAAACATTTGAATTTTTGGATATATAAACAATGTGTAGGGGATACATTAACAATGTGTAGGGGATACATAAACAATGTGTAGGGGATACATTAACAATGTGTAGGGGATACATAAACAATGTGTAGGGGATACATAAACAATGTGTAGGGGATACATAAACAATGTGTAGGGGATACATAAACAATGTGTAGGGGATACATTAACAATGTGTAGGGGATACATAAACAATGTGTAGGGGATACATTAACAATGTGTAGGGGATACATAAACAATGTGTAGGGGATACATTAACAATGTGTAGGGGATACATAAACAATGTGTAGGGGATACATAAACAATGTGTAGGGGATACATTAACAATGTGTAGGGGATACATAAACAATGTGTAGGGGATACATTAACAATGTGTAGGGGATACATAAACAATGTGTAGGGGATACATTAACAATGTGTAGGGGATACATAAACAATGTGTAGGGGATACATTAACAATGTGTAGGGGATACATAAACAATGTGTAGGGGATACATAAACAATGTGTAGGGGATACATATAAAATGTGTAGGGGATACATAAACAATGTGTAGGGGATACATATAAAATGTGTAGGGGATACATAAACAATGTGTAGGGGATACATAAACAATGTGTAGGGGATACATTAACAATGTGTAGGGGATACATAAACAATGTGTAGGGGATACATATAAAATGTGTAGGGGATACATAAACAATGTGTAGGGGATACATAAACAATGTGTAGGGAATACACTTGAGATGAAGAAGAACACTGTCAGAGTGAAGGCGCGTGTGAGAACCTTCACAATCAATACTTATTAAGCAATCCTAATATAAACATTCAGACATATATAACAGGTTGTATTCAAACGAAATAAAATATACAATAATAAAATACATATTGTACACTGATAATATCAATACATGTAGTGTGCTCTGGGAATTAATGTAATATGTAAATTTATGCATTGTGCGCTGACAAGCAATGAATAATGTAAACTGATTCGGTATTAAATGTATTAGTTAATAAACACAAACTTAGTCTATGTTTTAATTGATTATTTTTCATGTGTTAAGTTAATCATTATATTACGACAAGCTCAGTAAGTGTCCTTTTATGTGGCTTGTGCTGTTATGGTGTTGGTTATTGTGTACTTGTTCACTTGTTACTGACATACTCCGTTATGTGGCCAGCATACTCCGTCATGTGGCCAGCATACTCCGTCATGTGGCCAGCATACTCCATCATGTGGCCAGCATACTCCATCATGTGGCCAGCATACTCCGTCATGTGGCCAGCATACTCCATCATGTGGCCATGTGGCCAGCATACTCCATCATGTGGCCAGCATACTCCATCATGTGGCCAGCATACTCCATCATGTGGCCAGCATACTCCATCATGTGGCCAGCATACTCCATCATGTGGCCAGCATACTCCGTCATGTGGCCAGCATACTCCGTCATCATGTGGCCAGCATACTCCATCATGTGGCCAGCATACTCCATCATGTGGCCAGCATACTCCATCATGTGGCCAGCATACTCCATCATGTGGCCAGCATACTCCGTCATGTGGCCAGCATACTCCATCATGTGGCCAGCATACTCCATCATGTGGCCAGCATACTCCATCATGTGGCCAGCATACTCCGTCATGTGGCCAGCATACTCCATCATGTGGCCAGCATACTCCATCATGTGGCCAGCATACTCCGTCATGTGGCCAGCATACTCCGTCATGTGGCCAGCATACTCCGTCATGTGGCCAGCATACTCCGTCATGTGGCCAGCATACTCCATCATGTGGCCAGCATACTCCATCATGTGGCCAGCATACTCCATCATGTGGCCAGCATACTCCGTCATGTGGCCAGCATACTCCGTCATGGGGCCAGCATACTCCGTCATGGTGCCAGCATACTCCGTCATGTGGCCAGCATACTCCATCTTGTGGCCAGCATACTCCATCTTGTGGCCAGCATACTCCATCATGTGGCCAGCATACTCCGTCATGTGGCCAGCATACTCCATCTTGTGGCCAGCATACTCCATCATGTGGCCAGCATACTCCATCATGTGGCCAGCATACTCCATCATGTGGCCAGCATACTCCGTCATGTGGCCAGCATAATCCATCATGTGGCCAACATACTTCATCATATGGTCAGCATACCTTCATGTGGCCAGCATACTCCGTCATGTGGTCAGCTGTGGCCAGCATACTCCGTCATGTGGCCAGCATACCTTCATGTGGCCAGCATACTCCATCATGTGGCCAGCATACTCCATCCTGTGGCCAGCATACTCCATCATGTGGCCAGCATACCCCGTCATGTGGCCAGCTTACCTTCATAGGGCCAACATACTCCATCATGTGGCCAACATACCTTCATGTGGCCAGCATACTCCGTCATGTGGCCAGCATACCTCCATGTGGCCAGCATACTCCGTCATGTGGCCAGGGCATACTCCATCATGTGGCCAACATACCTTCATGTGGCCAGCATACTCCGTCATGTGGCCAGCATACCTCCATGTGGCCAGTATACTCCGTCATGTGGCCAGTATACTCCGTCATGTGGCCAGTATACTCCGTCATGTGGTTGTGTTGGCCACATGGATGTATGAGTTATATTGCTCAGTCCGTCATCATAGTCTCTTTTAAAGTGTTTTCCTGTGTTGCAGGTGCGGGTATTGGCCTAGCTAGTGCGGGTATTGGTCTAGCTGGTGCGGGTATTGGTCTAACTGGTGCGGGTATTGGTCTAGCTGGTGCGGGTATTGGTCTAGCAAGTGCGGGTATTGGTCTAGCTAGTGCGGGTATTGGTCTAGCTGGTGCGGGTATTGGTCTAGCTGGTGCGGGTATTGGTCTAGCTGGTGCGGGTATTGGTCTAGCTAGTGCGGGTATTGGTCTAGCTGGTGCGGGTATTGGTCTAGCTAGTGCGGGTATTGGTCTAGCTGGTGCGGGTATTGGCCTAGCTGGTGCGGGTATTGGTCTAGCTGGTGCGGGTATTGGTCTAGCAAGTGCGGGTATTGGTCTAACTGGTGCGGGTATTGGTCTAGCTGGTGCGGGTATTGGTCTAGCTGGTGCGGGTATTGGTCTAGCTGGTGCGGGTATTGGTCTAACTGGTGCGGGTATTGGTCTAGCTGGTGCGGGTATTGGTCTAGCAAGTGCGGGTATTGGTCTAACTGGTGCGGGTATTGGCCTAGCTGGTGCGGGTATTGGTCTAGCTGGTGCGGGTATTGGTGCGGGTAGCTGGTGCGGGTATTGGTCTAGCTGGTGCGGGTATTGGTCTAGCAAGTGCGGGTATTGGTCTAGCTGGTGCGGGTATTGGTCTAGCTGGTGCGGGTATTGGTCTAGCTGGTGCGGGTATTGGTCTATTGGTCTAGGTGCGGGTATTGGTCTAGCTGGTGCGGGTATTGGCCTAGCTGGTGCGGGTATTGGTCTAGCTGGTGCGGGTATTGGTCTAGCTGGTGCGGGTATTGGTCTAGCTGGTGCGGGTATTGGTCTAGCTGGTGCGGGTATTGGTCTAGCTGGTGCGGGTATTGGTCTAGCTGGTGCGGGTATTGGTCTAGCAAGAGCGGGTATTGGTCTAGCTGGTGCGGGTATTGGTCTAGCTGGTGCGGGTATTGGTCTAGCTGGTGCGGGTATTGGTCTAGCAAGTGCGGGTATTGGTCTAGCTGGTGCGGGTATTGGTCTAGCTGGTGCGGGTATTGGTCTAGCAGGTGCGGGTATTGGTCTAACTGGTGCGGGTAATGATCTAGCTGGTGCGGGTATTGGTCTAATTGGTGCGGGTATTGGTCTAACTGGTGCGGGTATTGGTCTAACTGGTGCGGGTATTGGTCTAGCTGGTGCGGGTATTGCTCTAGCTGGTGCGGGTATTGGTCTAATTGGTGCGGGTATTGGTCTAATTGGTGCGGGTATTGGTCTAACTGGTGCGGGTATTGGTCTAACTGGTGCGGGTATTGATCTAGCTGGTGCGGGTATTGCTCTAGCTGGTGCGGGTATTGCTCTAGCTGGTGCGGGTATTGGTCTAGCTGGTGCGGGTATTGCTCTAGCTGGTGCGGGTATCGCTAACTGGTGCGGGTATTGCTCTAGCTGGTGCGGGTATTGGTCTAACTGGTGCGGGTATTGATCTAGCTGGTGCGGGTATTGGTCTAACTGGTGCGGGTATTGATCTAGCTGGTGCGGGTATTGGTCTAATTGGTGCGGGTATTGGTCTAATTGGTGCGGGTATTGGTCTAATTGGTGCGGGTATTGGTCTAACTGGTGCGGGTATTGGTCTAACTGGTGCGGGTATTGATCTAGCTGGTGCGGGTATTGGTCTAACTGGTGCGGGTATTGCTCTAGCTGGTGTGGGTATTGCTCTAACTGGTGCGGGTATTGCTCTAGCTGGTGTGGGTATTGGTCTAACTGGTGCGGGTATTAGTCTAGCTGGTGTGGGTATTAGTCTAACTGGTGCGGGTATTGGTCTAACTGGTGCGGGTAATGATCTAGCTGGTGCGGGTATTGGTCTAGCTGGTGTGGGTATTGGTCTAGCTGGTGCGGGTATTGGTCTAGCTGGTGCGGGTATTGCTGTAGCTGGTGCGGGTATTGCTGTAGCTGGTGCGGGTATTGCTGTAGCTGTTGCGGGTATCGCTGTAGCTGGTGCGGGTATTGGTCTAGCAGGTGCGGGTATGGGTCTAGGAGGTGCGGGTAATGGTCTAGTTGGTGTGGGTATTGGTCTAGCTGTTGCGGGTATCGCTGTAGCTAGTATTTAATTAGCTGTTAATATGACACTAAAATAAAATAAAATTTCATGACATAATATGCCGTTTAAGAATGTATTACAGAGCTCACAGCCTGGTTGATCAACCAGCTCACAGATACACCACATGACTGCAGCCTACTCTACCACCTAATTAATTTGTCGGTGTTGGTAATTTAGGGAATGAGTAGAGTTGGCGTGTGTTGCCTGGAGGTTGGGTCGAGCTGTGGGGAGGAGCAGCTTGGGAACCCGCTGACACCAGTCACAAGTCATCTGCCCCTCTAACTTCCTGTGAAAAAGGAGTGTTGGTTGTGTATGTTAGTAATGCAGGGCATACTGTCCCTGGCTACTTGGTAGCGCCTCCCTGAACGCCAGTGTGGTGGAGAGCTCCATGTGGCGGGGTGGGTTGCTGCTCGCCATCCTCCCCCTCTGGACTCCATGTCTTCTGCAACACTAATTTGGGTTCGTGAGCTTTCCCGGTTGAGAATTTTGTCAAATAACGACGAGAAACATGATCCATGCAAGTTTGTCTTGAAGAAAGTGTTGGTAGAGCGACGGTAGAATGGCAGGGGAGGAGAATATGACGGTGAACTGTACGGGGGAGAACTGCCAGAGGTGCTACGATATGGGCATCTACCAGCCAGACGAGCCCGTCACCCCAGCAGCTCTCCTCATCTTCGCCGTTCTTCACTGCTACATCATCTTCGTCCTTGGTACACTCTGTGAGTTCTTGATCACCTCTTGTTAGTTCCTCTTGTGGCAATATTTGTTAACTGGTGTGTGGTTGTTGTGGAGTTGTTCTCCAGTGCGCGGTGGTGCGGCTGCTCCTGATGGCCACCTTCCGGCTCTGTATGGCGCCATGTCAGGTGTGTGGGGCCTCGCCCACCCTCCTCCCTCCACACTTTACGCACACTAAATATCACACATGTTTCACCAAAAACTGTCTCTGGCTTTACTAAAATAGTAAATGAAACGAAAAAAAGTGCACTTCCTTACTAAAATCAATTATAATCAGAGAAAAATCAGCAAAAGATAGTATTAGAAGCAATACAAAATCTATTATATCTAGTTATCGAGAGGAAAGAGAGCCGTAGTAAGGATATCCCTCCTAGCGTCCAAGGTCATAGTTCAGTGACGACACACTACCGTTCCCAGTTGTGTTGCACCTGCACACACTCTCACCCTGTGGGAATGCAAAGCAACATGGCTTGCTAGAGATGTATTACTCATCGAGTGTATGGTTGGCAAGACCGCAGCGTCACCCCGTCTGCACGGTACGAGGATAGTTGGAGTTTTGGGTACTGTGTCAGTGTACACCTGCACAGTACTGTGACGCCACCTATCATCTTTAAGTACGCTATGCGTTTATCAGGCGTCCCAATGGTCCCTTTCAACACACGCCCCTCCTCTCTAACACCACCAAGCACCCTCACCCCCTCACGCACACAAATACGCACAGACACACATACACACCCGCACATATACACACGCACACACGTACACACAAGCACACATAAACAAAAATATTGAGTTTTTAATATTAAGTTCACAGCACAGCAGCAGCGCCCCGCTACCATAATTAAGATTCTGCCCCGCCGCACGTTACGTTACTCAGTTAACAATGTAGAGCATCAGAGTGGTCAGGTTGTGGGTAACGATGTGTATCAGTGCTATACCGACGGCTGTGTAGAGCAAGGTGAAGGTGTAGCGGGTGTGCATGTAATATATCTAAACAATCTTCTCTTGCTCACACAGCAGTGAAGCGGGTCAATGACTGGACTAGTACAACTCAAACAAAACTTGCAGGTATATATCTTGCCACTGAATATTTGAAAGACAATGGCAGTATACTGTATATACTGTGACTCACAAGGTGTTCTGGCAGTGAACGCGCATACTAATATAAAAATGAAAGTGGTCAGTAATATTCGAATGAATGTTTAAGTTGCTAAATTTAATAGATTTGTAATTAAATTCCTCAGTATAGCAAGCATGCTGTCACCTCGGGCCATGGGTCGCTGGACATGCTGAGACAACAGGCTGCAGCAAACCAGTGGTAGAAATTAATGCAAATTCATTTGCAGTGACAAAGATTACTGAAGCGAATGATAATTGTGGTGATCTAACACATACATAAAGATCTCGAGACTATAGCATTAAACATTATGAGGATAAAGTGGAGAGGTTTACATATGCAGCTAGTAAGGCAAGAACTCTGCGCCCCAGTGACCAGAACACGCCCAGGGTAAAGATGTATCTGACAGCTTTCTCAATATTAAAGTGTCTAATACATAATATTAATAAAAACATATGAAAAATCATTGTATTGAACTACTGCTGGTGGAAGGCGTGGCCTAGGCCCACAGGGAGGGCGGGGCCTGGGACCACGAGGAGGGCGGGGCCTGGGACCACAGGGAGGGCGGGGCCTGGGACCACAGGGTGTGGCCTGGGACCACGAGGAGGGCGGGGCCTGGGATCACAGGGAGGGTGTGGCCTGGGACCACAGGGAGGGGGGGGGCCTGGGACCACAAGGAGGGCGGGGCCTGGGACCACAGGGAGGGTGTGGCCTGGGACCACAGGGAGGGGGGGGCCTGGGACCACAGGGAGGGCGGAGCCTGGGACCACAGGGAGGGCGGGGCCTGGGACCACAGGGAGGGCGGAGCCTGGGAGCACAGGGAGGGCGCGCAAGCACTCGTAGGTGAGCGGTGGCACAGGTTGTATCATCCAGAGGGCCACAGACAAGGTCAGCTATTGGCTTAAGGACCACGATGGATAAATTGCCTGCATCCTAACCTCCCCTATGGCTTAACTTGTTATAATACCTCGCTTGTATAACCTAAAGGTTCAGCTCCCCCTCAGTATCGTGCCGACCGCTTAGTACAGTCACTGTCTGTGTGGCACCAGTCACTGTGTGGCACCAGTCACTGTGTGGCACCAGTCACTGTGTGGCACCAGTCACTATGTGGCACCAGTTACTGTGTGGCACCAGTCACTGTGTGGCACCAGTCACTGTGTGGCACCAGTCACTGTGGCACCAGTCACTATGTGGCACCAGTTACTGTGTGGCACCAGTCACTGTGTGGCACCAGTCACTGTGTGGCACCAGTTACTGTGTGGCACCAGTCACTGTGTGGCACCAGTCACTGTGTGGCACCAGTCACTGTGTGGCACCAGTCACTGTGTGGCACCAGTCACTGTGTGGCACCAGTTACTGTGTGGCACCAGTCACTGTGTGGCACCAGTCACTGTGTGGCACCAGTCACTGTGTGGCACCAGTCACTGTGTGGCACCAGTCACTGTGTGGCACCAGTTACTGTGTGGCACCAGTCACTGTGTGGCACCAGTTACTGTGTGGCACCAGTCACTGTGTGGCACTAGTCACTGTGTGCCACAAGTCACTGTGGCACCACCACTCCTGCTTCAATATAATGGGGACAGCAGGAGTGGTGGTGGCTATATTGAGGTTACATGTTTTATGGTTGTTATATTCAAATTATATGGTGGTTGAGACATAACCAATCACAGGCGAGTAGGCCTCTGACGTCACGCCAGACAGAGGAGCACCAGCCGTGCTTGCAGCAGGCGTCAGTTCTCTCACAGACCCAGAGTAGGTTAGGACCTCGGCTGGCCAGTTATACACCTTGTTGTCTTAATCAATAAAACTACAGAAGTGCCTACTGTGTATAACATTCAACTCAACAATACAACGAATATGGTGCTATGGCCAAAGTATGAATAGCAGAACAATTATATTACTTTTCCCAACATACATGAATAATGTTGCATATTACTATAAGAAAAATATATGTTTTTAATTGTTTTTCAAAATGTTTGGCCAGGCATACCCCATCAGCCAGTGCCAAAAATCGTTGTTGGGGGGTCAGTATGTCACTGTGGCACGCTGTTCATTCTTAAATTCTGACCATCCCGACCAGCCTATGTCCGTCCCGTACCCCAGATCATTCACCTTGCAAAGTTTGGTGAGGCTAGCCCAAGGCGCTTGGCCTCCTACCTAGGGCAAACATAGAAACATTCTCTCTTATAGATAGATTGTGGTTGTGAGTGTGATGTAGTTGAGTACATGTATTTCAGGTAACGGTGTGGCGGTGTGGTGCGTGGTGAAGTGCCCCAAGACCAAGCCGGCAGCCAAGGTGCTGCTGTGTAGCGTGTTCGTGCCCATCCTGGTGCTGTGCCTGGTGAGCAAGCCCGCCCTCGCCGAGATGTTGATGGCCATCCTCACCTGTGACGAGAACAGGACCCCCAAGACCTTCCGGGTCGTCACCTCACTCCTCTACAGCGGCCTCGCTCAGATGGAGCTCCTCTCTATCTCTGCTCTCTCTGTCGTCAGGTAACAACTCTCAGCTGCAGTAGAGCAGACTGACAGTGTTGATGGTATAGTAGAGCAGACTGACAGTGTTGGTGGTATAGTAGAGGAGACTGACAGTGTTGGTGGTATAGTAGAGGAGACTGACAGTGTGGTGGTCCACAGGGCCGTGGCTGTAAGGTCTGCGAGGCGACACATCCTGAAGCTGAAGACAGCCTTGCTCCTGGTGGTCATCATCACCTTCTGCTCACTCCTCATGGCTGTGGTCAGTTATATTATCTTGTTAATTACTTCTCTTATACAGTTGTATACCAAACAGAACTATTAACATTGTCTTCACAATAATCCTGGGCGCTAGCAGAGCGCTGGGTCAGAGTGGTGGTTCTTGTGTGGGCTATATACCTTAGTAGAGTTATGTGTGTCAACATTTCTGGTTCCTTAGACTCCCAGTCTAATGTTCTATCGTGTCACCCTCTCATGGCCTTCTGCTGTGCCCAATTACAATAATTTAAGATTATAATTTCTGGATATTTAGTCAGGAAAACAGTTTACTAATGTGTGGTTGTGTGCAGGGCCTGCTGGGGTCGTTGACCTTAGGTTACTTAGAAGGTCACCAGGTCAGACGAGGAACAAGTCTTCTTTATTTCTTCCTCAAGACTATGCTACCCTTCCTCATCACCGCTGTGTCATACTCCTTCATGATGCTTGTAGTGAGTACACCTCAGCTTGTATGTAATCTTGTACACATTGTATGAATAATTGTTTTCCTCAGTAAAAATACGCAAAAATTGTCATGAAGTAAGAGGTCTTACAAAATTAACAAATTTAGTAAATTAAGTATTTTGTAAGGGATTTGTAGAGACTTGCCTTTTGTGTACTGTTTATGTAAAGGTGGCATGAAGTACCCATGTAATGTGGTGCGTAAAGTTGGTCTGCTCCACTTACCCTCTACTAGATTGAGTACAATTTAAGTTTCTGCCAGAGAAGTGTGGTTGATGTCCCAAGTATATTGTTGTTTAATTAGTATTATTGTATACTTTGTGTCAAGTGTTGTTCCCAGTGTGACTGGTGTCTGGTGCACTACCGTTAAGAGCAGGTGTTTACACTGTGGCGGTAACTTATAACAAACCCCAGTAAACACTGACCCTTGGCTTGCGGACATCTCGCTATATAAATTACTTTGCAACAGTGCGTTAGCAGTGTGTTCAACACAGATCCAGTCCCATACATTACTACAGGTTTGCATCTCAGTTAACTAAGCCTGCAGAACTGCTCTTTTGATCAATTAACCAGTTGAGTATAGAACGCAGATACGTATCAAACAGGTTCATTAATAGAGTTGTATGTAAAAGTGGTGAACGTCTTATGACGCATGCTCATATATCACTGCATTAACTGTCTACAGCACTAATGTAAAATTAGGCACATGTCGATATCTGGTGTGAAGTGTTAGCACCTCCACATGAATTACTGTGAGCGATATAATAATCTTCCACAATCTACAGATTTATCGCAACAAGCGTCAGATGGCGAGGAGTGAGCAGCCGACCCGAGGCCACAGCGCCGTGGACCAGGCGACGTGCGCCATGCTGGCAGTCTTCATCAGCAACCTGCTCTTTGGCCTCCCGCACGCAATCTTCCACCTCCTCGACAAACCTTCACACACCGCAGACATTATCTTCCACGTCCTGTTTTATACCCACTTTATAGCTGATCCGGTAGTGTTCGTGTGGTGTAACCGGAGCTACCGCCGCCGGGTGGGTGAGCGGATGCATGCAGGTGTGGCGTGGATGACACACTGGTGCTCCACCACCAAGTCCTTAGCTACCACCACATCCTTGGATAACAATATCTCAGCCTCCTCCATAGCCTCCATTGAACGGATATTCCAAGAACACGACTAGAGAGCATGGAGGCCGCTGGTGCCGCCCGGCGACAAGACCTGTGATGATACTCTGTGTTATGACCAGTTACTTTATGACGTGCTCTTACCCGCTGATAATGTCTACCCACAAGCTCCTTCACTCTTTGTTTGGAGCGCATATTGAACATGAGCTCCACTTCGTCAATGTACAGTACACCCTTTGGTACAGTACATATAATGTACACATATGAAGCCTATGTTCACGGCTCTCTCTCTCTCACATACATTATATATATATATATATATATATATATATATATATATATATATATATATATATATATATATATATATATATATATATATATATATTATATATATATATATATGAAAGTGACGACGTTTCAGTCAATTCTGGACAGTTATCAAATCGAAACTGATGTTATTTAAGATTCCGCCACTCGGAACATAAAGTTCCAAGTAACACGGGCTATGGTGAGCCCGTAAGTGGAGGCTCTTTGGAGCCAATATCTGTATCAATAGCTGATACTGGAGATCTAGGGATGGGGTCCTTGGACGCGCCAACCCAAGACCATAGGGCTGATCAGACCGGTGACTTGATGGACTACACACGTTGCTCACAGCTGAGTGTCACAGGAGTCAGCAGGGATATCGGCGGGGCTGGCCACAGTCGGCCGGTCTAGGGGGAGATGTCCGGGTGTTACAAGAGGAATTGTAACAACTGAGGGAAGAAATGGTTATAATGGTGAGAGGTGGTGAGGTGAGACTTTGTGAGAGAAAGCGAGGTGAGGTGAGGGAGAAGTAAGGTGAGAGCGGAGGGGTGATAGGAGTGAAGTGAGATAAGAGGGATGGACGTGCAGTGAGGTGAGAGGAGGTGCAAGTGGGAACATGATAACATAACGACCAGTTTACAGGCTACGAGAAGACAGGAAAACTCAACAAAGCAAGCCGAGAAAGGAAGATTTTATTCGCGGAGAGAAAATAAAACAAGAGAGAGAGAGAGATGGGAGGAGAGCACAGAAGAGAAGAGAACTAAATCAGATTACGCTTGCTAAGAAGAGCATTTAACTATGTACTGAGAAAGACAAGAGTCAGCAGCAACAAAAACAGGTGATGCCCAAACCACAACTCAGAAAATGGAGAAGCGACGACGTTTCGGTCCGTCCTGGACCATTATCAAGTCGTGTGTGTACTAGCAACAAAAACAGGTACAAAGATTCATGCTGTCTATGTAGTTATTGACAGCTTCGGCAGTTACTGACTATTCAGTTACTGTCTAGTGAGCTACTGAATGTGTATGAAACTGTTGCCTAGAGTTAGACAGTTACCGACTGTCTAGCCAGCTACTGACTGTTTAGGTATTAACTAAGTGAGGCCTGCAGGCCACGTGGCCCACCACCACTTGGGCAGTAATATTCCTTGTTATTCTTTACATTCAATTTTTACTTCCAAACAGATTCGAACGTTCATACTTAATAACAATTATTGATCGTTACTATAAAAGAGGAAGTCGGCAAATTCTTAGAACAAAAGCCAAGATAATTTCCTGAGCTTGAAGACGAGTGGTGATATCATAACTTGCAAGCGATGAGTCACAATAACGTGGCTGAAGTATGTTGACCAGACCACACACTAGAAGGTGAAGGGACGACGACGTTTCGGTCCGTCCTGGACCATTCTCAAGTCGGTTGTCTTGAGAATGGTCCAGGACGGACCGAAACGTCGTCGTCCCTTCACCATCTAGTGTGTGGTCTGGTCAACATATCATAATCTGTTCGTGTATGACGTCATAACGCAGCTAAATACACTCAATACTCAACTTCGGAGGGAAATATGCTCATATTTCAGCTTTTCGCAGCATCGAAGGATTTCAAAATGAAGTTGAAGCTTTACAGGAGTTAAGTGTTGAGAGGTGAAGTGTGTAGCTGGTCACTTGTGCACCACAAGTCCTTCACAGCCACAACCACCACCACTCAGGACAGAACTATGCTCTGAGAATTTATTACATGATTGAAGGATTTGACAGAAGACTCATCTTGTGTGAAGAAGGTATTCATCTGAACATTACTGAAGATCCCTTTTCAGAGCATCCAGCAGACTTGCCATTCCAGTTGAAGTTGGACGTTATTGATCAGTGCTTGACAGAGCACCGAGAAAATAATCTACAGGAATTCTACACAAGACTGGCAGCGAAAAGTAAAAATATTATTGAAGTTGCAATGACAAATTCAGCATGTTTGGCAGTACCAACATTTGTGAACAAACGTTCTCTATCGTGAGTGTGAACAAACACACAACATTCTTGTCTGACTAATGGACATTTATAAGACATTGTGAAGACCTGCACTCCAGGTGCGCCCCCTGGGTACAACACTGGTGGCTGAGAAGGGTGTAGCGCTACTTATTAACTTTCTGGGGATTAGTGAATTACATTTGAATTAATTTTAAATTAAATTTTGTTTCAACCAAACATAATAAAAAAATGTACAGTATAATTCTCTATATAATTCTATTTGAAATAAAAATATATTGAAAATATAAATTATTATTATTATTCATTATTATTATCATTATCAATAATAATAATAATGACTTCATTGTCCAATGACATTATTACTGAAGCACTACAATGTCATTGAACATTGAATAAGAAATACTGTTTTTGTTCCGTCTGACTTAACAAACTGTGCTGACTCTTCTAGGCAGTTACTGACTGTCTGGCCAGTTACAAGTAATACTACGTATTTGTCTTTGGTTTTCCGACGATTCAAAAATATTTTGTAAATAAATATAATACAAAATTTGGAGTCTTGACCCCCTCACCGGCCCCGGGCATTTTATCACTGTGTAACAATGTGCTCCTGGGTAGTGCTAATTTATCATTACTTATTCCTCCAAATTATAGATAATGTATATTATTCCCCTCAAAGATGGCTTTGATTCTTGCTTCAGACATCTTAGTGAAGACGTCATGGAGGTACTTGAAGGCTGCCAAGTCCTTATCTACAGCTGCGACTGTTTCATTAGTGGACAATCTTCATGTACTTTACATAAGTGTTTACACTAGAGAGATAAGACAGCACCCCATTACCTATACAAATGTCTGAAGGAGGCGAAGAGAACGAATTAAGGGATATACCCATGACATGAGACATACTCAGGAAGAACATTGACAAACTAGAAACTCAAAAGTCCCAGGTGTGGATGAACTCAGTCCAAAGTCATAAAGGAACTGGCAGATGGGCTATTCCTACCACTGAAACTCCTTTTAAGAAAATATCTAGACCAAGGGATAGTTCCCTTAGATTAAAAATATGCAAATTTTACCCCTATTAAAAAAAAAGGCAGAAATAGCTCAGCAGAGAACTGCCGTCTGATCAGCTAGACAACACACCTGCAAACTCATGGAGAGAATCCTAAGGGAGGGAATCATTCACCATCTCACAGAGAACAATCTAGTAAAATCAACCCAACATGGGTCTCTTAAAAACAGATCCACCCTTACAAACTTGCTCACATTTTTGGAAACGGTAACCACCTCTTCAGACAAAGGACTTCTGGTAGATGTAGTTTACACGGACTTCGTTAAAGGTTTAGACAAGGTACCACATGAAAGACTGGCAAGGAAACTGCAGGCGCATGGAATAAATGGTAGAATACTAGAATGGATAAAACAATCATGAAAACAACAAAAGTAAAGTGTTGTCAAAAAAGGAAATAAACCTGACTGGAGAAATGTTGCGAGTGAGGTGCCACAGGGTCCAGTTTGGGGCCAACCCTTTTTGTCATATACATCAATGACACAGATGAGAATATTACAAACAAATCATCAAATTTACAAATGACAATAAGATTTATGGTAAAGTGAATTAATCTGGATTAATACAATAATAATAATATCGGGGGATAAGTAGTTAATGTATGTATACATATAAAAACTATTAAATTATAATAAAATAAAATTAAATTACAATTAAAATTAATTAATGATTAAATAAGGCCTATAAGGGGACCAAGGGTCCCCCCCCTTGGGTGGGACCTAGGCCCCCCCAAGGAACCCTCCCCAGGATGCAACCCCTCAACACGCTGACTAACTCCTGGGTACCTACTTACTGCTAGGTGAACAGGAGCATTAGATGATAAACGCGCCAAACCAATTCTTTCTCATAAAAATTACCATCCACACTTCTGTGGAAATAAACATTCCATTGACTTGGGCTCTAGGGGACTCGAACCGTGGACCCAATGTGTATGAGTCCGAAGCTCCATTGACCGAGCTATTGGGGAGTCTTTATAAAGAAAGGGTCCAGAAGCAGGATTCTGCTGCCAAACTGGAATTTTCTGAGCTTCAGTAGTCAGGGAAAGTCGAAAATTCCAGTTTTTCCAGGATGCTGCTTCTAGAAACTTTCCTTACTTATTTTCCTTATTGAGACTATTCAATAGCTCGGTCGATAGAGCTTACCCCCCAAATGTCAACCCATGTCTTGCTATTTTCAAATAATACTGTCTGTTGACCAACTTGCATAACTACTGATTTCCGCCATGTTTTTCCCCCTTTTTCCCTTTTTAAACTCGATTTATGCTGTGATCTCAATTAGTATTAAGTTTTAGTCTAAGTGTTTTCCCCACATTTTGCCCGAAACGCTGTGCTTATTGGTGGCTTTAGGCATTGTATGTACTAGCTCTATCTATAAATCTAATATTATGTGTGTAACTCATTTTGTCTGTATGTACTTTTACCTGAATAAACATTTGATTTGTTTTGAGTTGATTTGATGGTAGTAAAATAAAACTTTTATAGTACCTGCTTAGTGTAATCATTTTCTTTTGTTACATTACGTGTTCCATTTACAGAAACTGTAACAGTTGAGGGCTAACTTAGCAGAAGTGTCTTGGCAGTATCTAATAATTTGGTCAAGTCGACACAATCGACTTGAGAATGGTCCAGGACGGACCGAAACGTCGTCCTCCCTTCACCTTCTGGTGTGTGGTCTGGTCAACCGGGTGAAAGGAAACGCTGCCCAAACGCTTATATCTGCATCTCTCAAAACCCCGCTAGTTTGAAAGTATTGTCCAGCTTGCTTGCTCCAGGAAACGATCCTCATCTCGATTTATATCGAGGTCCGTAAATACTGCTGCTGGGCGTACAGAGAAGTGCCTAATTGTTCTGTACCTTGTGTGGATGATGTGGTCAGGACGACGCTTACACCTCAACCACTAAAATCTGTAAGTCTCGTTCTAACCACGCACTCAGTCCATGTCAAAGCACTCCGGACTGTGCGAA